TGCAATGGAAAATAACTTATATGAAATATGTGCACCTTTTGTTTTGTCATTAAAAAGTGTCTTGTTTTGATGAGAAAAAAAAAGGTAAATGTATATTTCATGTACATTTTCAAATTGCAATGTTTTTGAAATTTCTCTCGTAAGTTTGTTCCATACACAATACAACACGCTATAACCATTCCCAGTTTTATTAAGTCAAACTGATAATTAAGGTGGGTTTGCAATGCTACAACTCACAACTGATGCACTTTTAAATAAACAGAATTTACATAATAATAATTCATGGGTGGAGTACTTGAACTATTTTGAAACTCTCAATTTATTAATATTAAATAAGACCCCATCTCTGTGCAATTTTTAGCCTTTCCTCTGCTCTTCATTCCAAGTATTTCTCACAATAAGTTGAAAAGATATGAATTGTGAAACAGTGTAAATAATTGTAATGCAAGAAAGTAAGTTAAAAATTGGGAAAAACAAGTATCTGAACAAGGCTAGAATTGAGGAAAGACTTCAACAGCTGTTTCAGTGTGAATAGAATGGTAGAAGGTACCAAGGCTTAAAAGAAGTATTAATCAACAGACAGTATGACATTTCAAATGAGAAAGGGATTTCACATTTGTATTAGCTCCTAGGAGAAGAGCAGTTAAATGTTCTCTTTGAAATTGGTATACTGATTGCATATTAAAATACATGTATTTTCTTTACATTCTCTGACAATTGCGTAGATAGGCAAAAGCTTGAAATAATAATAAAAAAAAAAAAAAGAAGCACATTAGCTCAAGGCCTAAATTGAATGGTCCATGGATTGCAGTATTTAGGAAAACTGCTGAGGAGCTTTCTACGGTCTGAACTGTTAGTATCTGTATAAACATTGAAGCCCTTACTGAGAACCTGCCCTTGGTCTAGAAAAAGGTATCTTGTTGACAGAGGTAAGTACATGTACACATACATAGCACATGTACATAGAGAGAAGTAAAATAGAATTGGTTGATCATTGTCTAATACTCAACCATCAGTCTACAGAATCTCTGTCCTCATTTCAATCAACTGTTGATGGCATCATGAGATAGTTTGATGTTGTCGACTGGGTTGATAACACTAATTGTCCACTGCAAAGAGTTCCTAATGCTTTCGTTTTGAGGGTTAACCCTTAATCAGAGAGAAAGTGTTAGTCAGGCACTGACTGAGATTCAGTTGACTTTCAAGTGATCAAGAACCCATTGACAGCCAAAATAAAGTAAGGATATCCTCACCCTTTCAATCCCAAAATCTCATTGGTAATTCTCCCTACTGTCTACTGTACAATTCTTATGATGTTGGTTCTGAGAATTTGGTATTCATTAAGCTAATAATTCCCTTACTTATATTTTTCTGTATTTTCATCATATCACTCATCTGCTTGATATTGTCTTGATATTGTGAGAAGAAAGTCTGTATTAGTCACTCATGGGAGTTAAGTGTTACACATGCAGCTTCTCTAATAATACTGGAACATTTCTCCTCAAATGAGTGACTTGATCAGGAAAACCTCAAGGGTGTTTTGCTGATATCTAATAGTTCCTGTACCAAGTTGATCATCATTTCAGAAGATTCTTAGGGTTAACATGAAGGAGATGAGCAACCTACAGTTTATTTAGAACCCAAAATTTTACAATTAGAAGATCTGTATAACATTTGAAACGTGTGGTTCACTATCTCCGCAATTTCTATCCTTCAACCATGTTTTAAAAATACATGTTTTAGCTGATATTGCTCTCAGGGCAATATCACTTTCATCTGATTACAGTAGGTCACAGTATACAATTCCACTTCTGAAACCCTAACCATTGCTATACATGTAAATGGTAACTAAAATGCTACGACAGATACCTCTAGTTCTTGACATAGAAAATGTTCCTGGAGAACACATAAAAAATCAAAGTGTTATCACACAGATTTTGTGCATTGTCTAATTGCCTATGCAAATGTGTTGATGTTCAATTGAGTCAACAAACAAAACACTTCAGCTAATATGCTAATTTAAGTGTAGGCGAAGAAGTTCAAGGGTTTATTGCTTGATCTCTGAGACTATTGCTAAGGAAACTGTAGCTTTATGACGAACTTTGTGTTTCTGCAATCTTTATGCTCTGCTGGAAATCTTGATGTACAACCCTTTAGTTCTGAAGAATTCTATTTCCTGAGCTGAAAGATTTTGCATCTTAGGAAAAGATTAGGAACTTTGCAATAAGCCAATAATTAGATGGTGAACAAAACCCTCATAACATTGATTCATTACTCAGGAATTTCTCATTTCAAACAAGTGTAACAAGTCTTTGAAAAGCTGACAATCATAATCAAGACAGAAAATCAGAAATGTAATGTGCAGTGAAAATTTTAGTATAATTCATACACAGGAAATGACTGACAGGAAATACACTAGCCATAAAAAAAATATCCAATAGAGAAAATATCATCATTTGTGAAATAACTTGTGTCAGTCTATCTGGTCATTCTTTCATCTAAATCATGAATTACTGTAAATGAAACATTCACTTTGTATGCCTTTTAAGACTACACTGATCACATAAGCCCCAAGCAATAACCCTCTAAAAGAAACACATTTGGTGTCAATCATAACAATTACTTTAACGAACTTTCACGACAAACATGCTTTTGTGTTGATCTAGTTTGGTGATAAAAGAAAATCCGTCAATATTGTTAACAACTGAACTGACGGAATGTTCGAACTCGATATGGAATATTGGATGTTGGCATTAAAATTTATATCCCAACATCATTAGTTTCAAAAGAGGTTCAGTGCGTAAACAAACCTATTGTAGTGCGGTTACGAGACGCCATAAACAAACTGATTTAGCTGATATTTTAATATATTTACGAGTCAAGAAAGTAAGAATGTTGAACAACATTTGCCCCGAAAGAAAGCAGAATACTTCAATCACCGGGAGATATAAACTTACTGTAATCGATGAGCTTGGAATCGACTGGTAACAAATTAAACTTAGGGCCAAGCCCGCGCCGATGATTATGAATCACCAGCAATCATTTATTACCTTGGTGTCGTTCGAAGCTTATCAACGAAGATACGAGAAATTTTTCTCCATACCTGTCCCTCCGCCTCGACGCTCCCCAATAACTGCTGGAGTAGTTGCGGAACTTGGTCATCAAGCTGCAGTTTTTTGCACAACTCCACAAGTTCGTTCCTATTCAAAAAGCCCTTTCGAGCATGGTCACAACTATCAAATACTTCATGAAGTTGTGCCACATAAACATCCTGTTCGTCCTCATCCATTTTAAAGTTTAAATAAATATATCAGCTAAATGAAATCCTAGCCCAGGATGCCAGAGCCATGTTGACAGGAAAATAATAAAAGTTTAATTCCTATTTCGTCGATGATTACGCCACGCCAAAATAAAAAGCTTTCGAACGTTTCACGGCAAGCGATGGGTTTGTAGTTCTTTAAATTCAGGTCTGACACAACCTCTCAGCAGAACAAAACAACGTCATGGCCCAATTTCCACTGAATAGTTGTCGGCTTTCCTTGACTTGTATCAATACAACGGTGTGTTCCCAATACAATCAATCCTCTCAGTTTACTCTACAACTCTTGAGCACCAAACAACACCAAGTCGTGTTAAATTATCGCTCGGTAACGTAGTAACGCGGGAATTCTAATCGCTATTTTCGGTGACGGTCGCCTCGGTGAAGACCAAACTTCACTACAATTCGCCGAATAACAAAAGCGTTAACCTTAAAAAATGTAAGTATGAGCTAAAATTTGAGCCGAAGTTACCATAACCCGCGAGAATGATTCCTTGATTCAGTTCGTCTTTCGTTACTGTTCGGTCCAGTTTTCAAACTTGGCCAAAAATAGAATTTGAGTTTGACCACGTGAACACAAAGGAATCTTCCATTTCATTGGACAGAATACAAAAGGATTCCACCAACTGGTCGTGTAGGTAACCAATCAAATCTTTTATTCATGTTTGTTCAGTTTCAACGACTGCGTGTTTGCTTCCACATTTTTTGAATTTCTAGATTTTCCTTAAACTTTCTATGATCCATATCTCAACCTGGAGCCACAAAAAGGTTCAAGAAATACCTCACTTCTAATTCAAATATTCTAGAACTCTTTAAATAGGATTTTAATTAAATTTTAACTAAATTCGTCCACAATAATCAGTTAACAGTTTTCCTTTACATTATTAAGTTGATACGCTCGATTTGTCATCTTTTAGAACACAATTTTTAAAAATCAAATAATTGAAATTTTCTTGGTCAAACAAAGCTGGACCCAGCATTCTCTCGGATTTACATGATAAGTTAGCGTTCCGTAGTTTTATCTCAGTGTAAGGAAAACCTTAGCGTAAAAGAACACAGAATTTTAGAATTTTAGAATTTGAACCAACTTAGCCTCTCTTGAGCAAGACGATAAACGTAACAATAGTCCCGTACCCAATTACAACTCAGGAGCACAAAAAAATTCTTCAAAATACATTTCGATTTGTGTATTTGGTTGGGCTCATATAGAGTTCAACGTCCGAATCGAAGCTGCTCCAGATCGATATCTAAATTTCTAGAGGGAATAACGGCTGAGCTATTCTAAATCAAAGATGCATGCCTTTCTTATTAGATTCAGACGCCGAACGTTTCATGTACTCACTTTTAGGAGTTCTAGGTATAGTATAACTTTGACTCGCTCATCTCATGAAAAATTTAGAAGCCTTCGAACAGAGAGTTGATGTAAATACTGCTGGATATTGATTGAGATGGCCGACCAAAAGAAAACGAGGCGATCGAAAATTGAAGGCGATGGGAAAAGGGTTGAAGAGGCTCCGAGTCCAACACAGCTATCAGTCTTTCCTTACCCATTTTAATTCTCGTCTCCTCTGAACGGGAGCTTGGGGAGAGCCAGAAAAAAGCACGCTAGGGGAGGGTGTGGATCGATCGTGTTATGCACACTTGAAGCATATCTTTGAAATTTTAATGAATAACCATTTGATTTCTTGACAGCATGAAATATATTTACAAAATGTAGAGATATTCATTAGTGTTTTCAAACATGTTTGTACATTTCAAGAATTATTTTAAAGTTGTCACTAAATTCAAAAATACAATTTAAGCTCTAGTCTAACAGGAACGAGTATGACAAAAATATTAATCCTGCCTAAAACTAGCAGTAAAGCGCGCGATTAAATACCTCATTAACCCTCTAAACTCTAACATCAGTTTGTATGTTCTCCATACTGTACTTTTGACACTTCCCAAGGTGCCGACAAGGACGATTTGTTTAAAAATCAAGATCCTGTTTAGTTGGTGATTATTTCCTTCATTCTCACGACCTTAATATGATTCAGGGGTGATATTGTAAGGAGAAATTAGAGGCTAGTTACTCACAGGGTTGAAACAAGTATACAAACTAATCAGCCAAGTAAAAACACAACTCCAATGGTTAACTTCCTCGACCTCTTCATTATTTGATTAAGCTAATTAGTCCAACGAATTAAAAAAATAACCCAAGTTTTCAGTTGTTATCTGAACATCTCTGAGCTCCCTTCACTTGCACGATGCTTATCGTATTCGACTAGGAAAAGGGAACTGCAAGAAGTCTAGTCAATTTGTTATCAGGTACCTAAATATTGAATACCTTGCGATGGTGATCAGCGAAATTTTCCTCGCATATTTCAATGTTATCCATCTTTTAACAACGAGCTTCATATCAAAGCATTTTTATGCCATTTCATTATTTCTTGTTTTACCCTATTTAATAATTCAATCATTGGCCTCGCTGTGGGAACGATACTGAAAACAGAATTGAAAACAATCACTGTGAACTTTTATCTGTGTTGTATATCACTACAGTGAGAAGCCGAAAACGTCTTCATAACAAGATTTGTTTCACTAAACTGAATACTAAAGATGGCGAGTTTTGAACTCGGTGGCGAAATGAAAAATACTTTTTATCTTGTCACGAGCGCGAGACAAAGGAAAAGCTGTGAGACCGATGATCTAAGACTTGATTCTTTATGGTTATTCAGAATTTCTTCCTCGTGACAAGAAGAAAAACATTCTTCTTTTAGATTAGTGAAATGAAAAACCTTCTAAAGTGCTGTCTTTGCATGTATACCGAATCATAACTAACTGCTAGGAAATGTAAAAGTGCCAATACAAATTGGTAATTTCGGAAAATCTGAATAATAGCAACTTTAGATAAAAGAGACCATCGACGTAGTGTCTGTTGTTCTTCATTTGGGTTTCGCATTATGTACCTTATTACTCAAAAATCATTTTAAAGTGCTCACCACATTTCAAAAAATTCTCATCCTCCGGCTGCTAACAGAACTAAGCCAAGGCTAGTTTCTGCATGACCTTTTACTCCTATTACTGAAAGAATAGTTCTTTGCTTTCTTCACCACGAAATTGTGAATTCTTCAATGAACTGGAAAGCGTGCATTCTTAACCGCTCATTGAAGGCACTGTAATTTAAGACCGAGCCTCTTTGATTTTTCCAACCAGCCACTATAAAAGAATGAAAAGGGAAAGAGTCACTTAAAAATCTATTTCTCTACTGATAAGTACAACTGAGGTGTTATAAGCGACCGAAAAAATTATATTCCACGACAGGAAGTTTTGCGTCATCCACGTCTTAAGGGTCGTACCTTTCTGTTTCTCGAGTTACTTCCACTCACATGTAAACGTTAAGGAGCTCAGGAGCCACTCCTTATTTATCGCCGGTGGGGAAAGGGGGGAGGGGGGGGGGGTTTATAGGAAAATTTTACTATGACACATCCAAAATCCTCCGTCTTCCCCCTCCTCCCCCCTCTAATGATAAATAATGACCGATCCCTACTATCGAGTGAAAATAACATCAAATTTTACCTGAGCCACTTCTGGGCTGGGCGTAAAAATTTTCGTATCGTCTGACTGCCGTTTTAACATGCCTTTTGTTTTAGCTTTGACCTAAAAGAGAACGACAAGGAAAGAAAAAATGTCAAGTTCAGTTTAAGTAAAAAACTGTGGCGCCCCACTCACAGAGTACTGCGCGACGCCCTAACATCGGTTTTTTTCACTAATTTATTTTTTCCATTCGCGCGACGGACTTCGCCGAGAAGGAGGGTCTCCTTGTAGTCTACAACGGAAACCAATTTTGACTTGGTAATTCCTGTTTTCCTACGCTTAGGGCAATTTACAGGTTTTCATTTTTTTGAAGTCTCATTGAGTCCTTTCATATCTGCCTTTGTTCTAATTGGCGGTTTTTATTGGTTTGGTTTTGGTTTTGGTTTTAACCCTTTAACTTCCAGAAGTGATTAACTTGTAAATTCTCCCCATAATATCCATACATTATCCAGCCACCAGGTAACGAGAATACTCAAACTGATCAGGAAGAAGTTGTTGTCTTGATCTAACACCAAATTCTCATAACTTATTTACATGGAATTGTGTGCCAGTTAGAGGGGAGAGGTAACGATCAGATCTTGGGAGTTAAAGGGTTAAGACACTCGTCGTAAGTTAACATAATGTTTGGATTAAGATTTTTAGGTTCTTAGGATATTAGTCCTTGAACTGGAATTTTTTGTACCTTATGAATTTTTTTTACCGTGTATAAATATCGATTAAATAAATAAATAAATAAATTCAAATCAAATAAAATGAAATATAAAATGCGCCTAATACTATCGTCGACGTTAGAGTCTTACCCGCACATTTAGAACAAGTCTTTCTCCTTCAGTTCTCGGTTCACCCATGAGTTCGTCAAATCTACACATCCAATCAATTTGCCACGCTTCAAACACATCTGTTTTACCAGCAACTATGATGTGTCTACCGAAGGTGATATAAAAATTTGTAAGAACAATGAAGGAAAAGAATGAGCGTTGTTCAAAGTCCACTGAACAACCTTGTTCATTCGACGCACAAGAAAATAAACTTGTTATCGACATTTTCCATAAGTTTAAAGACTAAATACAGAAAAATGAAATTCCCCTCTGCAAACACTTATTGGACTAAGTTGGGCAAAATATCGTGAAGCCTCTGGCAAACAACTCAACTGCGAGACACTGCGAAATCATCATATTTTGCGAAAAATTAATTTGATACATCTACGCATAAGTAGGAAGGCATTACATGGAAAACCCATTCAGACAATATCACGCATGAGCAGAACATTATGTAAGGACAGTTATTCCAAGGTCACGAAAATGAAGTCTCGATTATTAAAAAGAAGAATCTGAAAATGTATTGAAGAATGAAAAGATCTGGCGAACACAATCGACGCTTTCTCCTTAGTATCAGAACTTACTTGTTTGTGATAAGAAGTGTTTTCCTAGTATTAAGACGACTATGACAGAAATAAGTGTCGGCCACCAAGACAGCTCTCGTTTTCTTAGTTTCCTAGTTGAAGGAAAGAAAAACACACTATAACTCAACATTCTCGAAGACAGCGTACACGGATAGTTTGTCAAACCTAAGATATTATTACGACGTTACCTGCAGTACGGCGTTTCCTAGGGCTTCGTGCAGATTATATGGCTTGATAACCTGAACAAATACATCAATTTATTATATGGCAAGGCAGTATTGAGGTAAATCCGAGCGTACTGATTTGTTCTTACTTGGTTGGGATTTTGCCATACGGACGGTTTCCACGCTTGGTAAATAAGAAACTCATACTACAAAAGAGTACCTTTTCGCGCCGAACAGTTAAAGTCTCTCTCTTTGACGTAATGTGTCGATCAATTTCCAATCGAGTACCAAAAGGAATCTTGGAAAGTACTGGCTTCGCTCAGGTCTCTTATTGGTTTCTAAAACTTGCACAATTCTCTAAACCAATCACAATCTCCGTATCCGCGTTTTCCCGCGCTTGGAGTCGTTTACATCTAATTCATTTCAGTTTTTATTGGCTCCCTGAAAAGGTAACCTTTTTCTGATTTTGCGTTATGATTTTTTTTAGGTATGGTTTTACGGCACTCTTCATCTGGTATGATTAACCCTTTAATTCCCACGAGTGACCAAAACAGAAATTCTCTTTACAACATCATCAATACAATATCAAGCATACAAATGATGAAAATGAAGAAAAACATCTCTTTATAGGGGATTATTAGTTGATTCAATACCAACTTCTATGAACTAGCATCTTACCAGTTGTATGGCAGACAATAAGAAGAATTCCTAATGAGATCTAAGGAGTGATAAAGTTAAGGCAAATTAAGTGTGTAAGTCACCTTGTCAGCGTAGAAACATCTGGGTGGTCTTAATCGTTTAACTTCACTTCCACTGATGGCAGAACTGCAAAGTAGGAAGCTCAGTTTCAGATGACGGATAAGCATGAAGAATTCTAACACAAATCTCGGAAATTTTGATTTGTACTCATACGTGACGTTATGGCAGAAAAATTTCGTCATCAGGGCCTTGTAAACTGACAAGTTGTCGTCCAAAACATTCTCAATATTGGTGCCAGTGTTGTACCCAAAATGTATTTCGGATTCAACTCGACAGTAGATTGATTATAGAATGATTAAGTTCCACCATTTGCGTTTTAAGTTTATGTTAAGATAAGTAATGAAAGAGAGAACTGCCAACTATCCCCACACGCGCTTCTACAAACTCTCTCCAAGAGAAATTGTCAATCGGATATCAAACGTTTCCCGGATTTTAATGGTTATGCTTCACTCCGCTTTGTGCTTCGTCAAAATACAAGAAAAAAGGAAAAGTCAAAAACTTTCAGATCAATCAGGTGCAAAAGGAAAACCAAACATAAGTTGGTCACTTGGTCACAAAGGTTTTAAGACTGGACCCAAGAAGACGGCAGAAATCGAGCCTATCCTTTGTGATGCTAAAAGGAAAATTCTTTGCCAACGCTGTCGTTTACCGAACGACATAAGGTTTAACCAAATGAATCACATATGAATCTAGTAATGGCCTAACTCGCCATGGAACTCTCGGAAGCTCAGTGGTTGAACATCGGAGCGCGAAATCCAAAGGTCTGAGATTCGATTCTTCGTGGCGATTCTTGTTTGATTTCTTTCTCCCACACTCGTGACAAGACGAAAAAATAACGTACTTTAAAAAGGTGTTAAGTTCTGAAATGTTACTAACCCTTTAATTCCTTCGAATGTGCTGCTCGCAAAGTCAACCAAACCTCCGGCAGGACGTGCCACTACACCAACCACACCCTTTCCCAGTCCCTTGAAAAACCCCGCGGCACCACCAGCCTTTGCGCCTGTGAAAATGAATGACAAGTGAAGGAAAACAGATAACTCCGTGAAGATGTCCTGATTTGTGACGGATGGGAGGGAGACGGAGTTCTTAGGTACGAGAAGAGAACTTCCACATTTAATTGGAAAGTTACGGAATAAAAATTCATGTGAGTTTTTTTACCCTTGACGGTGTTTAGAGTTTGATCAAAGCCGAACTAGTGAAAATAGACATTCCTTATGAAACAAAAAAACGTAAAAGACCCAACTAGCAGAAAAAAACTACTTGGAAATTTAGAAAAACCGCTTTTGTAAAAACGATATTTGGTGCATTTTTTAACTGAACTCACCCTGCATTGGTTTGGTTACTATTCCTGTCACACCTCCCAAAACGCCCTAAAAATACACAAAACAAACAAAAAGTGACAGAAGTAAGAAAGTGCAATGGTTTCTTATCACTCACTGCAAGCGATCACGACATGGTCACGTGCACTTTCTCCGTGCTCGAACCAATAAAATTGCCTTTTTCTTGCTTTTTCGGTTTTGATTCGCTTTGTTTTGTTTTCTCGAAGAGGCCCCATTAATTTTTTATGGACGTTTCCTTTGTCCTGATTAGCCGGAGTGATTTCTTTGGATTAGATGTTGTGACAATCATTCGAATAAGCGCATAAGTGCCCGATGTATAAAGTTCACATCTACATGCCATAAAAAAAACCCGAAAAAAAAACATGTTACGTCGAGAAACCGCCTGCTAAGTAACAAAACATTCCCTTATTCCGTCTATAACTCCAAGTTCTCATATTTTAATTGACCTCCAATTTTAAAGTCTTTCCTTGAGGTTATCAAAGCACTCTAACGTTAGCACTTACTTCAAGAAGTCCCTTCCCACCCCTTGTGAGTCCTTCTTTGACATTAACAGGTTTCTTTCCCATCGCCTGCCTCCTCTCCTGTTGGTATTTATCATCCATTGTTAGTGCAGCGATACCTTTGCCCAGCGTTCCAGTTATACGAGAGACTACACCAGCCGCACCACCTGAAAAACAAACAAACAAGAACATTTGGAAGATCAAAAGACTCCATATGCCCAGGGGTTAATCACCAGCAGAAGTAGGGTAAAGCAGTCAAAAGGTTGCGTTCAACGAGCTAAGTGGCCTGCGATGCTGGATCTTCACCAAGTTTCTGTATTACATAAAGACTAGCACTATGGCCTCTCCTCCAAGACGGAAATTAGACCATCACTACTAACCTTCCAGCAATGTGGTGTGGTTTTCCTGATAGTATCACAGAATGGAGAGAGACATAAAGAGTAAAGTGTCTTCCCCAAGAATTTAACTTAATGATCCAGCCAGGTTTCGACTCCGGACATTTCGTATCCAGAGTCCAGCGCGTGAACAAGTTCAAAAAAAGAGCGAAACCTAAGCATAGATTTACATCAACATACCAACAGTGTGACCTAACAAGCTCGTGGCGCCAATCAGCAAACCCTCTGCGAACTCGCCAGGACCCTGGATAAGACCCTAGAACAAACAGAAACAAGAGTATTCGGACTTGTCCCAGTTTTTGCAATTCTGTCCACTTCTGTCTTTGTTCCTATCCACGAAGATACTTTATAAAGGATCGCTAGCTCATTTTCTGGCCAATGACTGAGAAGGGCTTGGACACAGTCCTTCAAAATGCTAATTGATACGTACAGAAATGTTTTACATCTCAGTGAACTGCAGTTTTTTCAGTTAAAATTAGAAGAAGAAAAAAGAAACGGCACAAAACAAGAAAACAAGTAATTATCGATACATAATGATAATTATGAAGGGGAGATTATGACAACAATTATGATTACAAACGCCAAAGAATAGTCCAATATTTTGGTCTCTCGCTCACTCTCTGAGTTAAATTCGAGTATCATTTGTTTTTTAAAGTTATCCATCAAACTTACCTGGTAAGGTTCGTAAAAGAAGTCCCTCGCTCCTTCCTTCAGGCCGGTAAGCAAAGCAAACGGATTTCCTAATACATCAAGCCCCAGTACTAACACGTATAACTGCTTCAGTGCCTGAATTAAAAAAGGCCGAAAAAATTAATCATTACTGCCATACGAGCGATCCACTTATTTACCTGTCACAATCAATTAAAGTTCGGTGGCGATTATAGTTAAGTCTTAGAAGCCAAGTAGCGGGTGGTTGTTCTGGTTTCTGTAGCATGAAGCAATTAAGAGTATGTCTACCACTGCATAACACTTTAATCCATCGCAGCCCCCCCCCCCCCCCCCTGGGATTTCGTCACTTTTTCCTGAAGGTTCGCCTGTACCCATCTATACAGATGGATTAAAGCACTGCAAGAGTAGAGTGTCTTGCCCTATAACACATCAAAGTGACCTGGCCAGTGCATGAACCGAACCGCCTGACCCGAGGTCCCGTGCGTCTCCCATCATAGAGTACTGAATAAATTCACCTGACTACGGTAATGCTTGATGGCGACTTCCATTAACTGCTGCGGCGTATAAACTTTGTCCTTTATTTCGAGATAAGCTAGCCTGTAAATACAACATAAACGAAACTGTCTGCCAAGCTCCTCTTAGAGGTGTGACATGAAAACACTGGATAACAGGTAATAAATATGTGACAAATCATCAAGAGAGGGTAGGTCACCAACCCCTAACCCTTTAACTCCCATGAATGACCAAGACAGAATTTCTCTTTACAATATCAATACAGTATCAACCAGATGAGTGATGAGAATAAAGAAATATATCAATTACGGGATAACTAGTTGATCCAATACTAAATTCTCTGAACTAACATTATAAGAATTGTATGGTTGACAGTAAGGAGAATTAGAAATTTGATCTGGGAGTTAAAAGGTTAAGTAAACAGTTCACGTCAGTTCTATTTTCTTTTTTTCCTAAGAACTAAATGCAGAGCCCAGATTTGGTCATATTTTCTGCTCTAAGAAGTAGCTGTATATTTGGCTGCATGGCAAAAGGTGGAAGGTTTCCACACGGGGCGGGGCTAGTGCTTCAACCTACAATCTTTGTTATAACTCATGGAGACAAGCACCGGCTCAAGTTTTTTTCCCCCTCTTATTTCCTTTAACGTTCAGTCAACTTCTAAGACATAATGGCATATAAATCTAAGACCTCATTTTGAGCCAGGTATCGTTGTTTGCACCAAACGGAAGGGAACACTTTTGACTGGGGAACATAGCGTCACGATAGGAAACGACAAGTGTGAAGAGGCATTATGACAAAATTATCGAACAAGTTCATGGCTGACGAAAATGTTACCCACTTGAACTCTACATCTTGTACTTCAGTGACTGCTACTCCGACACTCTTGAGCAACAAGCTTACAAAACTGCCACCGATAGCTTTTTTGACCTCGGCGCCGCCACCCAGCTGAGAAAAACTAACATGAATCTACAGGAAAAATCATAATAAATGTCCTTAGGCTGGGCGAAAGAGTCTTTCACTCTCATTAGTCACGTGATCACATCACCATTCGGTTAAAATCAATTCATTTGAGAGAGTAACTGAATCTTTTGCCATCCAGGATAGCATTGTTTTAAACATTAACTAATCAGAGGCGGCCCAAGCCAGCAGGAATAACAGTGATAGCAAAACAAGCTTAAAACGGCAGAAATCGCCAGAAACTACAATGGATACTCAAGATGTGAGTGAGTTCTGTTGATTTTAGGTGTAAAATGTTCATATTTCGAAATGTTTATCGTTGTAAATCGATCATATTTCGTTCCCCACACTATTCCTTATAACGTGTTTAAATTCTCAACGGTTCCTCCCCTAACTTAATTAACACCGAGTCACACAACGCGTGACGCTTTTATGAATTAATAGTTTCCAAAAGGTCTGTGTAGAAGCAGATATGTAACGAATTTAAGAAAATAAACGACTGTCACACTTTTTAAAAACATTTTTGGACAGTTGGTCAGTGATAGGACCTCTCACATTTTCAGACTTCTACATAATTCTCCACAGTATCGCACCCTTTGTTCTGATGAGTGTTTTAACATCTTAGATCACGCTTCCACAACTTTTCAACTTAAAATCAAAGAAGCTATCCACATTCAGTGGGAGAAACCAACACTTAATCATCAACTTTATCATGTTAATTTAAAACTTTCCTTGTAAATGCTTTCATTGTTCCGTTACTATTGTTTGTTTTGTCCAATCAGCATTTTGTTACACACTTTAAATTACGCACTTTAAATTCAACAACAGAAGAACTGTCGAAACATGTTTTTAAAAGTGTCGTTCATTTTCTTAAATTTATCGTTTGCTTTTTCTCGAGACGTAAGCTTGGGCTGCCTGTGATAGAATTTAAAAGCAGTCAGCAATGGCAATGGCTCGACTTTTCTTCGCACTGTGATTGGTCGAGAAAACTCAGGCCACCGCCCCAACCAATCAGATACAACACCAAGATCAATCGCGAAGTCACTCCTATTTTCACGCTATCGTTTGAGTTTCAGTTGGCATCTCACGGTAATTCCCCTTTTTTGTCATTGGAGGTGCTTTCTTTCGTTTGGTTTGATAATTTTCAATCGAAATGAGCCCTTCATGAAGTGAAATTGGATTGGGTAAGCAATCTCGAAATCTTTTACGCTAATTCAATAAATTTCCTGTGTGCTGATGCGTCATTAACCCTTTAACTCCTGAAGTGATCAACATGAGACTTCTCCCTATAATATCCTTACATTATATAGCAAACAGGTAATGAGAATATTCAACCTTATCATGTAGAAGTTGTTAACTCGATCTTACACCAAATTCTCATGACTAATTTACAAGTATATGTGTAGCAGCTAGAGGGGAGAATTAATAATCAGATCTTGAGAGTTAACGGTTAAGTCGATATGATTATAGAGTCGGGTTAGAGGAGGACAATCGGAAACGATACCTTCAACGGTGATAGATGGAAGAAGTCGAAAAAATTTCTGTCAGTACTTAGGGCAGCCTGGAGGAAAAAAAAAGGATTAATAAGTGTGAATTTTTAAACGGCTACAATATAAACAGGCATAATTTCAAGACCAGTGAGTTACCGACCTGAACGGCAAACGCCTCTCCAAGCTTGCCATGAACCATTTGTTTGTCCAAAGCATACTGGCTGGACTGTGAAGACAAACGTTCGACAAATTCTAAGTATACTGCGTTTCTATTTTGAGATGCCTATTTAACAAGCTTTAAAAGATGAAATAAAGATATTTTCGAAAATAATCCACGTTAGTAATGGTTTTGCTTCCCCGAAGTGACTTCTTCCTGTGATTGGCCTGGGGTTTTGGGGCAAAAAAACTTCCAGAGGAGCCTGCGCCCCATTACGTCACACAGACTTTATTTTGGCCTGTTACGCAACATTTCTAATTTCAATTAACATATTTTAGTTTTTTAACTCTTATTTTTTTGTATAAACGATTTGATTTCTTTTATTTTTCAAAACTCTTTGTTTTTTTTCCTCGATCCGTGATCCTATCCGGTCCGATGCGGTTCGATCCAGATTTTCTCTACGCCGACCTTTGTTTTGGTTTTATCGTACCCCCGTGGATATGCAGCCCAATGCAGTAAACGCATGCGCAAGCTGAATGAATACTGCACAGAGCATCCTTACCTCTTGGCCTGTGTCAATAGCGTCAAACGAAAATAATCCAATACAGGCCATGATAAAGCTCATATCGATCTTTACGTCCATCTCTTGAATGAGAACCTTGAAGTACCTGAGTAAGAAGAACATAAGAAGTAGAGACCAGCAAACTGTTTAAATAAACCAGATGAATCATTGATCTGAAACTTCAATATTATACATCAGTTCGGGTAAGCTAAAATCCGCGACAAAATAGTTGACACATGACTACTGAGATCACAATATTCTGGAAAAGCACATCAATTTTATAATTTTATTCCTAATTCCCTCGTTGACACCCTCCTCTTCCCCCCCCCCCCCCCTACAATGTTACACTAAATTTTCCATGAATGGGGCGACGGGAAATTGCAGAGAAGTGTAGTTCATTTTCAATGTTCTTTCCTGGTAATTTCTGCTCAGGTAGATTAGTGAATGCTATGTGTCATCTCATTTTGTCGTGGATTTTAAAATAGTCAGAAGATCATAGTCCTAGAGTAAACGCCATTTTCCAAACCACTCACTTGATCTCATTCACGTGCGTGTGCTCCTCTTGCTTTGCGACTAAACTCACTTCAATGTACGGCTTTGGTTCTAAAACACAATCGTAGAGATTACTGCAAGATATTTGGTTTTATCAACTGAGTTGGTAAGGTAATTTCGGTACTGTACAGAGTTTCAAAGCTGACGTTTCGAGCGTTAGCCCTTCCTCAGAGCGAATAATTACTGATTACTGAGCGTACTGATTACTGACGGGTAAATTGTCCCATCAGCGCTCACATCGAGCTGCCAATGACAAATCAAAATTGAGAATTTTGTTACAGTTTTGATAATCACTTTGCAAGGAGGATACTGGCTCAAATTCACCTTCGTCACTTACCACTATCAGCGGCGATTGACTTTGGAGGGGGCACTGGGAAGAGTACGGTCTGGAAGGTGGCACCTGGGACTTGGCTGTCAATCTGCGAAGATACAAACATCCTCATTCAGACTGATGGAGTCTTAACGATCATACTGCACAAAATCAACAGGCAAACAAACTTTAGTTAATCTTAGTTTTAAGACACTGGATTAGTAACAAAGCTTACAGTTTCAGCAGGGTTTTCGAGAGAGGCAGAACTTAGTGTTCTACTTCCCTGAGCTAAAATGATTTAAGTCTTGTTTGCCACAATTCTTCTCCCTCTATTTTTCTCTCGCTCACCTGAACTGAATTGATCTTTGTAGAAAGTGTGTGTTCATTTGGCGAAGATGTGTACTCTAATGAAATTCCAGGAGTAAATGTTCTTCTGATGTGCTGGCGTGTAGGCCGCACAATCTCCATTTGTTTAAAATCAACCTGGAAATGGTGGACAACATTTACTAAAAACGTGAAACAAAAAGAGCAAAAAATATGAACTTGCACTTTAAGTTCTTTGGTAAAAATTCGTCGCTATTCGAGAAAACATGAACAGAAAGGTAACGATCCCCTGAGCTCTTCCGAAGATTTTGCTCTTTCACGGGCCAATCATTCGCTCTCAGGGCCTATTTCCGTTTCCATGGCATAAAATAACTAGGGGTTTTGCCACTCCTCCTTGGTGAGGAATGGAATGGTAAGCCATCGCTGATACATATTTGTTCTCCTGGGCGGACAAAAGCACTGTGACCATTAGCCCACGCGGTTCCCATGATACTGTGCGCGCTAAATGCCGCCAACTGTTTGCCAGGGCTCGAAGTTAACTTCTTAGCACATTTGAAAAGTTTTGCCGATAAGATTTTTTTCCACCAGCAAACGGTGAGACCACAACCAAATTCTTTCCCCTTGAAATTTCAGTGGCCATATCTGAAATAAGATTAGAATTGATATTTCGCACAGCCTATTAACGAGCTGAGAAGTTTAATGAAAACGGTATTAAATTTTGGTCCCCTCTGCCATTTTCCTGACAGCCATTAACTATCTACTGCATGTTTGAGAGACATGGATGATTCTAATAAACAAACGTTTGCTAGTGTATATTTTCCTCACTCGCAGTTTATCAAAATTGCTCGCATTTTACGAGTTTGCGAGAGTTAACTTCAAGCCCTGCTTGCCTTAGTCAAATGTTCCCAACAGCTCGCTAGTGTACATTTAAACTCCCGGGCGAACAAAAGCACAATGACCCTCGCCACACCTCGAATCCGGCTCTCACTATCCGACGTCTAGCGCTAGTCTTAAGCTACTGCGCCTCCCACCTCCTCCCACTGCACCTCCCAACTGAGCTGAAGGCCGGTGAAAGCTGATTTACAGCACCAATAAATTTGACCAACAAGAACAAAAATTACAGATACGCGCCTCCAAGTCGCCACTCTTATAGATGTAATTGGCTGTGGCACCTATGGCAATATCTCGCTGCAATTTATTCCAACCAGCTTCTAATTCATTGCAGAGGCGTAACTTGAGTGCCTTCCATCTTCCTTTCTTCTTCTGCTCTTCCCAGATAATATCACTCCTACAATAATAAATCTCAGATTTTAAATAGATGCCCAGAAATTACCTTTACTCCTTCACGCATAAAAACGTCAAACAACTTTACTTTCAACCTACTGTCTGGAGTAAACTTTTAAAGTTATTCTTTTCACCAGTGTACTGTCCGAGTTAAGAAAAAAAACTAAAAGAAAAAAAAGGAACGAGAAAAAGAAATGATAAAAGTGAAGCTCTTACGGTTTAATTCCGATGTATGCCACCTCGATACTTTTTTCATTGTTCACAAGAGACAAGCCAACTCCCTGAAGTGCAAAAGTGATGCACTGTGAGGGGCGCTCCTTTAGTTCCTTGGTAAGAGAAGTAAATAATACAAAACATTCAATGTGTAGGAAATATAAGCATCAATTAACTTTATGGTCAGCTTCACGGAAGGGGTGGACATAAAGTGCACGTAGTGACTTGAGGAGAAAGAATTTCATTGCAAGTGGAAAGTTCACGAGAAGAGTTCATTAGAAGCAGAGCTGCAAAACGTTTGAATTAATAAATGAAGCGAACACAGCAGTACTGGGTTCCAGTTACTCAGTATCTCCTGCAACAAAAGAAAAATTACCACTTGAGCTCTGAACGCCAGTGTAAAGTCATCGGTGATGAGGAGCACGCGCTGCAGACCGTCCAGGAAGGTGGAATAGTACATCTTCTTACCACGGTACTCAAATCTGTCAAAACCCGTCTACAGATAAAGCAGAATAAAAACATTATCGCATGACTCTAGCAAAAGGTGCTGAATGGTGCATCATCGATTTCTCACAAGGTAAAGGAGTCATATTGACGAGAATTCCAATCCTGGACTCAGAAAGAGATCTGAGTTGAAAGCGGGCGGCCCAGGTTCACTCTATAACAACAGGGTTTCTTTTCCAGGTTAAACGTAAGATGAAACCTCATTTGTTTCTTGTTCATCTCGGTAATCAAACCGGAATTTTCAATTTGAACTGACGTCTTACTGAAATCTCTGATCACCAAACACGCTTTGGTGATCAAACTTCTCACATGATTGGGAGACAAAATCCGTCAAACGAACCGGGTCGAAGGTCCTTGGTAACCAAGATATATGTTGAAATGCGAAAAAAAAAAGAGAAAAAAAAGCGAGCGTTGTAAATACATCAACAACAACAACAACAACAACAACAACAACAACAACAACAACAACAAGAGTGCTTACTTGTGACAAGTCAGTGGTGATTCTCTCTTTAGATCCTTTGACAAACCAGACAAACTCTCTCGAAGCTGAGGGTTCATCCCATGTGAACAAAACGCTCTGGTTAGGATGCAAACAATGTTCCTTGCACCTGAAAGACAAGCTGCGGAGGCACCCAAGATGACAATAGGAGAGCGAGAAGAGAGTTACTACTGCTAATAGTTATGTGGCTTTTACCCACGTCCGTGTTCCTTCTCTCGTGCTAAAAAACTAACTTACAAATCTTTTAAATTCAGTTCAATGATCTGAGTTTGACTTTAAGCCACCTCCGCGCTTCTTTCCATTACTTTTTAACCCTTCAACTCCAAAAAAGGACTAAGACAAAATTTCTCCTTACAATATTAATAAAATATCAAGCAGACGAGAATAATGAAAAACATCGATTGGGGGATTATTTGTTGATCCTGTACCAAATTTTTCCAACTAATATCAAATGAATTGCATGGGAGATACTAAAGAGAATTACCTATGAAAAATTAAGAGTGAAATCGGAGTCCGAGTCGTTATCAGAGGCACAGTCCGATGAAAATCGAACCAAAGGAATCGGGAGCAGAGTAACGGATGCCACTTGTGATTCCGACGCATATGATATATGAACACTAGATTATTATATTCGTTAGCCATAGAATAGATTGAGGACGGCTCAGTTTTCACAAGATCATAAGCGTCAGGGTCTGAAGCAAAATCGTATCCAAAAAATTTTATCGATCTGATTCTTCCGACTCCAATTCTGTCAAATTTATGACTCCGCTGACGACCGCTATTTTCAATTTTCTAAAGTTTGGAGTCGCATTTACGATTCCAACTCCGTTGCACATAAAAACCAGCCTTTAGTGAGCTTATAAAACTTGCGCTTTCTTTGTAACTTCTTTCTTGAACGAGAAGAGGTTTTATACACTTTCATAGAAAAAAGAGTCTCAAAACACAGCAACAGTGCAGGCGCACAGCAACCAAAACAAGTTTAAAAATTATAGCTTCCAGTTATCTCGTGTCTTCTGATAATTAAACAGTATTTAACAATCCTGTAGGGTTGAGTTGGCCCCGTCTTAATTCCTTTCGGTTTACAAAAACACAAAAAAGTATTTAGCCAATGTTCATTCATCTTTATCTCAATCTTCGTCAAAAAACATTAAGTCCTTATTGAACTTACTCTTTCTGTTTATAGCAGATGTCTAGCTCAGTGCAGTTCTCCAGTCTAACGGTAGCTGCTCCGGCAAAGTATGGTGTGATAGTTGTGATAGCAGCATTATCTTTTGTGCGCATGTCGGCACACACAGCCCCCACCTGAGAATAAGAAAGTTATATGTCAACAGACAACCAATGGTTTCCAAATCCGAGACCAGGCCGTGTCATCGTGTCCATTTTACAGGAACCGGAATAAGCTCTATTGATTGCCGTAAAACCAGAATAGTAATCGCAACAGCCAATCACATCTCGTTTTTTCTTAATTGTTTTCCCTGAATTACAGTCGGTAAAGGGGACAAAGAACTTAGATAAATAGTTGCCGTAAACAAGTCGGCAGAATTTCTAAAGAAGAAGAAAGGTCGATCTCAGAGAGGTTTCAAGGAGCGACAGTTTTGGTATCAAAACACCAAGGCTAATTTGCCTTCAATTGCATTAGGAACACGAGCCTCCACACACCTTTCCGTTTATTCTCAGCAATAAAGTGATGTCGGGTTCGAAGTCAAAGCTTGGTGATACTTCTTCATTGTCCCCAACCCTGATAGCCAAGTTCTTGGATGGGAACGAATTTGGCCAGAATGGTTCACACTAGAAACAAACAAACACACAGCAAATGGTTTGAACCCAAGTGTATCTGCTCATCGTGCAGTCTGCAGATCCAAATGAGAGTACTTCTGAAAAGGTCTATTTACGGCAGCTTTGAGTTCCTAAGCTGAAGTCATTATCAGAGTCAAGTGACTCGACAACTAACTATGATGACGACTTACGCTCAAGTTGTCGAAACTTCAGCCACAATTCCTACCGACGGCATTTCTTTTCAGAACTACTCCCACCTGGTTGATCAGACTACACAGTAAAATATAGGAAACCGATGGATACAAGTCAAATGTGACTTGAAGCCAACAGATCAACCCTAACCTTCAACACCGAGACCAACAATTGTGTTTATGTAGGTAATGTAATTGACAACCCCCCAAATGGGACTTATCAGGACCAATATGAACAAATTAAAACATTGTGAATAAACGTAGTGTTTAAAAGCCACAACCGGTGGGAGGTAGACTAGTTGGCTACATACAAAGCGCAGGAAAAGAAATGAACTTGGGAAAACTGAGAAAAAATCTAGTGAGAAGCAGTGTGGAGGACTTGAACCCGAAACCACTAGATTACATGTTCAGCGCCCTAACCACTCAGCCACACTGCCTCTAAACGAAATATAAGACAAATCGAGAAAGATGACAGGAACACACACCTCTCCTGGTTGAACTTTAGTCCACTTCGAGTCTGGCCCCTTCGAGTCCGACAGCGACACTGTGTACTACAGCGGGACAAAGGAACATTTACAGAGAGGTCAAAAATGCCGCCTCCGTGACATTTATGAGTTGAATTCGGAAAAAAGAAAAAGCTTGATTGCACCAGAAACTATGAATAAACATTATAATTCTTACCTCTGTGTGATTATTTATGAGATTAAACGGTGTGAATTCCACAATCTTGGTTAAACTGAAGTAGGATAAGGTTGTCTGCATACCGATCTGCAAATGATTGTGACATTTGGAAGATAATCGGAACTTTACTGTGTGCTTGAGTTAGACAGCAAGAATTAGAGGTTTGATGTTTCACTTCCAACCTTTCGGCAATATATGAAAATACCAAGAATCAAAGAAAATAACAACTTCCTTTGTTCAAGTACTAAAGCTTTTTCAAATACCTCATACAATTTCCCACTCCTCGTGATTTTTAGCGCTCCTCCACTGCCTGCCGCGTCCAGAGAAAATTTAGTGGACCAATCAGATTCAGCAAGACGAACAAAGGCCTGCCAAATACCGTTAAATTAGAGAAATTATAACAACTGTTACCATTTAAACATGGATCACAAAAGAAAAAGTACAAGTCACAGCAAGGGATGACGCGACTGTGGGTAGAAGTAAAATAGAACGAAAACTGAATTCTCACCACTCCTTTTCCTCGGTGAGAAAACATGACTGGCTCGGTCAAGGAAACGGGATGAGGTATAACAGTCTCGTTATCAGGCGCCTAAAAACAGGAAATAAATCAACTCGTTATTTACCAAGTTTAAGAGAGAAACAATGGACAGTTATGATTGTCTCAAGTCAAATACTGGACTACCCTCAAGGCAAAAACAGATCAGTGGCTAGCTATTCAGAGATAGTATGAACACTACCTTACGGGTAGCAAACCACGCATGCTTCCTGGACGATTCTTAAACTAAATCTGTTCATTTTGTTGTTCAAAAGGCTATTTCCGTATTGCCCAGTGCCTCTGCTTCCAACGACGCTAAGAGCAAAGCCTTTGATATGAAAATGTTTTTTTTGTTGGTAACTCATTTTTATAACAAAGGTTTTGCACTTGACCAAGTTTCCAAAGTGCGGATTTAAGGAACTCAGAAATGGCCCATTGATCAAAGCCAATCTCGACCTCCCGTATTGCAGAAGAACTCTGGGGGTCGAGACTGGATTTAAGCAAGCTGGATAGCTGGGTAAAGAGAAAAACTGTCTCTCTGAGAGTAGCGGAGATAAAAACCGTTTACTTTGTGGAGCTATCAGAATGCCTCCCTCTACCCAAAGTATCAAAGTATACCAGCGAATTGAAGATGTTCTCCTACCTTGTATTCCAGATAAAGTCCAGTTTTGTTGACCATCCAGTAAGGGCAGTACAAGGTAATGCTCATTGTCCCATCAAATCTGGCTAATACTCCCAGTCTCTGTAATAAGTAAGCAACACAAATATGGAATAGATATAGCGCTTAGATGCTTGGAAGTGAAATGGGTAGACATCAGTGAGAAGAACTTGCTTTACCTTCATCAGCTACAGTCAAGCAACCTGATCTTCTCAAATTGGCAATCGAACAGTAGAAACAAATTCTAAATATGCTCCCAAACTGAAGATTTCAATCAACACCAAATTAACTCTTTACTCGGTAACCTTAAAGTTTAATTTACCCTCGTGTTACTAAGGCTACCAATATTTAGGTAATAATCAAAAGCATTTCCTGGTTGGGTTAAAATAGTGTTTTTGAGATTTACGATTTTCCTATGCACTGTTCGGATCACGTAGGTTTTTGCTCAAGAATAAAGTTTTCCGGCCGCCATTTTAAAGATGGCTCTATTCCATCAACTCTTACCAAGTGCTTTCCATAACCTGCCACTTGAGTTGATTCCAAGGTAAATGTTGTGAGTTCGTCCATTCCCTTGAGAAGTTCAACCTGGCCTTTCCACATGCTCCCTTGATAATTGTCAATCTAAAGGTTAAAAATTATATTTACCTCAGACTTCACCCTAAGAACATCAACAGTGACAGAGGAAAGGGAATATCAGAAGCATGGACGCTAAGCATTAAGAAACACGACAACAGGTGACCCATAAGACAGCAGAACGCTAAAGAAGAACATGCACAAATAACAGGCGGTTCAAAATTGCCCAATCAAAGCGAAACGTAATATTTCGTACGGTCGGATGCGTAATTAGTCGACCTGATCAACAGATGAAGACAGTATGCAGTCAAAAACGTCGCAATCCACATCGGAAGTGATTACATGTATAGCTTTTTTACTGTATGGAAAAAATGTAATTTACCATAAATGGCATCTAATTAGCTTGCTATATTACGCCCTTCTCCATTTTCTTTATCTTGTTGTAATTATTGTGCAAGGTTGTGATTGTTGAAAAGGAGGAAATAATATAATATAATAGAAGTGATAACATTGTGAAACAAACGATGATGCTTTGAAATAAAAAGCGGGTAAAAATTTCTATTTGATAATTAGATTTCAGGCTTGACAACTATCTGCTGTTCGGGAAATGAGCCAGTGGGAGAGATGAAGACCTGACTGGAAAGATGGGTGTAAATTGAGTCTGACTGTTAAAGAAATAAGGAAGGAATTACGTCTCCTCTTCACTTCTTTCAGCATATGGTTTCACTAATTGGCCATTTCGGAGGCAAATAATGTCAATAACATACTACAGTTACCTGAATGTAAAGATTGACTTTTCGATGAAGACTGACGGAAAACAAAGGCCATTTGTCGCCACCTTTAAGTTCAACAAGAGGCGTTCCCTAAAAATGCAGAGCAAGCGTATAAACATCAAGAAACTAACGGTTAAACGATCGCTTAAAACCAACGTCTTCGATACCACAAATTGATCAATTCAAGATTTCCCTGAAACCTTGCACACATGAAGAGAGATTTGTAGTCTTCATGGTTTAAATTCATGACACGTAAAATGCTGTTTAAGGTATACGTGATGCGTTATTTTTTTCTAAAACTCGTGCGTGAAACGGGATCCCCCTTTGCTACCCTCTGAAGAAGGCTTGTTTCCGAACCTTTGATCGCAATTTTGCACCCGCGTTTCCGGCATATTATTCCTAACCCTTGATAGATTAAAAACAAATAGATTACATGTTGTCTTGCGCCTATTCAGTGATAGATCACAGACGACGTCCAAATGTGTGACACACTCAACTCACTTGACATAATTTGAGATAATTTGGTTTTATCAGGTGAGTTGATAATGTAAATTAGCCAACTTTCAGAGTTTCTGAATCCACGGTGGCCAATTCACGTCAGCAACTCAGATCATAAAGCCAGATTGTCTTGTTATACCCACCAACTGACGCAGCACAACAGTTTCTCTATAGACTTATCCCCTTATAATCACCTGAAATAGCTATTGGTTCACCAGAACAATACACCGTAGGTTTCTGACCAATCCGAGCGTGCTTATTACTTTTGTTACTGTGTCAGTCACATTCTGCTTACCGGTGTACTGTAGAGAATATTATATGGCAAGTAGTTATGTAGAACAGCCGTTGGGTAGATGTGTAAGACGTAGTTTGGCGCATGCTCCAAGGATCCATGAACTGCACTGTACGACACTTGTTCACAATCAACCTGTAAAAGAATTGTTCACATTCAACTTCATATATAGAACCTTCTTGCAACAGAGTACAGTTTGATGTTAAATCATTAACAAGTCAAAGCCTTTGCTCGTCTAAAAACAGATCTTTCTCCTTCATAATGAGCGGAAATAAAAACCGCTCAATATTTAACTGAACAGTTAAACAGTATACCTATGATAAACGTCTTTTATCATAGCTCTCAATTACAAAAAGCCTCAATTACTACGCGCTTCGCGCTTAGGCCATAAATCCAAGCGAAAAAACCGATTCCGTAACTTGCGGTACAGACCTCGAATTCAGTTAGTAAGAGGTATTTATTTTGCAATCTCAAATAGTTTTATTTACACATAATTTATTAATGCATAATTTTCGAAAATACAATAATTTTTTTTTACAAATTACTTTCGACGCAGAAGTTCCTCTGAAGTAGCTTACCGCGATATGAAAAGGTGGTCCCTCGCCTCCCGGGGGTGGACACTGAACTGAAGAATACCCCTCAGATGCCAACTTGTTCCACAACAGCGGTGTCGTACTTGCTCCATACCTTAAGATAAAGAACAACAACAAAAACAAAAAAATCACAAAAAAATAAAACAAAAGAACATATATCAGAAACAAAGAAGTTTCGATTTAAACCTTGTCCTTTTTGTCCTCAAGTCAGAAAGTGTTTCCATTACATTTTACAGATTGATGTAAAACCAAATTCTTGTAACAAATATGTACCAGCTAAGGGGGAAAATTAACGATCAGATTTTGGGAGTTAAAAGGGTAACTGGAGAATCGACGTCACGTAAAACCTGGCAAAATTGCTTCTTATTGCAGTTTCGTAGCAGTAGCATCTCGCCACAAAACAACTGTCTCTATATTCCCGAACGCCAATGGGGCATAATCCCAAAAAAATAATTCTAATGAAGTACCAATGAACTGATCGCAGTTGTCATTGTCAAAGCACAGATCACAGTAAAATAAACAAACCCGAATCCCGCAGGTCTAAGATAAAGTGCAGCCTTATGAGCCAATATTAGGGGAACACTGAACACACTGTCCGGTTGAATTGTTGTGACACGGGACAACTGATCTTCCTTCCTACACAGTAAGTCCACTGAGATCGGGAAGTGGTTGTTGACCTGTGTTAAAAAGCGTTGTGTTATGAAGGCAACATTAAACCAAACTTTGTTGCTAGTTTTGTTTTGCTTTGTTACTTTTTCCACGCTACACGTACCTGACAAGTTAAAAGCATTTATTTTTTAAAATCCACTCTGAACCACGGATAATCACAATCAATGTCAGTATCTGAGCACCTACTACGCACCTACCCCTCCCCTAAACCCAACGACAGCCAACGAATGAGAAAGGTTTATGTCAGGTTAGGGGAGGGGCACGTGCGCAGTTGCTGATATAGATCTGATAAGTTCTGCGTACTAACCTGTAAGGGTGATCTGATAGTTACTATCTTCTGGCCGTCTCCAGTTTCCACTTGAATCACAACTGATACAATCAATCCAGAAAGGAGCTGTAGAGAAAAGCACGTGTTATTTTAATTTTTGATTGCTCTATCGTTCATTTCAACTCAGTTTTCATTCAGAAGTTGGCGATTAACGGTTCAGAGAGCAATCAAAGCTCCAAAAAGAAAAACAAAAGTTTGTAAGCAAAAAAAAGTACTCATTCAAAAACAAAGAAATAACAGGAAGACCCCGTTAGCAAATTAGCAAATGTTGACGAAAAACTTAGACAGCATAAAGACACTGACCTTGTAAACAAATAGGAAAGGATCTAGGTCAGTATTTGAGCAACTGCCCACCTAACCCTCCAGTAACCCAACAACAGTCAACAGATATCAAGTTAGGCTGTTAGGGTTAATGTTGGATCAGGGGAGAGCTATATGCACAGCTGTACAGATACTGACATTGACCAGTAAGAAATATAATTTATAGGGTTATCAGTATACCAGTATTTCTGAAACAGAGACGAGTGGTTAGCGTTGAAAGCCAGAATTGAGCCCACAGAAGAGTCGAGAAAGCTAAAGTCGTTTATAAAATCACGTTTCCCATAAGAGAGCCGCTAATTTAGGGTATTTGCCCTTCACCTAATTTGAGTCAAGATCCGTTATCAGGACCATTTCGTTTATGGTGCTCATTGCTGGTAATAAAACGATCATATCTATAAACTAAAATGTAAGAATACTAACTAAGCATACAGAGAATTCAAAAGCAATTTTCAACTGAGTGTCAAAAGGCATCTAAGATTACTTTAGTTTTGCTCTACTTTGGTTTCTGGTCGGATTCGAAAACTTACATTCTTAACTGATGAGACGCAAAACAGTACTAAAACCCAACCGCAACTTTGTCATTTTGTATTTTCCCATGTATTTTTCATCACTGGTTTTTGATGACAATCAATTGAAATGTGCCCTAAAGTGATTTATTTAAATTAAACTCAATTATTACATTATTCATTAATCTTAACATAAATTTCTCTTATTTCATCAGAGCATCACCTCCAGACATAATTGAAGCAAGAAACGAGGTCAATATTACTGCATCATGACACGGTTTGGTTAAACAACGACGTTAGAATTCATTTTCTGTAAATCCAATAACTAGACACTGATCATCGTAACGTTGGCTGGAAAAATCTGGTGGAAAGTTACCTCAGTCATACTTGACAGGAAAAAAAAGTATTTATCTCACTTTTAATACTTTACAAACATCTCTGAGGTGTTTCTAGCCTACTACAACTGACAATTATGTACAGTAAGATTTGAAAAAGAAAAAAATATGAGCTGTGTTTCAAAAATTTAAATTAATTGAGGTGGTACATCGGCTGATCAGTTAAATCCAGTTAGGCCGGAGAACAACAATATTTGAGTGGCTTGGTGAAGCAGAAAGCCAACTTACTTGATCCAACATTTAAATAAAATGTGCATTTGGATCAACTGTTCTAAGAACTGTTTTTAGTTACCAGTTCCACATTTAAGAGGACGGAAATTGTTCTTTGTTCAATCAACAAAAAGGGTATCAGTATACAAAATTATATTTTATTGTTTATACCTATTCTTATTATACTTAATTATAATTTATTTTTGCCTGTCATCGTTTATTTGTTCTTACCTTTTTGGGGATGACATTTTGTAAGATAACTCTTGCTTGTTTGATTGAGACAGGTTTCATCTCATGATAGCCTTGCACCTAATGATTTCAAAACAAGATTCAAGTCAGGGTTTCTTAGGATTCCAAGTTTTGTGATTTTTTGGGCACTGCAGACAGACGAAATAAATCTTATCCTGGGAAATCTTTGTAACTGCTGCTGAAAAGCTGGTTCTTTACTTGGAAGAACCTCCCCGCAAAATATGTCTACAACCACCAGCACCATACAAAAGATTTAATCACATTTACACGACAAAAGACGCATGACTAACGTCGACTGATTCTTACACCAAATACCATCACGCCAAAATTGAGCAATCAGTTCACACGAACCAAACTGACACTTGACTGTAATAATGACTGCCGCTAAGGTTATTGAAACATTAGTTACTGCTAGCGACAACAGTTTTTCTATGGACTACTCAAACCCGGACGATCAGACTACACGATCAGCTGTTACTCCTGGTTTCAAACCATTCCCTATCCCAGTTTCTTTTAGCGAAAATACACATCCACTACATCTGGAAGTTTGAGCCTAATGGCTGTTCTCACCTCAACACCAATACTAGGCCCCCCTCCTCCGGAAGTACTATTTGCTCTTTCGTATCGGCTGGTTCTCTTGTGAATTCCTTTGGCAAAGCGTAGGGAAAGGCTTTGACCTGGAAGCATTGTAACCATGCCATCTTGATCAGCTCCACTTGCAATCTATCGTAACACAAATACAATGTATCCTGAGTACAGCTGAAGCGAAACCAAAGTTATCACAACGTCCAATCAGAAGAAAGGAAAATATCTCCAAGAGACAATGAGAACTCCAAGTAAAAACAACCAAACTGCCTAAAGCGCGGGAAAACGCGGGCGACTAATTCATGGTTGGTTTTAGTTTTGCATCTGATATTTTTACAGAGTGACGTCAGTTTTCTGGACAGAACAAAGTAACGCAATCTCTGAATTGAAAATTGCTCTAAAGCAAACCTTGATATGGCTCCTTTCACATAACACGCGTTCAGTGGCTATAACCTTTCTTCACTTTAAAGAAAACTAGGACGGGATTTCTTTGACGTCCTCTTAACAGACGAGTATACAAACTATCTTGATCGAACACAAACGGGACCCCGATAGTATCCGCTAAGAAAAGGTTTCTTTTTGAAACTGAACTTGTTTAATATTCACGATTTTTTATCCTGACTTGCAGCATCTATCAAATTCCGCCTCAAAGAAAGAGGAAAAAGAAGATTCAGGAATTTTGGAGCCAAGAAAAGTACGATGACAACATACCATAAGCTGTTTTCCCGGACGAAGTTTCACTTCTATTCCAAGCTAACAAGAATCAAAACATGACTGTTAGTGATATCGCTGGAAAATTGCATAAAAAAGAAGCTGTTGATAACAAACCTCATTCCATATCTGATAGGGGGGAACGTCTTCAATGGCTATCACTCTTGTACCCTTCAGAGTAACAGCCTCTTTGAAAGCCTACAGACATGAACAGGTATTTCAATATTTGTAACAGAATTAATTTAATAGTGAATTTTCTTTCAGGCCTCATTCATACCACTACTCACTACTGTTATAAATGTTGTTGTAGTCTGCAACTCTGCCATGCTTTGGGATGTCACGCAACGATTTCCCCAAACTAAAGGCCAATCTCTCGCGGGGGGGGAGGGGGAAGGGAGGGTTGCGTGACATGCGTGACATACCAAAGACAGCTTGGAAGGAGGCTTCAGTCATTTTTGTTATCTTTAAAGTCGTGATTGTTTTCATTCTGCTCATTATCAGTATCATAATCGTTACTGTGGCAGTTATTTTTATCACTATCATCATCCTGCTAGTTTTGTACTGACCGCTCCGAGTTTAGTGAAGGTGTCCAGACATGTTTTTGTTACAGTAAGCTGTAATTCATCCTTTGATCGAACTGCCATAGTCATGGCTGCCTCTGAATTGTCATCCAAACTGCTTTTTTCATCTCCACCATTTGCTAAAGATAGCTACGGTGAAAAAAAGGAAAAAATTTGTAACTTGTGGAAAAAGTGTGAGTTTTACAAGGATTTGCCTGTCCTTCGCTACGAGAATTTACTCACGTCAAAATTAACTTCCCAATGTCGATAAGTGCCGTTTTCATTCTCCACCGGCTCAATAAGAGGTTCCCATTCAGACACACTTTCGTTGAAATAGTTTCCAATGACGCCGACTCGAGCATAGACTGACAACTGAAATAAATAAGAAACGCCAAGTCACATAAACCAGCCAAGGGACTATTCCGACCGAGCTTTGTCTCGGTTTCTGTAGCATAAGACTAGTAGGAGTACCGTCATTGCTACACCCCATGAATGGGATTCTTGTCCATCGCAGGTTATCCCCTCTCAGCATTTCTAAAGGTTTCGCTGAGAATTCGTTAGTATCCTTTTACGCTCTTGAGAGGAAAAGCACCGTGAGAGTCACTTGTCACGACCAGAAACACAACTTTGTGACCAAGGGTTTGTTTCTTGAAAGTTCGGGTAACTAAACGGACCCGAAGCCACATCTTAAAATCAAAATTTAAATAGAGAAGCAGGTTCTGGTACCCTTACTAATCCAGTTTGTTTTTAGCTGATATTTTTATTGTGTAACTTTCAAAACTATTGAAAACCCTATCTTAAATGAAAACAGAACAGCTCGGTCCTGGTAACTTAACGGACCTGTAAAGCTGTTTTTTTTTCATTTAAGATGGGGATTTCAAAAGTTTTAAAAATTATGGTACTAAACTATCAGCTAAAGAAACGAATTGTACTTGTTAGGGTGACAGAACCTGCTTCTCTATGCTTCAGATTTTTATTTTAAAATTTGGCTTCGGGCTGGGGACTTTCGAGAAAAGGGCTCCAAGGCCCCCACTTCTGGATTTTTTAACACAGAATCAAGTGCACCAGCCATTAAGGAGACGGGTCCCAAACAAAATAAAAGGGAACAACGAAAAGTAAACAAAAATAATGATATCAACAACAAAACGCAAAAATACAGCACAGGCGTAGTAAACTAACCCAATTCTCCACAAAAATCTCATCAAACTTGATAACGAGAAAAAGCCTTTTACTATTACTCGAAAAAGTTGAAAGGGGTATTAAGATTCAAAAGCCGCTTTTACTGATAAAATATTCACATGAAAATGAACCATTGTCTTTCAAAAAATAATTGCTACAGAAAACGTTATAAATTTTTTTACTTACTGCCGAAGACCAGTTCCGAACTTCTCCTTCGATGGATCCATCAACGGAAAGCAATGGAATCACTTGGCTGCCAAACAAACCTTCCAGCTTGATGTCAAGTCCTTCCATTTTAAAAACCAACTGAGAAAGAAAATAAAAATTTGAATTATTGATATGAATGGAAAATTAATCTCTGGTGGCCCCTAAAAATATCAGGATGACTGATCTTGATCTAAAATGTTTCTTGTAGCGGGGGCGCAGCTAAGATTTTTTTTTAGGAGCGGGGATGGGAAGTTATTGATTTCCGCACGTCGTAGGTAAACTGTCTTTTACCGCTTCTCTTCCTTGTGTATCAGCGGACTCGCATTATTAACGGCAACAGCGATGGACCAATAGTGTACCTAGCATTGGAAAGATTTATGCCGGGTAGATTCTTCGGATTCGCTTGTTTTCTCAAATCTGAATCATGAGATTTGTATTTGCTTGACCTACTGCAAAATTGTGTCTAAAAGAAGGGGGAGGAAGTCACAGGCACCCCAAGAAACCCCTAAGCCACGCCCTTGTAAACTTACCAATTCTGTTTCATGGTTACCAGCCTCGTTGGCATTAACATGGTTGGGAGGCTTCTCCTCACCTAGAGATAAAGGATACAATATTTTTCGTGTAGGTCAATCGCAAAGGATAACAACAGACCATCCCAAGACAATTCATAACAGATCGTTAGCTCATCATGAAGAAGCTAAGACAAACATTCCAAAACGTACTTCCAACTTGAACCTCTTTGGGTAAAAGTCTGAGATGATACAAAGAATCCCACGTCTCATCTCCATCGTCAAGCTTCACGTGATACATCGGTTCGCTTGGCTCAGAGGCGTCTACCTCCATCACTGTAGAACTGTAGTACCGAGGCTTGTTCTTAAACTTGGCTATGACTCTGGTTCCAGGTTTGATATCTGCCGCCTTTGGCGGCACATCAGGAATCACTCTGCGTGACGCATCTTTCATTTCGTACACAAATTTATCTCCGTCATAGAGATCAACATGCAGCTTTGTTCCTTTGTAGGCGACAAATCCTTTGTAGTAGCGTATTTTGGACGTGTGTGCCCATACCACTGTACCTACGTCTAAAATGCCTTCTGGGACTAAAGAAAGGAAAATAGCAAGGCAACAACTGTCTCATTTACTCAAGCACTGATTCTAGATTTCCACCTTTCTGTATCTAGCACATCGAAAAAACGATTGCCCTAGAATTTACGTAGTGTTTTGCGCAGACTACACTAGGTACACTAGAAGTATTTAATGAATATGATTTTATGTCCTCTTCGCGGCAATTATATTATAACCTCTCACTTATGAACAACTCCTTCTACCTTGCCTTGTGGTTTTCATAACAGGAAAGAGATTATATACTGCCTGCGAAGCTACTAGAGTCCGTCGATTAATTTTTTGTGGCGTCTCTCTAACCATGACATATAATTTACATTTATTTATCTCCTACATGTGATAATACTGCGAATCTCAAAACAGTAAAAGAGAACAAAGGATATTACCACACGGAACTAATGAGAACTGAAACTAAAGACATGTAAACTGACTGAAGCGAGGGAAAATGCGGGCGACCAAGTTGTAATTGTTTTAGAGCTGAACCTGATTGGTTGAGAAAGTAGCACGTGTTTCCTTGTCCAATCCTATGATGCAGTATAGCAAAACGAAACCAATTCCGCATTACTTTCGAAACTCAATTGAAAATTGTTTTAGAGTCGTAGCCACACGTACCATTGGGTTTCCTTGTCATCAAAATACGGATGTTGTTGATGTTAAAAATCCACGTATCGCCACCATTTAAGAACCTGACACGGTAAATATCCCCTCCTGAATCGTCTAGTGTCCGAATCTGAACGATAAATCCCGCCTCCCAAAAAGCAGTGTCAACTGTAGCAATAACTGTTCTTCCAACAGTAAGAGAAGCTGCATCTGGGATAACATCTGGTACTACCGCCGCACTGTCGTTTACGTCTACGCTGATAATCGCCACTTCACCGATTAACCGTATCACATGTTTCCTGTATGTTTTGCTGGAGACAAAACCTCTCCTGTACATCTCGTCTTTTAATCTGACAAATACGATGGATGACACTTCAATCTGCCCCCTACAAACTACAAAAAAAAAAAAAAACTGAGGTAGACTATTACATGCGCATCTTTGATTTTAGATGCACTTGCAAAGCATGAAGTTCATTTAAATTTTTCAAATATTAAACGGCGATCTTCGTTCGCACTGAATCCGATGGGGTTTAGTTCAGTCTCCGGTTATTCGAGCTAATTTCGTAACTTTCCCAACCAACACAGCTGGACTAATGTGAACCTATGCTGACAACAGACATGTAACATAGCTGGAATTATCAGCCACAACTCCTCAAACTTCATACCTCCTGGCTTACTAGTGGTGAGAATACGAATCTGATCTAGAGTATCCCATTGTCCGATGCCATCCAAAAAGTCAATTAAATATGTTTCCTTTCCATTCTCCTCTTTCCTTTCTTTCACTTTTCCTTCGACATGAGATGAATCGTTTGAACGCTTCGCTACCACAGGTGTACCAAAAACCAGAGCTTTAGGATCAGGATCTTTGTCCACCACAATAGCGGTAATGTCATTTGGATCATAGGCAGTTGGGAAGCCGCCGTCAAAGTGGACACCAATCATGTTTTCCAAAGCCACGTAAATATATCCCGGATCATACAACTTCATGTTAGTCAAAGCTCTGGCAAGCACCCGTCTCCCAGGAACAAGCTGGTCTTCTGGAACTAAAACGCAAATCACAAACGTGAAAAGTTTACCCCAGCCTTAAAAACACGGGAAAGCTCTCAAGAGTTCTTATTAAGAGTACGGACATCAAGTACGGGCATGCAAGAAATATTTAAAAAACTCACGAAAACTGTCATTCCCTTCACGAATTGTTTTTAAATGCTTACAACTAGATCCCGAAGCCAACATTTGAAAACTTGCACACTCAAATGCGGTTTAGACCCTGACGACGATTTTTGACCGAAAACGAATAAACCCAAATTTTAAATTCAAACCTGCTACTAAGTGCCTGAATAATAAGAATTTGGTCTTAGTTTTCGTAGAAGATAAATGTCTCAATCCCAGCCCTCACAAGAGGGGAGTGAGTGTTCTCACCCATAAACTAACCCTCTCCACCCCCCCCCCCCCCCCCCAAAAAAAAAAAAAAAAAAAAGAAAACCTTTTGGGCTCTATAGAATACTTAAAGGTAAACCTTTACCATAATGTCTGGATCATAGCCGTGATATTCTGAAAGTTCAACATCAATGATATCTAAAAAAAATTACTTTTATCTATTTTTGGCAATATACAAGGAAATACTGAGCAAAGCGTTCCGTTTTTCTTCATCTGAGCAAATAATTTGCACGCAACCTCAGAAACAGGATGGATAACTTTTACTCCGTCAAAAGATGGTTCCTTCATCTAGGCATATAGTACGTTAAATAAACGTAACGTTTGCCTCACCTGGGGATAAATACCATCGATCCTTAGTCGTAATTGGCTTTTCATTCCATAAGTCTACGGCAGTTTCAGTTGCCTTCTTTCCATCTTCTTCCGTCTGGAGAGAAAAAATCGAAAAGGAAGATAATACGAATGATGAAACACGAGCAGACATTCAACTTGACTCTTTCGTATCGGTTAATAAGTCATAAAAACGTTGAATAAGGATTTTTACAGATGGTTTCTTAACCCCTTAACTTCCATGAGTGATCAAGACACAACTTCTCCTTACGTTATCAATACGAAAGCAGACAAGTGATGAGAATAAAGAAAAATATCAACAAGGGATTATCAGTCGATCCAATGACAAATTCTCTGAAGAAACATCATAAAAATTGTCTATCAACCAGTAAGGAGATTCAGTAATGAAATCTTGGAAGTGAAAGGGTTAAAAAGGATTTCATAACTCATAGAAACCTTAAAAAAAGCTATTCTTATCAATATGTTCATGAGACACAAAAAACTTCCAAGTACGTTCTTACCAATGGTTCTGTAAGCTACACAAACCTTAGCTGGGGCTAATGACATCAGACACGCTGTTAATGTCCTGATGGTAGGAGGCGACACGTGTATGTAAGCTATTGCTGTTGATACGTCAATATGCATGCTACTGCCTTCTGGTACCGAGCTTACAAAATATATATGCGAAAGCTGAAGAACCTGCAAATGAAAAGGTAAGTAAACTGTTCCAATAACTTATCAGGGAGAAACATTAATACATGAAGAGCTTACTCTCTGATGTTTTTAAGGCAGAAAGCACGTAGGATCTGGGCTACTCTTTGGGAAAAAACTACGCATTCAGTTAAAGCAAAGAACGCATTTCGATTGAGTGCGACAGGAACGCAAGAAAAAGCCTGTGACCAAGTCGCAATTGGCTGAAGTTTTGAATCTGATTAGTTAAGAAAGGAGCGCGACCTTCTGGACCAATCACACAACAAAGTAAAGTAAACCAAAGAAACCTTAGATTCATTTGGAAACTCAATTGAAAGTTTCTTCATCAAGGTTGAATATCCCGGCGCGTAGTTCGCTATTTACAATCGTGACCTACGACTCGAACCCAAGAGCTCTGGTAGGTAAATTTGACTCCTCTAGTCACGTTGTCGCACCGCTGATCAATTACCCAAACCCTCAAGTAAAAAAGGAATAAAGTTTCACCCTGGATTTGGTTGAAGCTCTTCTCTCCTTGTCAAACGCTGCTAAGTTAATTACGACATCTGAAACAGAACCTGACATGTTTTGCTGTCCAAGACCCTGAACAAAGCGGAAATCGATTGTATTCTGCACGAAAAAAAAAAGAAAAAAACGTGGAATAAACTATTCCCTTATGTTTGAGAATATAAAACACTCATGAATATATAATTTACTGAGAACATATATAATTTACTGAGAACATATATAATTTACTGAGAACATATATAATTTACTGAGAACATATCCGTGATGTAAACCGTCACAGTTCCACTTTTCAGGGGAATCCAATCCTTAAGTAAAAGGGTCACAAGCCGTTTTTTTCAAAGTCGATTCACCCTTCGCGAATACCTTTAAAAAAAAAGTTTCTCCGTAACTTTTTACATCAACAGACACGATAAACTGTGGCTTCGAAAGCCATTTCGATAGCCATTTCTTCCTTTTCCGTAGTTTCTTTTCCGGTTATACGTGTATACGTTGACTGACTCTTTGCCTTGTGGTATGTTGGCTTCCATCCTTGACTGCTCGTTTGAACCTTCTTTTAAAGGGGGCGAGTTTCTAAAGAAACTGTGGTGCTGCGTCGGTGGGAGAGTATAGCAGGTAATTTAGTGTCAACAACTGAGTTGAAAACGAAAATTGGCCACCGTAAAGAGTAAGAAAGCTGACGTTTCGAGCGTTAGCCCTTCATCAATCGCTCTGACAAAGGGCTAACGCTCGAAACACCCCCTTTTTTTACTCTTTACGGTAGCCAATTTACGTTTTCAACTCAGTTGTTAACACTAAATTACCTGCTGAACCTTCTTTTGTTTGGTTGCAAAGTAGTGTTCAACCCCCTTGACCCCTACGAGTGACTAGAATCTAATTTCTCTTTGGAAAATCACCCCTAAATCAAACATTTAGGTCAAGAGAACAAAGAAAATGATCACCAACGAAAGAAACTCTTGATTGTTAAACATATTCTCCTTGTGAGCACCTAAGGAAATGTATAGAGAACAGTATGGAGAATACGCATACTGATGTTTACACTGATGGTGTAGAGGGTTAATTGGATGTGAACTTCCATCTCTGTCTGGTCAACTATGCACCGTTGGATTTGTACCAACCTTCAAGAAGAGAGCATTGGTATTTTTGTCTCTTCCATCTGCTAGCAAGATAATTTCTGGGTCTTTAATGGCGATCTGAACGACGATTTGTGGTGGTTCTTCATCGGTGTTCGCAACAGTGACAGATGGATGTGTAATAGCCACCTTCTGAGATACGTGTTTAGAGGCAAGTAATAACGTGCTGTCTGATTCATCCGTGGCTAACGCTGACGTAAACACTTTAGACAGAACCAGTAGAAACTCCAGGTTCACTACCGCGTTGAAGCTCTTTATTTCCATCTCAACTGAATATGTAAGCAGAAAAAGGCGAAGTTTGAGTTTTCGGCCTCAAAACAACGGTACCCCAATGTCTTAATGTATTCTACACACTCTGGTTTCAATCACATTTAACTACAAACTAATAAAGCAATTATCAATTGAGCGTCGAAAGTAATCTGATATTGCTTTGGTTTTGCTTTACTTCGGTCTGTGATTGATCTAGAAATCTTTTGCCATGCTTTAGGCCAATCAGACGTCAAAAGATAACCGATCGCGGTTTGGTTGCCCGCGTTTTTTATTTCCCTATTTTAAATGAGTCCTCATCGATCAATGATGTCACAAACCTTCGTTATGATTGGCTATTGGGATAACTTTGGTTTTGGTTTTACGTCAGTCAATGGAAAACTGATCTGTAGGCTAATATTCTAAAATTATTTACCTCATTATCACAGTCAATTTTGTACTGCAGCAGCAAGGATGAAAACAAAGAACAAAGTGTTCTTCCTACATGAAACTTAGTCTTTAAATTAGAATAAAACAATAATCTTAATTTCGGATTATATTTTAGGTTCACATTCAATTGATGGAGTGATGAAAAAATGGTGGAATTTTCGACTTTTACCTTTCTGCTTCTATAACAAAGATATCAAACACAAGAGCAAACATAGAGATTTTTACAATGTTATAGAGAGCTTTGTATCTCTCGTGAGCCACAAGTGCATTTGGAAGGAGAATTTCACCCTAAGCTGAGTTGTCACCAAATGACAACGTGACCATAAGAATGAAAATCATAATCAAACTTACTGTTTTTATCCTGAGCAGCAGTTTGCTGGAACTGAATATCGATCATGTTTTCAACATCACTTGAGCCACCACTAAACTTTTCAATCATCCTGAAAACCAACATAGTAATTTTTCCATAAATAGCAAGTGCATAGATTAACACGCTACATGACTTGAAGCATTTATCAACTAAGTACCTAGAGTGATCCGCAGTTACATTCCCTTACTTCGCGCTATGATACGACACAACCAAAAAAACGAAGGGAGTCGCTTTCTACATTGACTTCTCATTGGCTTCACTGGATTTTCCTTGTTTTGATGAGTTGTCATCATTCCTTTGGAACGACACCGGACGATGATGTGCGTTAAAAAACTCAATTAAATTTAGATCAAAAGTTGGGGGCAATGCAACCATATTTCGGAGCAGAGGAACTTCGCAAGGGGGCGACGGAACATGAGGCAACCATGTAAGGGGCGACGCCTTGGGGCGCCTCTAATGCTCATTGTATTGCAGAAGGCGACAAATTAGTAAAAAGTCAAAATGAGAAACGTAACACTGGTGAACTACACATTATTGCATCATTTCTTACCTTGTGACTCCTTCCTCACTCTGCGGCCTTTTATCATCGAGAATACAACTCTCTAACGTCACACTGGCCTTTATTGCCGAGTTGGATTTGATACTTCCTGAGGCTTTCACCCGGACCAGCGAGAACTGCCCTAGACAGCATTCTGCATCTCTGGATGACGTGGTGCTGGCAGGCTGAAGCAACTGATGGAGCATCGTGTAAAAATGGAAAAAAAACATTTTATGATTTTACATTACCCACCTTAGCTATTTCTGGCACGATCATTGAGCAGTTATAAAGGGGGTACGTTTCTGAAGAAACTGTTTTGCAGCGTCGGTAGGAGAGTATAACAGGGTAATTCGGTATTATCAAGTGAATTGATAATGTAAATTGGCCACCGAAAAGAGTCCCAAAGCTGATATTTCGAGCGTTAGCCCTTCGATAGAGCGAAACATCAGCTTTGAAACTCTTCGCGGTGTCCAATTTACGTTATCAACTCAGTTGATAATAACAAATTACATTTAGCACGTAACAAACCTTTTCCTTTTCCTTCCAGAACACTCCAGCTGAAACTTCTTCAATCTCAAATGAAAACTTCACAAAGTCCCACACACCATCACTCGAAGCTGATTCTGCAACACTCAGGCTTCGACTGGCAACGCCTGCGGAATCTGAAAGGTAAGGCATGACTATTTAAGGCATATTAAGTAAATTAGAATTTCATAATTCAGGTCCTAGACTAAAACATTTACTCAGTGATTAAGTGTTATATTTGCTTGAATGTTAGCTTGTCCTCAGTTTAGTGTCATATTGCCACATAAAAAGAGCCAACAGATTTCAGAACTTGGTTCGTCCTTACTTCTCCTAATTTTCTGCCCAAACATCAAAGGACCTTAATGGAAACTAGCACAATTGGTAATAACAGCGGGAAAGGCATAAGAAGGTAATAGGAGTTGTAATAAAATATGTGCATATTGTTCATCGTGGTGTAAGATAGGAGATGAACTTTGTTCGTTTGTCTCACGATAGAGTCACTTATGATGTAGATCGCAACGTTTCGACTGCAATACTGCCAGTCTTCATCAGGAGACGAGGTCGATTGTTTGCTATTTGTAGCACGTTGGTACGCTGCTATTGGCGCATTTCGATCCTCATTATTATTCCGGTCGTTAGATAGTGTTCCCTCATAGGTCCTCATAAATCGGCTGTTGTGTTTTTTGATCGTGGGCATCCAAGCTTCGAGGATGTCGATTCCGCTATCTCTATTGATGTTGTTGGGATGAAGTCTGATATGGATAGCCTCTTTGACCCTACGTGTGTACCAGTGGGGGTCACGATCAATAAACTTAACCTTGCTCCAAATAGGAATATGCCCCGTTTCGTTAGCGTGCTCCGAAACCGTAGAGGTCTGAGTAGGAGCAAACCGTATGTTCCCGTCATGTTCTTTTATCCTTTCTCGCATTGATCTCCCAGTTTCACCGATGTACACTTTGCCGCATTCGCATGTGATCTTGTAAACGAAACCGTCTTGTTTTGATGGTTCCAGGGCGTCTTTAGGTCGTACTAAGTGAGAACCTCTGATACACCCTTTATGTAAGGAAGAACGGCAGTAGATTTAAATTTCTGCGCGGGTTCTTTGTCAATTGTTACCCTTGTTCTCTTTGCGAGTTTTCGTACAAATGAAGAAGGATAACCATTAGAAACAAGAACTGGTGACAGGTGTTTCTTTTCCCCAGAGATAACTGACGGTTTCGTTGTGAGGTGTTTGGCTCGGTCGTAAAGCCACTTAACAATACCACGCTTCACTGACTGAGGGTGGTGTGAATCATAAGCTAGGTACTGGTCGGTGTGAGTGGACTTTCTGTAGACAGAGGTGGTGAGAGGACCGTCTGAGTCCCTTGTAACTGTTGTGTAGAGAAAAGGAATAGTGTTATCTTTCTCGATTTCCATGGTAAAACGAATAAGAGGCTCTTGACTGTTTAGATGTTGTAAAAAGCCGTCGACATGGTCCCGGTTTAAGACTGTGAAAGTGTCATCTGCAAGTCGCATTTGTTATCGCTTGTCCCTCAAATTCTTCCATGTAGATTTTGGCTTTAACCGCAGAAACAGGGATTCCCATAGCTGCTCCGTCTTGCTGTTCCTAAATCGACCCGTTATATTGGAAATTCAAGAGGTCCGCAATTTGTGTAGGTGTTACGTTCGTGCGGTTAGCAAGATCGCTGTCGTTCTCTAGTTTTCGTAATGAGGCTTGAACTGCATCTCCGATCGGTACGTTTGTAAACAAAAATTCTACGTCAAAAGATACCATGACTTCGTTATCATGTACTTCCTCGTGACTGATGGTTGACATGAAGTGCGCAGAGTTAATAACTGAGCAGCCTGAGTTGCCTGTCAAGGGGGACAGGATATTGGCTAGGTATGCCGACAGATCGTAAGCAAAGGTGTTAATACATGATACAATTGGTCTTAACGGTGTGTTGGGCTTGTGTATCTTAGGTAAACCGTAGATCCTACGTGACTGTTTGTGCCTTGTTTGATCTTGTTATAGTTGGTTTCCGATAGATGTCCAATTTGTTTCAAGCTGAGAAGCTTGTCAGTGAGTTTACGGCTTAGCCGTTCTGTTCGGTCTTTGTTAAGGAGTCGGTACGGACCCGTTTCGATTAAGGTTTTCATTTTGTTATGGTAGATGTTTGTGTCTAGGACCACACTAGCGCGGCCTTTGTCCGCCGGCAGAATAGTGATAGTGTCATCTTGTTTTAGATTCTTACGGGCTACTTGCATATCCTTCGTAGTGTTAGGCTTAGGTGGTTTGGCCTGTCGAAGGATACCGTTTACAGTTCGTCTCACGGTGTCTGCTTGCTCTGAGTCGAGCGTTCTTATTGCCGACTAGAATTTGGCGACTATTTCGGTGGCTGGGATGTTGGATGGAGCTACTGCGAAATTCAACCCTTTTTTTTAGTAACGATACCTCAGTGTCGCTAAGGGGGCGTGAAGATAAGTTTATTATCCATTTGTTTTTGTCGACTTGAGGTGTATGGTGAACATAATAGGGATCGTCATAATAAAACCCTCAAGAATTCTATGTAAAAAAGGGAGAATCTTACCAACTGTACCTTGTGTTATAATGCTGATCTCTTCTGCAATTGTGAAAACATCGGTGATCAGTGTCAAAATAACTATAGAATCAAAGATATAAATTTTCAGTGGCTACTCATTGCGACACCTTTACCTTTGCGAGATGTGACTCCTTCACTGAGATTCTTGAACAAGATCCCTTGTATAGTTCTTATTTCATCTTCACCAGCACATAACTGTACAAAGACATAACTCACTCAGTCTGTAATACCATATAAAATCTCTAATTTTTGACGGGGCTAAATGTAATTTAGACAAAGTTAGAACGAGGTAGGTTCACACCAATCTGCTTCATGGAGGACTGAGGGAAGATTGCCAAGGCAGTGCTTTGTGTATGTGCTCAGTTTACTTTAACCCCTCCCCTTCCCCTCCCTCGCATCTTCTGGGTAACTTTTCACCCCACACAGCAGTTAGTCGATGTTACGTTTAAAGCTGCATTAACTTACGCTAACCAACGGCATGTACCCTCAAAAAAAAATTGAATTGAATTTCATAAGAAATATGAGAAGCCACACTGTACTTTGATTTCTTCCCACAATAAGTCTCACTTAAAATCTCAATCTAAGTACCTTAATGGCAAAATACTTTCTTTTGAAACACGGCGAGTTATCTAGACGTCCAAGTTGATGTATTCAAAAGGCCACCATGTGACTGAAGGGATGTCTACTGAGTTTGAGAAATATACCGAGATTGAAATTATTCAATGGTGGGAATAAATTACGAAATGCAAACCATTCTGCTTTGAATGCGTTCAATTGTTTATTCCCCTTTCAAGTGCTTTTTTTTCAATAAACTAACCTTAACTGCATGAAGCTTTCCCTTCACATCGATATAAGGCACATCGCGATACCAAGGAGACAAGTTTCGAGCCACATGAACTGTCACATTCGCTGGTTCAAGGACCAGTTGGGTGGGTCCTATGGTTTCCCCATCAGCCATCACAGCTCTTATTATAAAAAGGAAAAGGAAAAGGATTATTTTATCAGACACGAGTGTGGCACAAATTTTTAACCTCTTCGCCTTCACCTAGCATCAAACTATGCATTTCTTTGTGGAGTTCTTTTTTCTGAGTATGCCTGTGTCATTCACTGCATAACATCATCTTTCACCAGGCTTAAAAATTTACCTTCCTCAGTTATATCATCGCGTAGAAGTATCTCATATCGATTGCAGATAATTTGTTACCATGGATTTTGTTCCACGAGTCTCTTACAGCGAAGCCTGAGTGGCAGAGTATCCCAAGTACTAACCGGAAGGTCTTTGGTTCAACTCATTTTGGGAGCACACGGAATCCCGGTAACTTGAATTTGAGTTTTACAGTTCTAAGCTCATGAATTCAATAGGAAAACTAACACCACGTTCTCAACCAGTCACGTGATTCTTTAGCTAGACAACCAATTAGTGCAAACAGAAATCTAGACACTTAAGTAAATAATTTGTTCATGCGCTTATTTTAGGCAATTCGCACCACGAAACAATAGCGAGTTTAAATAGGAACCGAAGACTTATCGTGGACACCTAATTTATGGGGTGCTTACACGCTTCTCGTGAGAACATGAACTCTATTGAATTTAAGCCTGTCTCCTAACGTTTGGAATGCCTTAAACGATATCTGAAAAAAAACAGTTCAACGCCTGCCCAAATGGCTACGAGGAGTGGCTTCAGGCTGAAGGTATACACAGCCGCACAAGCCATTAAATCAACCGTGTTTCAAAAGCGCTGGAATAAATGATGAAATCAATACCTCGACAGTTTCACAGAGCTAAGTTCCACCACCATGTTGTCAATAACAACAGTATCACTTCCTTCAGGATCCTTTCCATCATGTGCAAGGTTGAAGGTGTTTGACACACTAAGGTGACCAAGATTTGCAACAAGTGCATCGCGAGACGTCGAACTCACAGGGATGATAACCTCCGGTGCTTGGATAGAAACTTTCATGCTTATTCTTGAGCTTTGAGTTTGCAAACTCTGAATCTAAAAGTCAGAAAAACACATATTTACACCTGCTAAAGTGCGTCAACCACACGGCTTGTTATAACGGCGTCACCCTTTTGTTCCTAACAGTGAACAGCGTCTAATTTCATTTTACAGTATTTCCCTTTTATCAAACATCAAGACCAAATTAGGAATCTCTTGATTTTGAACAAATTCTCCTTGTCAAAACAATAAAAATAGTATGTAGAGCAGTGTGAACAATATAAATACCGCTGCTAACCCTTTAATTGCAAGTGACCAAGACAGAGTTTCTCCTCACAAATCAGTACAATATCAAGCATACAAGGGATGAGAATACAACAAATTTCATCAAATGAAACGTGCGAGGCTTTATTACTGTGATCTTATGAACAAACTCTCTCAAACAACGCCTGTGGTTGTCATCTTTTGAAAAAAACTGATTAACCTTCATGGAGGAAACTCGACGTAACTACAAACATAGTCAATCGTGCGCTATCATGAGATTCCGGGAGTGGGAATTTGAGCAATCCGAAATCCTTTGAAGATACACTTTTGTAATTATATGTTATTTGAAACACGTTGAAGTCGGCTGATCTACACCAAACTATCCTCACACCGGTCAGTTGCAACAGTAGCAATTTGAACGACATAGGCATCTCCTTACAAAGAGCAGATTCGGGCAGTTATCATTTCCTTGCGACAGGAACGAAGATATTTCGAATCATCTGAAAACTGTCAGAAAACTGTTAGAAAATTTGCATAAGATATGATGAGGAGAGACTTATCACCGCCGCAGTGCTATCGAGTCAATCAATGTTTCCTTCCACGTCTTGATAAAGAAAAAATCATAACAAAGTTCGAAATAAAATATTTAATGAGATCATAATGCCATAATTTCACCTTTCAAACAACTTACTATCCACACGCAAATCACAACTTCTCACTTGAACGAAACTCCCATGGTAAATATGTAATCGGGATTGCTTCATGTCCTTCAGGAAAAAGAACAGCGATTTCATCACCATTATTTTCCATACTTTTCTCCCGGATATCTTTTACAAGCTTAAAGAAAGATGAATATAACGTAATCTCCCAGTGATTTACACGAGAGGAAGTCAAAGGTCTCTTTAATTTTCCCCTGAGGTGGCTGGCTCACCACGAAGAAAAAGGAGGTCGTTCGGTCCCATAACGTTAGTCTGTGGAGATTATCAATGTAATAACTGAGAATATTGTGCCCTTTAGTTCATCAGTGACAGCATTAATTATTTCAAATCTGTATTTCCCGGTCCAAGCGACACCAAAAATAGTTCCTTTGTAATTTTGTAAGCACTTTCTATACCATTTTATTGTCAAGGGAAATAAATCTCAAGGCTCAAAGCCAATCTAACCTTCGAGCACGTGAAAGACTCCCTGAAAAAAACTAAATTTTTGGAAATTGATCGCTGTACTGCAGAGATACTGAGTAGTTCAAAATCTCCACTTCGTGATGATTTTCGCGCGAGTCGTACAAATTGCTATTGTGGCGACTGGGTTTTACATGTATAACTGCCGCTGACAAGTTGCGATTTCTGCCCTCAGATTCTCAGCATTTACTAGCGTTCAATTAAGGTTTTCTCCTTTTTTTTGGGTTGGTTTTTACTTAGAATGCGCGGAAATCTGCTGATATATCGAAAAATGTCCATTTCTCGTCTTCTTTGGGGCGACCGATGGAAACTTCATGGAAAAATACAGCATCACGCCATCGTGACAACGTACATTTTTATGACAAATGACCGGTGTGAGGATAGTTTCGTGTAGATCAGCCGACTTCAACATATTTTAAATGACATAAAAGTATAACAGTGTATCTTCAGAGGACTTCGGATTGCTCAAATTCCCATGGGGGAGGTGCAACACTCGGAATCTGGATGATATGCACACGATTTGAGGTATATGTTTGTAGTTACGTCGAGTTGTCCTCCATGAAGGTTGATCAATGTTTTTCAAAATATGACAACCAGAGGCGAGATTTCTCTTCGGGATATTGCTTATAAGATGACATTCTTTCAAATCCTTGCATGTTTCATTTTTCTGAAACATTTGTTGCTGAGAATATTACATATTAACATGGCCAAATTATGATTGATCTGATTTTGAATCAATAAAAAGTAGAGGCAGGCCCGCAGAGATTTTTACATATTTAAAAACTAGAATGTTATAAACAGCTAGGTGGGTAGTTTCAGTTCCAGAATCGCTGTACTTTTGGAGAAATTCAGATAAACGTTTTCCCTGTTTTACCCGACAACAAAAATGACCGAAACTGTAGCGAGATGAAAAATCTATTGGTGTATTCACATACACTCCCAGGGAAAATTGAATGAATCAGTATGAAGACGAATGATGTCACTATGTATGGTAGAAGTGCCAATTTGTAATGTTGTATTTAGCTTGAGATAGAGAAATAAACATTTCACTCTTTTTTTTTGCGACGTTTTTGTATGAAAATGAGGCCCCAGGCCTCGAACAATGAGCCGTTGTTACCATGGCAACAAGGGTGCTGCGACCTTTAAAAAGAGCATTTTTGTGCATCCCCCCTGAGTGCCTAACTGCATGTAAAATTTGAGGGGGGGTTGAAAATTTTCATTTCCCAAGATGTTTGATTCTTACAGACTTGTTCTTAATAACGGCTGGTGACTCACTATTGCACTGGCTGACTCTGCTGCAGCTTTTCTGGCATACTCCATAGCATCCTTTGCCCGCTGATACTTGTTCAAAAAGTCCTGACATAACACAGAGATTCATATCTGAGCTTACAATGATTTCATCCTTCGAAAGATAAAGTGATCATATCTACTCAAGTAAAATTAACCGTACTAGTTACATGTAACTCGCAGTCTGTAAAAAAAGTAAAAGCCATTTCATTGCTCTTGGCCGAGGCGCATTAAATATCAGTACAATGAATGGAATTTTATTAAAATTTAAGGCCGAAAAATTTCCATGAAAATATAAAACACAAAATCCTAGAGCTTTACTAACTTCAATTTCTGCAACTGTAAGGAATCACAAATGCTAATAATATTGACGCTAATAAAGTTAACTGACCAGCAGCTTCATCACAAATTTGTTTAGGAAGATGACACGGATACAACCGATTGCCACCTCGAATTTCAGATCTACAGCTTCCATGTCTCTAAACTTGATGCCGCCAGTTGCATTATTGTGTGCAATAACCTAGGAACATGAGGTATGGACTAAAATTAGAGAGTTTTACTCTTACCTTAAGTTGATAATGATGATCATGAAAGAACCCTATTTAGTCTCCACTACACAACAAAAACACAGTAGTGTACACCAAATAAGTTTATTTAGGGAAGCCTGCCGAGAACCAACCCGAGGCACATATAGCCCGAGGCGTGCATACATACATTCGCAACTGATATACCATATACAATCCTGATATAAAGTCAATTCCTTACACATTCAAAATAGGTATACATTACTAACATGCACACTTCACCAAGTCGGGATTAACAGAGGTGGGCAACCGCTTACAAGGACATTACTACGGTTATACGGAGGCCAGAAAAAACCTGCCAGAAAAAAAAACCCCTTTGGGGAAAAAATATGACAGGAAATCTGGGTAGGAACCATGGCCCACACTCAGAGCAGTTGGCAGCCCGTCCTACGAGGCTTCACAGTTAAAGAAAATAAGTTTCAAACTAAAATAAATTTGTCAACAGTCAGAGGTGGGCGGTTGGTTCTGAGGCCTAGATGGACGCCACGTGCTATACTCCCCCTTATATACCGCTGCATCATTACCCATGATGCTCGGGCCTAAGGCCCGGGCCTTGTCGTATCTCGTGCCGACAAAATATTTATTTCTGCCTTATTCGCAGACTCAATCGTCAGAAATACCATTATACATTGATTGTCATACATCCAAAATCAAAGTTACCACAATTAATGGCCAATCAGAACAGAGCAAAATATTACTATGAGCCAGTGAGAACTCAGAGCAAAACAAGCAAACTGCCACAGGTGCCAAAAAACTAAACGCGAGGATTCAGGTTGCGAGTGGCTAATCACTTTCCACGAGATTGGTTAAAGAATTGGCGTGAGATTTCGTTATCAGTCTTAGAGGACACTTAGAGGAAATTTTCACTGGTGGCAGTACACAAGGTGCAGAACAGAACTCAAACTAAATTGGTATATGACCTTGTGACATTGTTGTCACTCAGTTCCAAGTCTGAAATAAACATTCCTCGTTTTACACACCTGAAGGCTAAATACCTCCTCGTTCACGATGGAGACTATCTTCGGATATAGCACCTCAGTAGTAGAATCCAAAATTGACAAAGTTTTCATACTGAAATGAAACAAAGACACTTAGAGGCTTTTCGATTGAGTGTCGTAAAACCAAAACCAAAGCAACCACAACAGCCAATCATAGCCAGGAAAATATCACAAGGAGCCGATGAGAACTCGAAGTGAAAACAAGCAAACCGCCTGAGGCGCGGACGACACGCGAGTGACCATGTCGCAACTAGTTTTAGTTTTGAATCTGACTGGTTGAGGGAGTGGCGCGAGTTTCTGGACCAATCACATAACAAAATAAAGCGAAACCAAAGCAATCCTAGATTACTTTCGACACTCAATTGGGAATTTCTCTATCAAACGATAATTTACCTAGAAAGTATAAGTGATTTTGATCACGATCATAGGAAAGGGGATATTGACTAGGAAAATTAAGTCATACATACCTGGCCGTGACGTCTGTTCTGTTGTCTCTAACAACACAGCCAGCAGACAAATCTTTGTGTGAAGAAAAATATTGAACTCATCAAACATAAAGGACATTAGTAAACTCAAGAGTGGCTGAAAAGATTACCTTCGATACCAATTCTTTGACGGATTAAAACTACCATAATTGCTCTTTGGCTTCCTTCAAAATATTATTGAACAAAAGCCTAGCAAAATCGTATCATAGCTTGAAGTGAACCTTCCTATTTGTAGACTGGCCATTTATTTTGAGTGAGAGTGGACGGTGGGGTGAGGGAGCGGGAAAGGTGTAATTTCTATTGCCCCACCCTCTCCGCTCCAGAAATTGTGATATGATGATAGGGAATTTGTAACATCTCATTTATGCATCAGTAAATTATGGTTGTTGGGCCGAATCAAACGCAAACAACCCTTAGCTTTCTGCAACACTGTGTTAAAAGAGAAGTAAACAATCCCTCACCTCCGACGATTACATGTGTCAAATCACCCTCAACAGATGTCACTGTAACATTGATTCCTCCCAGCTTTGTAGTCACCTCAATCTGTATTTCATCTTTACTGTCTTTCTTCTTTTTGCCTTTGGGCGTAACTAGCTCAGCCGTTTTATTTACATATCGGCCTTTCGTTTTTATACTGTCAGCAGACACAAGTAGCAGAGCTGGAGTCTCTTCACTGGCAAAAGAGAAAAATAAAACGTTTCTTCAAATAACGATCGGTAGAAAGAGAGTTGTCACGTAAAGATGTAAAAAAGGTTTATTAGAATAATGCTTTGCAGCTGAAAAGCTAAATTGCGTGTATACAAAAGGGTATGATGAATAGATAGATAAACATTAAACGTCATTTACAGAAAACCTTATAAAATCTGTGTACATCTTATCTATATAATCTATATAATGTATATATATAATCTATATAATATATACATATATATATATACACACACACACACACACACATACATATTCAATGAAAAATACATTGTATCTATAAGTCTGTTGCAAAATGCACATTAAAATTGACGTGTCAGGATTGGATATAAACCCCAACCGATCACGGTATAAAGGCGATCAAGAAAAATCGACTGACAATTTTACTTATATGCTGAATAAAATATCTTCGGCTTAATGGGTTATAGTAACTTCCACTTTTTGATAGGTATGGGGCTTCGCTACGCGCACTGCGAGCTCCGCTATCTGTTACCAAATTACAGGTTATTGGAATTGCCCGTTTCCAAAAGCCAAACGTCTTAACCGCTCTTAAGCTACATCATAATTACAGCACCTTGGTGGCAGCATTTTGGTTGAAACATCGATGATGTTGAGCAGAGCTTCTTGATGCAGATTTACTTGCAGTGAAGAAAATTCCAAAGCAACAGACTGCTTGGTGGACTTAAATGTTGAGCTGTACTCTGGATGGTCTGATTCCACCTAAAATTGACATCAAAGTAGTAAGTAAACCTTTACACAACAGCATAAATATTTTCCACACTGTTCTCTATACATTTCCTGAGACGCTGACGAGGAGAATTTGTTCAGTAATAAAGAGCCTAGGCTTGTGACCTTACAATGCGATTCTGGAGTGGTACTGAAGGGAGAAATTTGACGCAAGTCTTTCTTTAGGGTCCAAGGTTTAATAATTCAGTTGTAAACAGATAAAGTGCTGCAGATATAGACCTCTGCACCGCGTAAGCTCGGAAGTGACAACCACAAACAATAAATCTCCTGTCAACTATTTAACTATTCTCAAAATACAAAAAGAACTAATTTCTACCATCTGCATACTGATAATGAAAATACAGAGTATCCTTTCTATAAATTTGAAAACAAAAACATCCTCAAATTACCAAAACACTGATTGCCTCTGGCTCGGGATAACATTTTATTTCTCACTTTATTCTTAAGTATGTAGAACAATATTTCCTAAGTTTAAAGATCACTTATTTAACTAATACTAAGATTAGCCGTACTCCCTTCTACGACCTGAAATGAATTTGTAAAATGCCATGAATTTCCAGGCTTACTATGGATTGTCAAAGCCCACATCATTAGAGGCCCAGTATGCATTGCGCGCCTCTGCTTTTCTTGTAATGTTTTTCACAAGAGCATTACATTGCTATACATAATTCTTTTACAGCATTAAATTATTGTTTACAGCATAACCTTATTGTTTACAGCATTACATTATTGTTTTCCCGAAGCTTGTGGCATAATCAACATTGCGTTAATGACCGCCATGGCCAACGCCGCGCGCAATGCATACCGCTCAAAACTGGGTCTTTAATATACGCATTACACCTCACAAGATAACATCTTTTACCATAACAAATTTAACTGAGAGCAGCTCTGCCCCAACAGGCGTCTGCACAAGATAAAGAGGACCTCCGCCAGTTCCATGGATCTTCTCCACTATGGCCAGAGAAGACAAGGAAGCACTTGCTGAGAGATCCCAAGGATGCATGACAACATCGGTACCCAGGCCTTTGACATGCAGCGCAAGACAAGGCGTCAATTTCCCTCCACTATCCACAGTGCTAAAATCAACGACTACCTGTAACATAACATAAAACGTTCAAGATCAGTTGGTTTAATCGGGGGCTGTAATATTAATCCTAAAGGAGGACAAAATCCAACAGTCCTCATTCAAATTCGACTTTGAATCGGCAGACGAATAACTTCTCCATGGCTCTGTTATTAGTGGATATATCAATATCCATCAAAAGCGCTTTTCCCTTGCGCGAGGGAAGACACATCTCAAAAGGAAAATAAGAATTTCAGTTGAAAATAAGCAAACTGTCTGAAGCGCGAGAAAACATGCCTAACAAGTCGTGGTTGATTTTAGTTTTGCAACTGATTGGTTGAGTTTTCTGGACCAATCAAAGAACGAAGTGAAACAAGCCCTTAGAATCCTATATTACTCTCGACACATCCGAAAATTGTTCTCATAATTTTCCTTTTGCCGTAAACTTTAAAAAAAATTCAGAGCCATAGGAAGAATAAGAAGATCACCCTGATAAAAAAATACTCAAACACACCTCTTCTATCTCAAATTTAAGTGAAACTTTAACTTGTTTCGCCATAGCCTCTTTTTCTTCACTTTTACCTCCTTTAAGGTTGGATTCTCTACAGGAAAAAAAGGAATATATTGTACCTGAAAAATACTGCTGTAACAATTCCTGATCGGCCAAATTTCGAAATTATAAATTAAGGGGTAGCCGGACTTCGGCAAAACACATTGGGAAATGAAATATTAGAGAGTTTGTAGGGTTTACACCCAAAGTCGTGTGGTGTTATTTGTTGATCTATGCCTTATTTTTAACCATTAAATTTGGGCTCTTGAGGAAAAATCTTTCAGAAACTCTCCCCTTTTTCTCCCTTAGCCAACCAAAAAAATAGTATAGAAAACTAAACAATACCCGGTTAGAGTTTCAGGTGGTATCTGGCACATTTCATCCATTTCCTCAGCTTCATCATCTCGTTCGCCTGTACCACCTCCCAAAACACCCAATTGTGTTACGTCTGTGCGAGATGTGATTCCTTCACCGAGATTCTTCAACAAGATCCCAAGCACAGTTCTTATTTCATCTTCCCCAACACGTAACTGTACAAAGACAGAACTCACTCAGCTGTTATTATACGTGACATGTAAACATCTGGTAAGCTGCTGTAATACTATCTAAACTCTCTAACTTTTGACGAGACTAAATGTAATTTAGACAAAGTTAGAACGAGGAAGATTCACACCAATCTGCCTCTTGGAGAGCTCAGGGAGGTTTGCCAGGGCACTGCCATGTGCTTCTGCTCAGTTTACTTTGCTTCATTTCTGGCTCTATTTCCTTTCCCCTAGCACCCTTCCCTCCCTCGCATTTTTTGGGTGTTTTCATCCCTCATGGCAGTTAGTCGATGTTATGTTTAAAGTTACGTTGACTTACGCAAACCAACCGCACGTACCCTCCAAAAAAAACATTTTAACTTGAATTTTTAGTCATTAAAAATATGGGCAGCCACAGTGTACTTTGATTTTTCTTCCCAGAATAAGCCTCACCTAAAATCGCAAAGTACCTTAATCGAAAAATATTTCCTTTTGCAACATGGCGAGTTATCTAGAGCTCCAAGCTGATTTATTAAAAAGGCCACCATGTGACTGAAGGGATGTCTACCGAGTTAAAGAATGTATACCGAGATTGAAATTATTCAATGGTGGGAATAAATTACGAAATGCAAACCATTCTGTTTTGAATGTGTTCAATTGTTTATTCCCCTTTCAAGTGCTGTTCGTCAATAAACTAACCTTAACTGCATGAAGCTTTCCCTTCACATCGATATCAGGCACATCGTGATACCAAGGAGACAAGTTTCGAGCCACATGAACTGTCACATTCGCTGGTTCAAGGACTAGTTGGGTGGGTCCTATGGTTTCTCCATCAGTCATCACAGCTCTTATTGTACAAAGGAAAAAGGATTATTTCATCAGACACGAGTGTGGCACACATTTTTAACCTCTTCGCCTTCACCTAGCAGCAAACTTTGCGTTTATTTTTGGAGTTCTTTTTTCCGAGTATGCCTGTGTCATTTACTTCATAACATCATTTTTCACTCGGCTTAAAATTTACCACCCTCAGTTATATCATTGCGCAAAAATATCTCATATCGATTGCAGGAAATTTGTTACCATTAATTTAGTTCCACGAGTCTCCTAAAGCTCAACCTGAGTGGCAGTATCCCAATAACTAATCGGAAGGTCGTAGGTTCGACTCCCTTTGGGAACACTCGGAATTCATTTTCGAACTATGTCTCTGTCATTCACTGAATAACATCATCTTTTATAATCTATATCTTGATTGCATGGATTTACCAAGGTTAACACGGAGTCCTGATAACGTTTGGTTGAGTTTTACAGTTCTAAGCTCATGAATTCAATAGAAAAACTAACACCTCTGTCTCAACCAGTCAGATTATTCTTTAACTAGGCAGCTAATTAGTTCAAACAACAAAAGTCTAAAGACACTTGAGTAAATAATTTGTTCATGCGCTTATTTGAGGCAATTCGCTCCACAAAACAATAGCGAGTAAGCGAAACCCTATCGAGTGTGCAGTGTGTGGTTGAAAACGCCAGTTTTGTGTATTTTTTCCTTATTTTTGTGAACTTGTTAAGACACTTAAATTCGGTTTTGTAGGAGTTTCCTATGAGGTTTAAATAGGAGAAGACTTATCGTGGACACCCCATACATGGGGTGCTTAAACGCATTTCGTGAAAACATGAACTTTATTGAATTTAAGCCTGTCTCCTAATGTTTGGAATGCCTTAAACTATATCTAAACAACGCCTGCGCAAATGCGAACACTGTAGTGGCTGTGAGGAGTGGCTTCAGACTGAAGGTACTCAGCCACACAGGCCACTAAGTCAACCGTGTTTCAAAAGCGCTGGAATAAATGATGAAATCTATACCTCAACAGTTTTATAGAACTAAGTTCCACCACCATGCTGTCAATAACAACAGCATCACTTCCTTCAGGATCCTTCCCATTATGTGCAAGGTTGAAGGTGTTTGACACACTAAGGTGACCAAGATTTGCAACAATTGCATCGCGAGACGTCGAACTCACAGGGATGATAACCAGAGGTGCTTGGATAGAAACTTTCAAGCTTATTCTTGAGCTTTGGATTTGCAAACTCTGAATCTAAAAGTCAGAAAAACACATATTTGTCTCTAATAAAGTGCGTCAACCACACGGCTTGCCTAACGGTGTCACCCTTCAGTTACCAACAGTGAATACTGCTGTTAACCCTTTACTCCCGTGAGTGACCAAAATAGAGTTTCTGCTTACAAATCAGTTCAATATCAAGCAGACAAGTGATGAGAATAAAGAAACATCAATTCCGGGAATTATTACTTGATCTAACACCAAACTCTCTCACACAACATCGTAAGAATTCCATAGCACACAGTAAGGACAATTACCAATGAGATCTGGAAGTGGAATGGGTTAAGATGTAAAGGTTTAAATAACGGCTAATGACTCACTGTTGCACTGGCTGACTCAGCTACAGTTTTTCTGGCATTCTCCATAGCATCCTTTGCCCGCTGAAACTTGTTCAAAAAGTCCTGAAATAACACGGAGATTCATATCTGAGCTTGCAATGATTTCATCCTCCGAAAAATGAAGTAATCATAATTGCTCGGGAAAAATTAACCGTACTAGTTACATGTAACTCGCATTCAGTAACAAAAAAAAAATGTCATTTCATTGCTCTTTGCCGTCTCACACTAACTATCACTACAATGAATAGCATTTCATTCAAATGGAAGGCAGAAATTTTCAAAAAAATATACCACAAAAAATACTAAAGCTTTACTACCTTCAATTTCTGCAACTGTAAAGAATCACAAATGCTAAATATAAATATATTGACGCTAATAAAGTTAACTGACCAGCAGCTTCATCACAAATTTGTTTAGGAAGATGACACGGATACAACCGATTGCCATCTCGAATTTCAGATCTACAGCTTCCATGTCTCTTAACTTGATGCCGGCAGTTGCACCATTGTGTGCAATAACCTAAGAACATGAGGTATGGATTAAAATTAGAAAGTTTTACTCTTAACTCAAGTTAATAACAGCACTGGTTAAAACAGCAATGTCGATCATGAAAGAACCCTTATACATTGATTGTCGTACAACCAAAATCAAAGTTATCTTAATTAATGGCCAATTAGAACAGAACAAAATATTACTACGAGCCAATGAGAACTCAGAGCAAAAACAAGCAAACCGCTTAAGGCGCAAAAAAACGTGAGTAATCAGGTTGAGAGTGGTTAATCACTTTACATGAGATTGGTTAAAGAATTGGCGTGACGTTTCTTTACCAGTCTTGGAGGACGCTTGGAAAAATTTTTTTTGTGGCAGTAGACAAGGTGCAGAACAGAACAGAACTTAAACTAAATTGGTATATGACCTTGTTTTCACTCAGTTCCAAGTCTAAAATAAACATTCCTCATTTTACACACCTGAAGGCTAAACACCTCCTCGTTCACGATGGATACTATCTTCGGATATACCGCCCCAGGAGTAGAATCCGTCACTGACAAAGTTTTCATACTGAAATGAAAAAAGGACACTTAGAGGGCTTTTCGATCGAGTGTCATAAAAACCAAAGCCAAAGCCAAAGCCAAAGCAAGCACAACAGCCAATCATAGCCAGAAATATCACAAGAAGCCAATGAGAACTCGAAGTGAAAACATGCAAACCGCCCAAAGCGCGGGAAAAACGCGAGTAACCAGGTTTTAGTTTTGAATCTAATTGGTTGAGGGAGTGGCACGAGTTTCTGGACCAATCACATAACGAAATAAAGTGAACTAAAAGCAATCCTGGATTACTTTCGACACTCAACTGGAAATTTCTCTATCAAACGATAAATTTTTAGACCTGGAAAGTTTGAGTGATTTTGATCACGATCATAGGAAAAAAGATATTGACTAGGACAATTAAGTCATACATACCTGGCCGTAACGTCTGTTCTGCTTTCTCTAACAACACTACCAGCGGACAAATCTTTGTGCGAAGAAAAATATTGAACTCGTCAAACATAAAGTACAAAAACTAAACTGAACAGTGGCTGAAAAGATTCTTCTTAGTACCAATTCTTTGACGCATTAGAACTACATCAATTGCTCTTTGGCTTCCTTCAAAATAGTTTTGATCAAAAGCCCATCAAAATCGTATCATAGCCTGAGGTGGAGCCTCTTATTAGCCCACTGGCCTTGTTTGATTTACAGTGAGAGTGGAAAGTGGGGGGGAGGGGCGAGAAAGGGGTAATTTTTATTGCCCCACCCCCTCCCCTCTAAAAACTGTGACATGGTGATAAGGAATTCGCAACATTTCATTTATGCATCACTAAATTATAGTTTTTGAGCCGACTCAAATGCAAACAACCCCTTAGCTTTCTGCAACACTGCGTTAAAAGACAACTAAATAATCCCTCACCTCCAATAAATACATGCGTCAAATCACCCTCAACAGATGTCACTGTAACATCGATTCCTCCCAGCTTAGCAGTCACCTCAATCTGTATTTCATCTTTACCATCTCTCTTCTTTTTGCCTTTGGGCGTAACCAGCTCAGACGTTTTATTTATATATTGGCCTTTCGTTTTTATACTGTCAGCAGACACAGGTAGCGGAGCTGGAGTCTCTTCACTGACAAAAGAGAAAAAAGACACGTTTCTTCCACAGAAGATTGGTGGAAAGAGAGTTGTCACATAAAGTTATCGATATGTTTATTAGAATAATGCTTTGCAGTTGAAAAGCTGAATTCGTGTATACAAAAGGGGTGTGAGAAATAGATAGATAAACATTAAACACGTCATTTCCAGAAAATCATATAAAATCTGTGTACATCTAATCTATATAATCTATAAATATATGTATGTATATATATATATATATATATATACATATTAAATATAAAATACATTATATCTTTAAGTCTGTTGCAAAATGCACATTACAATTTACGTGTGTCAGGATTGGATATAAACTCCAAAAAAGAGAAAAAACGACTGAAAATTTTCCTTAAACGATAAATATAATTTTTTCAGCTTGATGGTTACGGTAACTTCCACGTTTTGATAGGTATGGGGCTTCGCTACGCGCACTGCGATCTCCGCTCTCAGTTACCAAACAACGGATTATTGGAATTGCCTGTTTCCAAAAGCCACACGTCTTAACCACTCTTAAGCTACATCAAAAGTTCAGCACCTTGGTTGCAGCATTTTGGTTGAAACATCGATGATGTTGAGCAGAGCTTCTTGATGCAGTTTTACTTGCAGTGAAGAAAACTCCAAAGCAATAGACTGCTTAGTGGACTTAAATGTTGAGTTGTAATCTGGGTGGTCTGATTCCACCTAAAATTGACATCAAAAGCAGTAAGTAAACCTTTAAACACTAACAACACCATACAAATTCTCCAAACTGTTCTCTATACATTTCCTAGGACGCTAACAAGGAGACTTTGTTCAACAATCAAGAGCCTGTGTCCTTAAAATGCGATTCTGGAGTGGTACTGAAGGGAGAAATTTGACGCAAGTCTTTCTTTAGGGTCCAAGGTTTAATACTCCAATTATAAACAGATATAGTGCTGCAGATATAAACCTCTACACCGTGAAAGCACGGAAGTGATAACCGCAAACAATAACTCTCCTGTCAACTATTTCTCTTCTTCTACTATCTGCATACTGACGATGAAAATACAAAGTATCGTTTCTATAAATTTGAAAACAAAAAAAAATCTTCAAATTACCAAAACACTGAATGCCTCTGGCTCAGGATTATTTTTATTTTTCACTCTATACTTAAGCACGTAGAAAAAAATTTCCCAAACTAATTCCAAGATTACTCGTACTCCCTTCAACGACCTCAAATGAATCTGTAAAATGCCATGAATTTCTAGACTTACTATGACTTATCAAAAGCCCACATCATTAAAGGCCTAATATGCATTGCGCACCTCTGTTTTCGTAATGCTTTTCACGAGAGAGAGGCTTGTATTGTGTTACCGAAGCTTGTCGCATAATCAACATTGAGTTAATAGCCGCTCATGGCCAACGCCGCGCGTAATGCATACTGCTCAAAACTGGATCTTTAATACACGCAGTACACCTCACAGAATAAGGTCTTTTACCATGACAAATTTAACTGAGAGCAGCTCTGCCCCAGCAGGCGTCTGCACAAGATAAAGAGGACCTCTTCCAGTTCCATGGATCATCTCCATTATGGCCAGAGAAGACAAGGAAGCACTCGCTGAGAGATCCCAAGGATGCATGACAACATCAGTACCCAGGCCTTTGACATGCAGCGCAAGAAAAGGCGTCAATTTCCCTCCATTATCCACAGCGCTAAAGTCAACGAATATCTATAACATAACATAAAAAATTCACGATCAGTTGGTTTAATTGAGGGCTGTTATCCTAAAAGAGGACAAAATCCAACAGTCCTCATTCAAATTTGACTTTGAATAATTTCCCCATGCCTATGTTACTAGTCAATAAATCAATATCCATCAAGAGCGCTTTTCGGTTGGGCGAGGGAAGACACACATCTCAAAAGAAAAATAAGAATTTCAGTTGAAAACAAGCAAACTGTCTGTCTGAAAACAAGCCCTTAGAATCCTGTAATTACTCTTGACACATCTTAAAATTGCTATGAAAATTTTCCCTTTGCTATTAATTAAAAAAAATTCAGAGCTATGGGCAGAATAAGAAGATTAATCCAATGAAAAATACTTAAACACACCTCTTGTATCTCAAACTTAAGCGAAACTTTAACTTGTTTTGCCATAGCCTCTTTTTCTTCACTTTTAGCTCGTTCATGGTTCGATTCTCTACGGGAAAAAAACAAAGGAAAATATTATACCCGAAAAATACTGTTATAACAATTCCTGATCGGCCAAATTTCGAAATTATAAATTAAGAGGTAGCCGGACTTCGGAAAAACACATTAAGAAATGAAATACTACAGGGTTTGAGGGGTGTGCATCCAAAGTCTTCTAGTGTTGTCACTTGTTCTAAGTCGTATTTTTAGCCATCAAATTGGGGCTCTAGAGGAAAAATCTTTCAGAAACTCTCCACTTTTTTCCCTTACCCAAACGAAAAAAGAGTGTATGAAACCGAACAATACCCGGTTAGAGTTTCAGCCGGTATCTGGCACATTTCATCCATTTCCTCCGCTTGTTCTCCTGTACCACTTCCCAAAAAACCCAATTGTGTTACGTCTGTGCGAGATGTGACTCCTTCATTGAGATTCTTCAACAAGATCCCTAGTATAGTTCTTATTTCATCTTCACCAGCACGTAACTGTACAAAGGCAGAACTCACTCAGCTGTTATTACAAGTGACATGTAAATATCTGGTAAATATCTGTAATACTATTTAAACTCTCTAATTTTTGACGAGGCTATATTATGACAAGGCTAAATATAATTTAGACAAAGTTAGAACGATGAAGACTCACACCAATCTACTTCTTGGAGGATTCAAGGAGGGTTAGCAAAGCACTGCCATGTGCTTGTGCTCAGTTTACTCTGCTTCATTTCTAGCTCTGTTTCTTTGCCCCCCCCTTGCATTTTTTGGGTAAGTTTTCACCCCACACGGCAGTTAGTCGATGTTTTGTTTAAAGTTACGTTGACTTACGCAAACTAACCGCACGTACCCTCCCCAAAAAACATTTTGATTTGAATTTCTAGTCATAAGAAATATGGGCAGCCGCACTGTACTTTGATTTTTCTTTCCTTAATGGAAAAGATATTTTCTTTTTGGAACATGGCGAGTTATCTAGAGGTCCAAGCTGATTATTCAAAAGGCCACCATATGAGTGAAGAGATATCTACCGAGTTTGGGAATGTATATCGAGATTAAAATTATTTTGTAATGAATAAACTACAAAAAACAAACCATTCTGTTTGCAATTTGTTCAATAATTTATTCCCCTTTCAAGTGCTGTTCGTCAATAAACTGACCTTAACTGTATGAAGCTTTCCCTTCACATCAATATCAGGCACATCGTGATACCAAGGAGACAAGTTTCGAGCCACATGAACTGTCACATTCGCTGGTTCAAGGACCAGTTGGGTGGGTCCTATGGTTTCCCCATCAGTCATCACAGCTCTTATTGTACAAAGGAAAACGATTATTTCATCAGACACGAGTGTGGCACATATTTTTAACTTCTTCGCCTTCAACTAGCAGCAAACTTTGCATTTATTTTTGGAGTTCTTTTTTCCGAGTATGCCTGTGTCATTCACAACCAATTAGTGCAAACAAAAATCTAAATCTAAAAATCCTAAAATCAAAAATCACACCACGAAACAATAGCGAGTTTAAATTGGAACCGGAGACTTATCGTGGACATCTAATACATAGGGTGCTTACTCCCATCTCGTGAGAACATAAACTCTATTGAATTTAAGCCTGTCTCCTAATGTTTGAAATGCCTTAAACGATATCTAAACAAAGCAGCTCAACGCCTGCCCAAATGGCTACGAGGAGTGGCTTCAGGCTGAAGGTATACACAGCCGCACAAGCCATTAAATCAACCGTGTTTCAAAAGCGCTCAATACCTCGACAGTTTTACAGAACTAAGTTCCACCACTATGTTGTCAATAACAACAGTATCGCTTCCTTCAGGATCCTTCCCATCATGTGCAAGGTTGAAGGTGTTTGACACACTAAGGTGACCAAGATTTGCAACAAGTGCATCGCGAGACGTCGAACTCACAGGGATGATAACCTCCGGTGCTTGGATAGAAACTTTCATGCTTATTCTTGAGCTTTGAGTTTGCAAACTCTGAATCTAAAAGTCAGAAAAACACATATTTACACCTGCTAAAGTGCGTCAACCACACGGCTTGTTATAACGGCGTCACCCTTTTGTTCCTAACAGTGAATAGCGTTTAATTTTACTTTACAGTATTTCCCTTTTATCAAACATGAGGACCAAATTAGAAATCTCTTGATTTTGAACAAATTCTCCTTGTCAAAACAATAAAAATAGTATGTAGAGCAGTGTGAACAACATAAATACCGCTGCTAACCCTTTAGTTGCAAGTGACCAAGACAGAGTTTCTCCTCACAAATCAGTACAATATCAAGCATACAAGGGACGAGAATACAGAAATATATCAATTACGGGAATTATTACTTGATCTAACACCAAACTCCCCAAATACGTCATAAGAACTAAATAGGAAACACTGAGTAATGAAAATTACTAATTAGATCTGGGAGTGGAATGGGTCAAGATGTAAAGGTTTAATAACGACTGGTGACTCACTGTTGCACTGGCTGACTCAGCTGCAGTTTTTCTGGCATACTCCATGGCATCCTTTGCCCGCTGAAACTTGTTCAAAAAGTCCTGAAATAACACGGAGATTCATATCTGAGCTTGCAATGATTTCATCCTTCGAAAGATAAAATGATCATATTTGCTCAGATAAAATTAACCGTACTAGTTACATGTAACTCGCAGTCTGTAAAAAAAGTAAAAGCCATTTCATTGCTCTTGGATGAGGCAAACTAAATATCAGTACAATGAATAGCATTTTATTAAAATTGAAGGCCGAAAAATTTCCATGAAAAGATACAACAAAAAATCCTAGAGCTTTACTAACTTCAATCTCTGCAATTGTAAGGAATCACAAATGCTAATCAAATTGACGCTAATAAAGTTAACTGACCAGCAGCTTCATCACAAATTTGTTTAGGAAGATGACACGGATACAACCGATTGCCATCTCGAATTTCAGATCTACAGCTTCCATGTCTCTAAACTTGATGCCGGCAGTTGCATCATTGTGTGCAATAACCTAAGAACATGAGGTATGGACCAACATTAGATAGTTTTACTCTTATGTTAAGTTAATAACAGCACTGGTTATAAAAGCGATGATGATCATGAAAGAACCCTTATACATTGATTGTCATACATCCAAAATCAAAGTTACCACAATTAATGGCCAATCAGAACAGAGCAAAATATTACTACGAGCCAATGAGAACTCAGAGCAAAAACAAGCAAACTGCCACAGGCGCCAAAAAACTAAACACGAGTATTCAGGTTGCGAGTGGTTAATCACTTTCCACGAGATTGGTTAAAGAATTGGCGTGAGGTTTCTTTATCAGTCTTAGGGGACACTTAGAGGAAATTTACACTGGTGGCAGTACACAAGGCGCAGAACAGAACTCAAACTAAATTGGTATATGACCTTGTGACATTGCTGTCACTCAGTTCCAAGTCTGAAATAAACATTCCTCGTTTTACACACCTGAAGGCTAAACAACTCCTCGTCCACGATGGATACTATCTTAGGATATACCACCTCAGGAGTAGAATCCAAAACTGACAAAGTTTTCATACTGAAATTAAACAAAGACTCTTAGAAGGCTTTTCGATTGAGTGTCGTAAAACCAAAACCAAAGCAACCACAACAGCCAATCATAGCCAGAAATATCACAAGGAGCCGATGAGAACTCGAAGTGAAAGCAAGCAAGCCGCCTAAGGCGCGGACAACGCGCGAGTGACCAGGTCGCAACTAGTTTTAGTTTTGAATCTGATTGGTTGAGGGAGTGGCGCGAGTTTCTGGACCAATCACATAACGAAATAAAGCGAAACCAAAGCAATCCTGGATTACTTTCGACACTCAATTGGAAATCAAACGATAATTTGGAAAGTTTTAGTGATTTTGATCACGATCATAGGAACAGGGAAATTGACTAGGACAACTCAGTCATACATACCTGGCCGTAACGTCTGTTCTGCTGTCTCTAACAACACAGCCAGCGGATAACTCTTTGTGTGAAGAAAAATATTGAACTCGTCAAACATAAAGTAACTCAAGACTGGCTGACAAGATTACGTTTAATATCAATTGTTTGACGGATTAAAACTACCACAATTGCTCATTTGCTTCCTTCAAAAAAGTATTGAACAAAAGCCCAACATATCGTATCATAGCTTGCAGTGCAGCGTCCTATTACTGCCCATGTTCGATTTAAGTTAGAGTTGACGGAGGGGGGAGGGGGCGGGAAAGGTGTAACTTTTATTGCCCTACCCTCTCCCCTCTAAAAATAGTGAAATGACAATGGGGAATTTGCAACATCTCATTTATGCATCACGAAATTATGGTGGTTGAGCCGACTCAAACGCAAACAACCCTTAGCTTTCTGCAACACTGTATTAAAAGACAAATAAATAATCCCTCACCTCCAATAAATGCATGCGTCAAATCACCCTCGACAGATGTCACTGTAACACCGATTCCTCCCAGCTTAGCAGTCACCTCAATCTGTATTTCATCTTTACCATCTTTCTTCTTTTTGCCTTTAGGCGCAACTAGCTCAGACGTTTTATTTACATATTGGCCTTTCGTTTTTGTACTCTCAGCAGACACAAGTAGCAGAGCTGGAGTCTCTTCACTGGCAAAAGAGAAAAAAAGGTTCCTTCAATTGACGATTGGTGGAAAGAGAGTTGTCACAAAGAGATATAGATATGTTTATCAGAATAATGCTTTGCAGCTGAAAAGCTCAATTGCGTGTATACAAAAGGGGTGTGATAAATAGATAGATAAACATTGAATACGTTATTTACAGAAAATAATATAAAATCTGTATACATGTAATCTATACAATCTATAAATATATACATAAATACATTCAATAAAAAATACATTATATCTGTAAGTCATTCTGTTGTAAATGCACATTACTATTTACGTGTCAGGATTGGATATAAACTTCAACCGAAGACGGTATAAAGGTGTTCAAGAAAAAAACGACCGATAATTTTCCTTACATGATGAATAAATTGTTTTCGGCTTCATAGGTTACAGTAACTTCCATTTTTTGATAGGTATGGGGCATCGCTACGCGCGCTGCGAGCTCCGCTCTCAGTTAACACATTATGGGTTATTTGAACTGCCTGTTTCCAAAAGCCAAACATCTCCTTTAATTACAATTGTCTCTACATAAGAGGATGCGAAAGGCTTCAGGCCAAAACAGAGTAGGCCTGAACTGTTGTTAAGCTACATTAAAATTACAGCACCTAGGTGGAAGCATTTTGGTTGAAACATCGATGATGTTGAGCAGAGCTTCTTGATGCAGTTTTACGTGCAGTGAAGAAAATTCCACAGTAACAGACTGCTTAGTGGACTTGAATGTTGAGCTGTACTCTGGGTGGTCTGATTCCACCTAAAATTGACATCAAAAGCAGTAAGTAAACCTTTACACACTAACAATAGCATAAATATTCTCCACACTGATCTCTATACATTTCCTGAGACGCTGTCTTTGTTCATCAATCAAGAGCCTGTGACCTTACAATGCGATTCTGGGGTGGTACTGAAGGGGGAAATTTGACGCTACTCTTTCATTAGGGTTCAAGGTTTAATACTCCAATTATAAACAGATAAAGTGCTGCAGATGTAGACCTTTACACCGTGAAAGCACGGAACTGATATCCAGAAACAATAACTCTCCCGTCAACTATTTAACTAGTTCTCCAAAGACAGAAAAAAAAACTTGTTTCTACCATCTGCATGCTGATGAGGAAAATACAGAGTATCGTTCCTATAAATTTGAAAACAAAAACATCCTCAAATCACGAAAACACTGATTGCCTCTGGCTCAGGATAACATTTTATTTTTCCCTTTATACTTAAGCATATATAACAGTATTTCCCAATTATAAAGATTAGTAATTTAGCTAATTCCAAGATTAACCGTACTCCCTTCTACGACCTCAAATGAATCTGTGAAATGCCATGAATTTCCAGGCTTACTATGACTTATCAAAAGCCCACATCATTAGAGACCCAATATGCATTAAGCGCCTCTGTTTTCGCAATGCTTTTCACGGGAGCGAGGCTTGTATTGTTTTACCGAAGCTTGTCCCATAATCAACATCGAGTTAATGGCCGCCCATGGCTAACGCTGCGCGTAATGCATACTGCTCAAAACTGGGTCTTTAATAAACGCACTACACATCACAACATAGGGTATTTTACCATAACAAATTTAACTGAGAGCAGCTCTTCCCCAGCAGGCGTCTGCACAAGATAAAGAGGACCTCCTCCAGTTCCATGAATCATCTCCGCTATGGTAAGAGAAGACAAGGAAGCACTCGCTGAGATATCCCAAGGATGCATGACAACATCGGTACCCAGGCCTTTAACATGCAGCGCAAGAAAAGGCGTCAATTTCCCTCCACTATCCACAGTGCTAAAGTCAACGAATATCTATAACACAACATAAAAAGTTCAAGATCAGTTGCTTTAATTGGGGGCTGTTATCCTAAAGGAGGACAAAATCCAACAGTCCTCATTCAAATTCGACTTAGAATCGGCAGACGAATAACTTCTCCATGGCTCTGTTACTAATGGATAAATCAATATCCATCAAGAGCGCTTTTTGGTTGGGCGAGGCAAGACACATATCCCAAGATAAAAATAAAAATTTCAGTTGAAAACAAGTAAACTGTTTGAAGCGCGGGAACACATGCGTAACAAGACGTGGTTGATTTTAGTTTTGAAACTGATTCGTTGAGTTTTCTAGACAGTTCACAGAACGAAGTGAAACAAGCCCTAACAATCCTGTATTACTCTCGACACATTCAAAAACTTATCTCGTAATTTTCCTTCTGCTGTAAACTTTTAAAATATTCAGACCCATAAGAAGATCACTCCGATGAAAAATACTCAAACACACCTCTTCTATTTCAAACTTGAGCGAAACTTTAACTTGTTTCGCCATAGCCTCTTTTTCCTTACTCTTAGCTCGTTGAAGGTTGGATTCTCTACGGGAAAAAAGAAGGAATATATTATATCTGAAAAATACTGTAATAACAATTCCTGATCGGCCAAATTTCAAAATCATAAATTAAGGGCTAGCCGGACTTCCGCAAAACACATTCGGAAATGAAACATAAGAGAGCTTGAGGGGTTTACACCCAAAGTCTTCTGGTGTTATCTATTTTTCTATGCCGTATTTTTAACCATCACATTTAGGCTCTTGAGGAGAAATCTTTCAGAAACCCTTTTTTCCCCTTTAGCCAACCGAAAAACAAGTCTAGAAAACGAAAAAATACCCGGTTGTAGTTTCAGGTGGTATCTGGCACATTTCTTCTATTTCGTCAGCTTCATCATCCTCTTCTCCTGTACCACTTCCCAAAACACCCAGTTGTGTTACGTCTGTGCGAGATGTGACTCCTTCACTGAGATTCTTCAACAAGATCCCTAGTATAGTTCTTATTTCATCTTCACCAGCGCGTAACTGTACAGAGACAGAACTCATACAGCTGTTGTTACAAGTGACATGTATATATCCGGTAAAAGTCTGTAGTAATATCTAAACTCTCTAATTTTTGACGAGGCTATATGTAATTTAGACAAAGTTAGAACGAGGAAGATTCACACCAATCTGCTTCTAGGAGGATTCAGGGAGGTTTGCCAAGGCACTACCATGTGCTTGTGCTCAGTTTACTTTGCTTCCAGTTTCTGGCTCTTTTTCCTTGCTCCCAACCTCCTCTTCCCTCGTATTCCCTCACACGGCAGTTAGTCGATGTTATGTTTAAATTTGCGTTGACTTACGCTAACTAACCGCACGTACCCTCCGAAAAAAAACATTTTATCTTGAATTTCTGGTCATGAGAAATATGGGCAGCCACACTGTACTTTGATTTTCTTCCCACAATAAGCCTCAACTAAAATCGCAATCTAATTACCTTAATGAAAAAAAAAATCTTCTTTTGGAACATGGCGAGTTATCTAGAGGTCCAAGTTGATTTATTCAAAAGGCCACCATATGACTGAAGGGATGTCTACCGAGTTAAGGAATGTATACCGAGATTGAAATTATTTAGTGATGTGAACAAATCATTTGCAAACAGAATGGTTTACTTTTCGTAGTACGAAAAGTAAACCATTCTGTTTTGAATTTTTTCTATTGTTTATTCCCCTTTCAAGTGCTGTTCGTCAATAAACTAACCTTAACCACATGAAGCTTTCCTTTCACATCGATATCAGGCACATCACGATACCAAGGAGACAAGTTTCGAGCCACATGAACCGTCACATTCGCTGGTTCAAGGACCAGTTGGGTGGGTCCTATGGTTTCCCCATCGGTCATCACAGCTCTTATTGTACAAAGGAAAACGATTTTTTCATCAGACACGAGTATGGAACACATTTTTAACCTCTTCGCCTTCACCTAGCAGCAAACTTTCCGTTTATTTTTGGAGTTCTTTTTTCCGAGTATGCCTATGTCATTCACTGCATAACATCATCTTTCACCAGGCTTAAAATTTACCATCCTCAGTTATATCATCGTGCAAAAGTATCTCATATCGATTGCAAGGAATTTGTTACCATGGATTTCAGGTCTCCTACAGCTCAACCTGAATGGCAGAGTATCTCAAGTACTAATCGGAAGGTCGTATGTTCGACTCCTTTCGGGAGCACTTGGAATTCATTTTCGAAATATGCCTGTGTCATTCACTGAATAACATCATCTTTCACAATCTATTTCTTGATTGCATGGATTTACCAAGGCAACACGGAATCCTAGTAACGTGTGCTTGAGTTTACAGTTCTAAGGTCATTAATTTAAAAGGAGAACTAACACCACTGTCTTAACCGGTTAGATTATTCTTTAGCTAGATAACTATATTGTGCAAACAACAAAAATCCAAAGACACTTGAGTAAATAATTTGTTCATGCGCTCATTTGAGACAATTCCCACCACGAAACAATAGCGAGTAAGCGAAATCCTAACGAGTGTGCAGTGTGTGGTAGAAAACGCCAGTTTTGTGCATTTCTTCCTTATTTTTGTGAACTGGTTAAGATACTTAAATTTGGTTTTGAAGGAGTTTGCTATGAGGTTTAAATAGGAACTGAACACTTATCCTGGACACCCCATACATGGGGTGCTTACATGCATTTCGTGAGAACGTGAACTTTATTGAATTTAAGCCTGTCTCCTAATATTTGGAATGCCTGAAACTAAATCTAAACAAAGCGGCCCAACGCCTGCGCAAATGCGAACACTGAAATGGCTATAAGGAGTGGCTTCAAGCTGAAGGTATACACAGCTGTAAAAGCCACTAAGTCAACCGTGTTTCAAAAGCACTGGAATAAATGATGAAATCTATACCTCAACAGTTTTACAGAACTAAGTTCCAACACCATGTTGTCAATAACAACAGTATCACTTCCTTCAGGATCCTTCCCATTATGTGCAAGGTTGAAGGTGTTTGACACATTAAGTTGACCAAGATTTGCAACAATTGCATCGCGAGACGTCGAACTCACAGGGATGATAACCTCCGGTGCTTGGATAGAAACGTTCATGCTTATTCTTGAGCTCTGGATTTGCAAACTCTGAATCTAAAAGTCAGAAAAACACATATTTATACCTAATCAAGGGCGTCAATCACACAGCTTGTTATGACGGCGTCACCCTTCAGTTACTAACAGTGAATACTGCTGTTAACCCTTTACTTCCGTGAGTGACCAAGATAGAGTTTCTCCTCACAAATCAGTACAATATCAAGCAGACAAGTGGTGAGAATAAAGAAAAATATCAATCAGGGGTATTATTACTTGATCTAACATCAAAATCTCTCAAACAACATCATAAGAATTCCATAACACACAGTAAGGACAATTACTAATGAGATCTGGAAGTGGAATGGGTTAAGATGTAAAGGTTTAAATAACGGCTAGTGACTCACTGTTGCACTGGCTGACTCAGCAGCAGTTTTTCTGGCATACTCCATGGCATCCTTTGCCCGCTGAAACTTGTTCAAAAAGTCCTGAAAAAGACAGAGATTCATATCTGAGCTTGCAATGATCTCATCCTCCGAAAGATGAAGTAATCATATTTACTCAAGCAAAATTAGCCGTAATAGTTACATGTAACTCCCACTCAGTAAAAATAATAAATGCCATTTCATTGCTCTTGGCCGAGGCGCACTAACAATCAGCACAATGAATAGCATTTCATTCAAATGGAAAAGGCCGAAAATTTCCAAAAAAATATACACAAAAATACTAAAGCTTTATTATTTAACTTCAATTTCAGCCACTGTAAAGAATTACAAATGCTAAATATATTGACGCTAATAAAGTTAACTGACCAGCAGCCTCATCACAAATTTGTTTAGGAAGATGACACGGATACAACCAATTGCCATCTCGAATTTAAGATCTACAGCTTCCATGTCTCTTAACTTGATGCCCGCAGTTGCATCATTGTGTGCAATAACCTAAAGAACATGAGGTATGGACTAAAATTAGAAAGTTTTACTCTTAACTCAAGTTAATAACAGCACTGGTTAAAACAGCAATAACAAGCATGAAAGACCTCTTATACATTGATTGTCGTACAACCAAAATCAAAGTTATCTCAATTAATGGCCAATTAGAACAGAGCAAAATATTACTACAAGCCAATGAGAACTCAGATCAAAACAAGCAAACTGCTACAGGCGCAAAAACCGTGAGGTATAAGGTTGAGAGTTGTTAATCACTTCACATGAGATTGGTTAAAGAATTAGCGCAAGGTTTCTTTATCAGTCTTAGAGGACACTTAAAGGAAATTTTCTCTGGTGGCAGTACAAAAGGTGCAGAACAACACTCAAACTAAATTGGTATATGACCTTGTGACATTGTTGTCACTCAGTTCCAAGTCTGAAATAAACATTCCTCATTTTGCACACCTGAAGGCTAAACAACTCCTCGTTCACGATGGATACTATCTTCGGATATACCGCCCCAGGAGTAGAATCCATCACTGACAAAGTTTTCATACTGAAATGAAACAAAGATACTTAGAGGACTTTTCGATTGAGTGTCGTAAAACCAAAACCAAAGCAACCACAACAGCCAATCATAGCCAGGAAAACTTCACAAGGAGCCAATAAGAACTCGAAGTAAAGACAAGCAAACCGCCTGCAACTAATTGTAGTTTTGAATCTAATTAGTTGAAGAAGTGGCGCGAGTTTCTGGACCAATCAAACCAAAGCAATCCTGGATTATTTTCGACACTCAACTGAAAATTTCTCTATCAAACGATAATTTTTTAGATCTGGAAAGTTTGGGTGATTTTGATCACGATCAGACAACTAAGTCATACATACCTGGCCGTAACGTCTGTTCTGCTGTCTCTAACAGCACAGCCAGCGGATAACTCTTTGTGTGAAGAAAAATATTGAACTCGTCAAACATAAAGTACATAAGGTAAACTCAAGAGTGACTGAAAAGATTACTTTTAATACAAATTCAAGACGGATTAAAACTAACATAATTGCTCATTTGCTTCCTTCAAAAAAGTATTGCACAAAAGCGCAACATATGGCATCATAGCTTGCAGTGTAGCGTCCTATTAGTCGACTGGCCATGTTCGATTTAGGGTTAGAGTGGACGGAGGGGGAAGGGGGCGTGAAAGGTGTAGTTCTTATTGCCCCACCCTCTCCCCTCTAAAAATTGTTTTTGGAGGGGAGGCATATTCATTTATGCACCACTAAATTACGGTTTTTGAGCCAACTCAAATGCAAACAACCCTTAGCTTTCTGTAACACCGTATTAAAAGACAACTAAATAATCCCTCACCTCCAATAAATACATGTGTCAAATCACCCTCAACAGATGTCACTGTAACATCGATTCCTCCCAGTTTAGCAGTCACCTCAATCTGTATTTCATCTTTACTATCTTTCTTCGTTTTGCCTTTTGGCGCAACTAGCTCAGACGTTTTATTTTCATCTTGAACTTTCGTTTTTGTACTGTCAGCAGACACAAGTGGCAGAGCTGATGTCCCTTCACTAGCAAAAGAAAGAAAAAACGTTCCTTCAATTGACGATTAGTGGAATGAGAGTTGTCACACAGAGATATAGATATGTTTATCAGAATAATGCTTTGCAGCTGAAAAGCTGAATTGCGTGTATACAGAAGGGGTGTGATAAATAAATAGATAAACATTTAAAACGTTATTTACAGATTATATCTGTCAGTCTGTTGTAAAATGCTCATTAAAATTTACTTGTCAGGACTGGATATAAACTCCAACCGAAGACGGAAAAAGGTGTTCCTTTTCCAAAAGCCAAAGATCTCATTTTAATACAAATGTCTCTAACTAAGAGGATGTAAAAGGCTTAAGGGCAAAACAGAGTAGACCTGAGCCGTTCTAAAGCTAGATTAAATTACAGCACCTAGGTGGCAGTATTTTGGTTGAAACATCGATGATGTTAAGAAGAGCTTCTTGGTGCAGTTTTACTTGTAGTGAAGAAAATTCCACAGCGACGGACTGCTTAGTGGACTTAAATGTTGAGCTGTACTCCGGGTGGTCTGATTCCACCTTAATTTGACATCAAAAGCAGTAAGTAACCTCTTTAACACTAACAACAGTACACATATCCTCCACACTGTTCTCTGTATATTTCCTAAGATCCTGACAAGGAGAATCTGTTTAACAATCAAGAGCTTCTCGAATTGGTAATCAATCCCTCTTTATCTTGTGCTTGATCATTTGCCGACAACCTCATATCAATCTTTAAAATGCCACGAATTTCCAGGCTTACTATGGCTTGTCAAAAGCCCACATCATTAGAGACCCAGTATGCATTAAGCGCCTCCGTTTTTGTAATAATTTTCACGAGAGCGAGAATTGTATTGTTTTCCCGAAGCCTGTGGTATAATCAACATCGAGTAAATGGCCACCGATGGCCAACGCCGCACGTAATGCACACTGGTCAAAACTGGGTCTTTAATACACGTAGTACACCTCACAAGATAAGGTCTTTTACCATAACAAATTTAACTGAGAGCAGCTCTGCACCAACAGGCGTCTGCACAAGATAAAGAGGACCTCCTCCAGTTCCATGGATCATCTCCGCTACGGCCAGAGAAGACAAGGAAGCACTCGCTGAGAGATCCCAAGGATGCATGACAATATCGGTACCCAGGCCTTTGGCATGCAGCACAAGACAAGGCGTCAATTTCCCTCCACTATCCACAGTGCTAAAGTCAACGACTATCTGTAACACAATATACAAAGTTCAAGATCAGTTGGTTTAATTGGGTGCTGTTATCCTAAAGGAGGACAAAATCCAACAGTCTTCATTCAAATTCGACTTAGAATCGGCAGACGAATAACTTCACCATGGCTCTGTTACATGTGGACATATCAATATCCATCGAGAGCGCTTTACGGTTGGGTAAGGGAAGACAAATATATCAAGGAAAAAAAATAAGAATTCCAGTTGAAAACAAGCAAACTGTCTCAAGCGCGGGAAAAAATGCGTAACAAAGACGAGGTTGATTTTAGTTTTGTAACTGATTGGTCGAGTTTATGAACCAATCACAGAATGAATTGAAACAACCCCAAAGAATCCTGTATCAGTGGCGAATCCAGACCTTGAGCTAAATGGGGGGGGGAGGTTTTTTTTTTGTCGCTCGCCCTGCCGGCTTTTCTCTTTTTTTTCCCCAAACTAAGGGGGGGAGGGGAGAAACTGGACCCCCCGGGCCCTCCCCTAGATCCGCCACTGTGTGTTACTCTTTACACAGTCGAAAATTGCTCTCATAATTTTCCTTCTGCTGTAAACTTTCAAGAAATTCAGACCCATAGGTAGAATAAGTAGATTACTGGAATGAAAAATACTCAAGAAACTTTCAAGAAATTCAGACCCATAGGTAGAATAAGTAGATTACTGGAATGAAAAATACTCAAACACACCTCTTCAATCTCAAACTTAAGAGAAACTTTAACTTGTTTAGCCATAGCCTCTTTTTCTTCACTTTTAGCTCCTTCAAGGTTGGTTTCTCTACGGGAAAAAAAAGGAAAATATTATACCTGAAAAATATTGTAATAACAATTCCTGATCGGCCAAATTTCGAAATTACAAATTAAGGGATAGCCGGACTTCGGCAAAACACATTGGGAAATGATATATTAGAGAGTCTGTGGGGTTAACACCCAAAGTCTATGCCGCATTTTTAACCATCAAATTTAGGGCTCTTGAGGAACAAATATTTCAGAAACACTCCCCTTTTTACCTCTTAGCCAACCTAAAAAAAAGTGTATAGAACTAAACGATACCCGGTTAGTGTTTCAGATGGCGTCTGGAACATTTCATCCATTTCCTCAGCTTCTTCATCTTGTTCTCCTGTAGCACCTTCCAAAACACCCAATTGTGTTACGTCACCACCAGTCCTTGCAGTTGTATACCGGCGATTTTCACAAGGAACATCCTTAAACAAGAAAAAGTGAATGTTGTATTAGGATTCGGCATAAGTAGTTAAAAGTGTGTTTTGAAGGAATTTCCGCCAAATCATCTTGGGTCGTTTTTTATCAAAGCAGTAGTAGTAGTTGAAAAACGACCACTATGTATTTAGTAATTTCTAACATACCATTGGTTTTTTATCCGTTTGGTCCAAAGCTATTTCACCTCCTGGTATTGGGATACTGGTAGCAAGCTGAAACCGAAAAGACAACAAAAGAGTTGGAGAAAATTGTTTTCCGATTATACCAGTCTCACATGAGAATATCAGGGTTGTTCTGTGCTGTTCTTGTTGCTATTTTAATGTCACAAAGCCGTAAGCGAGACTACAATGTTGAAAGTAATAACGCACCCTGGTGAAATAAAGTCGTTGTGGTTATGGTTGTCGTTATCATGTATTATCACATGCGGGGCAAAATTACTGAGTGCTGATTGGCTGAAACAAAGGACATGATTACTTGATGCTGATTGAGCCATTTTGCTATTTGCGTCAACGATTTAATGATTGAAATTTAATCAAATGATGCCGTGTAATGTTGTTAACTGTATTTTGAAAATAAAATGTTCATTGAATCTATTGGTCAATGACGTTTGTTTTGAAATATGTGGAAGCATTGAAAGGGCTTCATCGCGCAGACATCGTGCTTGAATGCAATTCCCTCAAAAATTTTTCCCTTCATGAGATAAACAAGTTTCGCAACTCGGGCAATTTTGGGAAAACTTTGAAAATGCGCGTGAAATTAATCCTTAATTGTCCTCGGGCCCATGCGATTATATATACAAAGCCTCCAGGTGGCAGTAATTTAAAACGCAATGGTTTGTACGTTTTCATGTAGCAAACCATTTAAAATATAATTGCCCTCACGCATTGGATGTTGTCCTTGAGTAGCATAGTGTTTTAAAGTCAGACGTGTAAATCAGTTGAGGCCAGGTATGCTACGATAATTTAGTTTTCCGAGCTTTCGCCAATCTACGGCATCATCAGAGAATGTAGATGGAATCTTTGAAGTGAAGAGTATATCGGGCCAGGTGTAAGGCTAGATAATAGGGGTTCAGCAGACAACAGGACAGGACAATGACAGGTATGTAAATGCGGTAGAAATATTTAGAACAAAAGGTCTAGGCAGAAAATAAGTATAGTCAGGGTAAATAATATAGCCAGAATAAAAGGTCTTTGAATTAATAATTCATATATAATTAATAATTGCCCTGTTTTGTGTGGATATGACAGCCATAATAAATATATCCATTATTTAAGAATGTGATTGTGTGATTGGGTTCCAAAGTGATGGGAAGTGGTTGGGAGGGGAGAGTCAGGAAATAATGTCCTTGGAAAGGAAACCCATTTTTACAAAAATGCAAAGGTCTGAAGAAAAATGTTCTTTGTTATGATAGTGGGACGAAGAAAAGTCCCCCACGCGATTTGAACCTCAGACTTTCCCGCTGACCCCTTAACGTTAAGCTTTTTCAAGCGCCCCAGTTTACTCGTTGCCAATATTGACAAGGGGAAGAGGGCATATGTTTTAAAAGTACTTATATATTTCTATTACAGTATCATTGTTGAATCAAACAGTGAGGCCATGATTATAAGGGAAATGATCACCCACCACAGAAGCCCTTGATTGTTGAACAAATTCTCCATTAAAGTAGCATAGGCAATGTATACAGAACAGTATGAAGAATACGAATACCGATCTTAGAGTTCAAAGGGTAAAATAGTGGTAGAGCCTGAGACCGCGAGTTCTGAAGGTCTTCGGATCGATTCCTTGTGGGAATCAAAATTTGTCTTATATCCATGTTCATAACAAATGAACGACACCTTTCTTTATCTAACAACCAAGCTAAAAGCTAGATACTAAGGTCTACTCCTTATTAAGCTATTCCACCACACCTTAATAACCTGAAGAAGCTTCTCATCAGAGGCATGGACTTTCACAGTTGGAAGGGTTCCAGAGAGTGTGATCCTGTTTCAGAAATAGCAGTCAAACATACATTCACGAGGAACATGAGTAGTTCGCTCGGCGCACATCAAACATATCTGCATCTCAAACACACCAATTCAACGATCAGCGGTCACCAAAGCCGATCTTAGGAAAGAAAATACAAGGAGAAGAACCAGAATAACACAATTCTTACTGTGCAAGCCTGATATCGTCAGGATTTAGTGCTTTCTGAAGCTTCATGTCAATTCCCATCGGATCTAGAATATGCATCTTAGAGTTGACCTGCTTCTTTGCGGCCTGCCAGTCTTCATCTGTCACAAAAAATAAAATAAAATGGCTTTTCATCAAAAGTCCATACTCGTTAACGTTCTATACCCTAAGAGTTTGCATCTAATTTCTTCTTACAGCATCACACCAGAATCAAACAATCAAACAGTAAGGTCACGAGAATAGAGGAAATGATCACCAACTTAAGAAGTAGCTTGTTGTTAAACAAATTCTCCTCGTCAGCACCTTACGATATACAAAGAGAACAGTACGGAGAATACGCCTAATGATGTTAGGGTGTAAAAGGGTTCCTGCATGGAGCAAGTTTGAAGAACATTCAATGTTAGATAGTCTCGTCTGTACCTGTGTGACCAAGTATATCTGGCATGCAGGCAATTAATATTCCTGCAATATCCACTTTTTAAAAGCTGTTTTCACTCTGTTTCCTAAAAAACGTTACAAAAAAGTTCTGCTGGACGGGATACACTGCCAAGTGCACAGAATTTTGTGCAGACCCAGTCACCATTACCTGCTTTTGCGATGAGAATTTGAAGGTCTTCCAGTTTAAAATCAAACTTATCGTAACACTTCGATTCCAACTCCTCCACGCTTAGATCCTAGTAAAAATAATCAAGCCAATTAAATGTGTGACATCAAAAGTAGCATCTGGACATTTCTGAAGTGAAAGTCTTAATTTCAATGACTCTTTGCCATCAATGGTACAGTAAAGGGGTATGCAAATCTACCAATCTGCGTTTTTTCCCTTTTCCCTTTGTTTCCATGCCTCTCCAAAACATCCTGAGTGTAAATATGATGCATATTTTAGTTGTTGTTGTTTTTTAAGGTAAATTCCACAAATCTGCAAATTGATTTGACCCTCTCTTAATGGTGCATTTTTACAATCTACATTTCATATGATAGCATCTCCTTATAATACAATAATTATTCTTTGAACCTGATACAAAGCCCAAGTTTTTCAGTGGAATAGTGAAGGCGAGTCACAAATTTTAATAATCTTTGACAACATTTTATAAATAAAAGTGGTCCAAAAATTATCTGATTAGTATCACCTTTGTGGATACAACCCTCTCTTGCTCTGGATCACTGGTGATCTTCACATGTCCAAGATCAATGACAAGCACATTGCTTGACCTGTTAATAAAGTGTAACTTTAAAATGGTCACTAAATCCACGTTACGTTGAAAGCAATATGGGAACAATGTAGGATTACCATAGGAACAATATAGGGCCACTAAAGGAACACTATAAAACCCCTATCAGCCAATATAGAACCAATGTAGCATCATCAGCAGTAGAGAATACACCTAAATGTTTGTAATTAGAAACCGAGAGTTCAAAATGTCATTTCATCAATAAACAGTTTGTAAGTTTGATAGACCAGAAAACTAAGCTTGGAATGGCTGGTGGTCCATACATGTCGGCATATTATTCCAGTGGAGGGGAGGAGGAATCCTATACTTATATATACTTACTGTATGTCATACTAACATTTGAAGGATAACGTGACTGTTGTATCAGTACATTCACCTTATCCTAAAAAGGTTGGGGATCACATAACCATAAAACCACAAGTTGCAAAGTACTTCGCATCCACTTCCGAGTGAATGCACCCCACAAGCCAACAACTTACTTCTTAAAGGTGCCTTCCTCTGGTATAATGATAAATGGAGACTTCACATCCACATTCACATCTGTTATCTGCAAAAAGTATAGTTGATCATAAATTTTTCAGTTTAACTTGCACAACAAGAATCAAGTGAACATAAGAAAACCAAACCATATTGACCTAAGAAGGTAATTTGGTATTATCTTCGCTCTGACGAAGGACTAGCGCTCGAAACGTTAACTTTGAAACTCTTAACGATGGCCAATTTACGTTATCAACTCAGTTGATAATACCAATTTACCTTGCTATACCCTCTCACCGACGCAGTACCACAGCTTCTTTAGAAACTTAGCCCCTATATTGACCAAGGGTATACACAGTCTTTAACACTTTGAACAAAATTCAACATGGTCACATCAAAAGAACACTTTTCAAGACCATACATGGCTGAGTCACGAGTTATACTTGTCTCTGAGGAGACTTAGTGTGCCCCTGTACCTCTGAAGGCTTTCTGTTACCCAAAGCCTGGATCCATTCTCCTGGTTGGATAGAATACTCTGAGAGTTCACTGTCTAGCCTATGATTATAACACCATGGAGGACAACAGAGCTTTAGCGCAGACCTGCACTCATTAATATGCTACAGATCTCCCATGGACGTCATGAGGGTGGGACGGAGAAAAAATTCCCTCTAAGGATTATATCTTTGTTACTTATGACTGACGTCTGCGGTAACAATTCACTAGTATCTGTTTTCTCGTTCAATCCTTAGGTAGGAAGGAATTTTTGTGGTAAACAAAAACAGAAAAATATTACCTTGTGGTGTTCAATTGCATAATACAGACTTGCTTTGGATACTGACTTCAGATCTTCTAGTCTTGAGTATGCCTCGGCTGACAACCTGAAATGAAACATCAAATCTCCTTACTTCTCATAACTAGTTAAACACTACAAACAGAGGATTTGTGTATTAAGTGTGACATCAAGATATCTTGAATGGGTCTGCTACATATGAATATTTTTCTTACTCTAAGCATAGATTTCTATTGAACAATCATGTAATTTCAAGTCATTGTTGAAGAGCAAATGTAAAACAAATCTACAAAAATTTTACCTATTAAACAACAGTATAGCACTTACTCCTGGAGATGGACATCTTTTGGAGGTTTAAAGAAAGTGACAATATGATCCACTGTGTTCTGCAAATAAAATTGAAAACGCAAAAAAATATTTAACATCTACTTCTACAAAAGGAAAGAGCCATAATATGTCTACTTATGATGAAGATATTCTTTCAAAACCGTTCTGGCTATACATTTGCTAATGTGCTGTCAAAGAGAATTTGTTTAACAATCAAGAGCCTCTTTAATCAGTGATCACTTTCTTTATTCTCTTGACCACAATGTTTGATTCAGAGGTGATCCTGAAAGGAGAAACTAGATCTTAATCACTCATTGGGGTCAAAGGCTTAAGCCAACACAGATTTTGAAAAAATCTGATTTTTAACCACTAGGCTTCTTTTCATAGGCATCAGGTGTAATTATTAACTGAAGCTTACTTATGCAATGCTCTACCTCACTGCACAGCACAGTCCTTTTTCCACAAGACAGAATCATACACCATTGCGATGGTGTTTGCTGGCTTAAGGTCACAGAACTCCATCTGCAAACTAGGTTTTCAAGTTTTGGGGGTACGTATACTCTAAAATATTTTGCTACTTACGGCATCATACACAACTTTAACAGGTTGAGATTTCACTGTAACTCTCTGGTCACACTTCCCGTCCAATGGGTTGGTCTCAAACGATGCAGTAAAAAGAGCAAGTTGGCTTGCTATCCAAGATATAAAAGATAACATCCATGTTTGTTGCAACAACCTGGTTGCTTACAATAGATAAAGATAATGCCATACTGCTTATTAAGGCAGATAATTCTGACTACACTCACACGTGACATTCAGTTTGAAAAGTTTATTCAGGATGAGTCAGTCAGTCTTCTAGTATACCCATCCTGATACAATCTTAACATGTGCACCCTGGAACTTGGGGTTCTACAAAAAGAACCTGTGCTATGCCAGATCGAAAAAAGCACTAAAGAACCTCTCTTTAGATGTGGCCAAAAAATGTGTGAAAACGTATTCTTCATCTAATTAAGCAGTACAATACCCTGAGGAAATGGGTAAGCTAACCTGGTTGCACAACTAATCACAAAGAAAAATCAATGATTGTAATGATATTTTAGTTGGAAAACCAAAATTACAACAAATACAAAAAGGAAAGTGGTCAAACATAAGACTGACTGATCTAGAATGACATAATTTTCCCGCGAAATACTTTAATAATCCGAAACTTCCATGATGCCACACAAACCTCTTCAACGTGCCGACAGAATGTTAATTTCTAATTAATTCGTTCCCATGTCACTCAAACGTCAGAAATTACATTCATCTAAGATTAGAAACACAACTTGTTTGTTCAGTAATATTAGGTTTTCCGTTAAAAGTAAAAGTGAACACAATACTATAAACAGTAAAGAGTAGATATAACCTTTCTTCTTTGGTGATCAAAATACTTTTCCAAACATAATTTACAATCCTTATATAAAGACCAAAAGAAAAAATGAATAAAAAAAATTATTTCTCAGATTATCCTAGAGTACGACTGAATTAAGAGATTATATTGGAAAGGTCACCTTGTTAACATTAAAAATGTTTACTGCAACATGTAAAGTGATGTACCTAGTTTATCATTTTGAGAGGTTATCATGAGTGGCATTTTTCCATCTACAGCATTAGCTGAACCGAACATCTTCATCTGCTCAACCTTTGCTGACAGCCTAAACAAGAAATTCATCATTAGGAGAGACCTGCCACACATTGTCACCATCATTAATATCCTTAGAACTCCCATTAATCAATTTAGAATCATATCCTACTCCTACGTTTCTGTAGTTGTACCTCCTTTCAACTTTTCTCTGTGGGGACCCTTGAGCGACCTTATAAGCTATGCTGCACTAGGGAGGCCTTACAAGGTTAGGAGAGCTGTCTAAGGCTGCAAACTTGATGACTTACTTTTTCACCTTTTCTGATAGTTAAGATCAAGTCACCTTGGGTAATCTCCCATCAAAGCAAGCTTTAGAAATAAAAAATTCAAATTTATGCACTCTGGCCCAATAGGTCTGATGTTAAAAATTCTCATGAAAAAAATCAAAGTGCTCTGTGAGCAAACTCGTGAATTGACACATGATTTTTGAGATTATGTTTAATGTTAAAATTTTGTGGTTGATTGTCATCTAGAGTACGAGCAGTAAGTGTTCGCTGATGTAGCAAAGAAACAAAGTAACGTTGGGATAAGAAGGCATTACAATTGAAATGATCATGCTATTACATTTGACAAGGGCGGATGATGTCATGTGTTTTAAACGTCTATCATTTTTGTTTCTGGTCCAAAAGAAAAGGTTGGAAGTAAAAATATTAGAAAATCAAGGCAATACTGTGTTAATGAAAACATTAACGATTCCCTTTTAATCAAATGAACGAAATATAATAAGCCAAACCTGCCACCGTCATTTTGGATCTCCGCCTGGGCAGATTTAAGTCACGTGCTAGGCAACGTGTAATCAATGAATTTCATTTCAGGCCTATTTATCAATTTTGTGGTGTGTAACTTTCGCATTTTAGTACGTTGTATGTATGTTGAATCTTCAAATTGTCTTGAAACTTACAAGAAAATTGTTCTTTAAAAATTCACTGAAAATCGGTAGCTAAAATTGTTTGTCTAAGTGTTATTTGATTTTCGTGTTAACTTGTTATTTCGTCAGTCGCCGGCATCTTTTGTTGCTTCACACAGGAAAAACACACGCGACGAAACGTAATGATCAATTTTGTCCTCAATCTCACGCTATAACAGAAAAAGCTTTTGAACATCTGTAAACTCCGAGCGCTTCGCAGTAAGTGATATTTTCAATGAATCTTCGGATTGTTTTCAAGTTCAAGGATTGTAAATTACAATTTTATGAAAAACGAAGGTTGTTCTGTTATTTCAGTGTGAATCCTTGAATGCTTGCCAGTCGCTGGCGCCGCTTGTTGAAACTAAAACGAAAAAAAAAAACTCTTTTAAGATTATCATTGGCTTCTTTTTCACCCCACCACTATTCTTAGCAACAAAGGTCGCCATTTCGTCTGTTTATTGCTCGCCAAAAACTATCAAATGTACTCAAAAGCCTAAAATCTAAAAAAAGTTTACAGGAATCGACCAATCGAGCGAGCGAGCGAGCGAGCGAGCGAATGCTATTCCCCACATCGTATCTATAACTCGCTCTTGCGCATGCGCGCAATTCACGAGTTAAAAAATAAATAAAAAATAAAAAAAATGTGAAAGTGAGAATTTTTCCTGTAACTGTACCATGAATCATAGAGGTTTGGAAAAAACCTTTCAAATCCTTAGAATGCAAATTAATTGCCTTATGAATTCCTATTTGACATTTTTTGGTTTCTCACTGCTGTCAATACAAAATCATCCCTAGATGTTGAATATGTTCAACTTACTTGATTGCTTGTGCCGATGGTCTTTGGGAGAGCTCTGCAGAAAGATCCTGGAAACTCAGTTTGGCAACAGCAACTGACCTAAATGGGAGACAGGTCCCTCATCATATTCTAGCTTCATGTTAGCTTGGGAAAACTCCCCATAAAGATCTAAACATTTTCCAAAGCAACCTACAAATTATGGAGGAGTGATAGTTTGCATAATGTTTGAGATATTCTTCTACCATAGGAAATACAAAATAACAAAACTCACAGAAGCTATCATCAGTCCTTTGAAATGGGATTGCATTGAGAGATTTCAATTGAGTGTTAACAGTAATCTAAGACTGCTTAAACAATGCTTTACTATGCTGTGTGATTGGTAAAAAAAAACTCATTCCATCCTGTCAACCAATTAGATACAAAGCTAAGACCAAACTTATCACTACTTTCCCCAGGTTTCTCACATGTTAAGTCATTTCACCTTGGGTTAAAATATATACAACATTTTATCGTATTAGCTTTATGATAAAAAATAACCATGATGGCAAAAGCAACTCATATTTTCATGGCTACATCAGTTCTGAGAAAATCAAATCAATTTTCTAGTAAGTTTGCCTTAAGAAACAGTTTTATTCAACACTCACTTGGCAGCTGCATCATCTCTTAAAGCCACACTAATCTGCTTCAAAATCACCTCAACTTTATTTTCCACATACTGCAGAATAATCCAGGTAAAAACCAAAAATACTGCTAGATAATAATACAATCAGGATGCTTTAAGTGCTCACAGTTATAGGGGTGACAGCATTTTTCGATGAGTAAAATAAAGTCAAAGAGACAATAAGCATCAAAGTTAGTTGAAACGTTGTGTCACTTTGAAAAATTCTTTTAATGTGTAGAAAAACACTACTGTTTGGTCTAACTCTAAATTCTTAACAAAAATCCCCTCCCCAATTCAATGTTGCCAGTTGTACAGGGCCCCACGTAGCTAAAAGATACTGGAAGCAAGATAAGACATTGTTTTGGGGGAAAGGAGCAAATAGGTTAACAAAGACAAGACAAAGGAAATAACAATGAAGAAATGGGAGATTGAAAGTGTCACTGTGTCAATAACTTTGTGGGCAGTTGGAGCTACTGTATATTTTTGGGCCAAACAAACAGTAGAGACAACAGAATTGGCTATTTTTTTTTCTTCAAAGGCAAATATAAGTCAAAATATATAAGTTAAATTGCTACCGTTTTTGTAAGATTTTAAGGAATTTAGGTAACAATGTTTTTTACTAAGCAAGTACCTCCTTGGGGAATACTGTTATGGTTTCTCCTTCACTGTAACCAATGGCACTGTACAACTTCTCCAGTTCTTCTTTTTTCTGATCTTCAGTTAAAATTTCTGTTTAGATAAGGGTGATCAAGCTATTTTCATTTAAATTGCTAATCCATGCAGGCATGAGATTCAGCACTCTGTGGTATATACTTATATGATGATCTTGAGATAAAAGCCTTACCTGATTCATCCTCCTCCTTCTTGCTTTTTTTTTTGCCCCAGAACCTAGAAAACAAACTGCCACTCTTCTTCTCTTCCACTTTCTTCTTCTTTTTCCTTAATGCTGCAGCTTCCTATGATGCAAAACTTAAAGTGAACTCCTATATTTTTGAGAAAAGGCCAAGTGGCTCTTTTTGTCTACTGTTTCCAGGTCAAGTTGAAATTTGGAACATTGGCTTCTGTATGGAGAGGAAAACTGGAGGTCCTGGATAAAAACCTGTGGAGTAATGACTAAAAAACAATAAAAAGCTAAGCCCACAGGTGATCCAAGGTTTGGGAATTGCACCCAGGTCACTGCAGTACAAGACAAACCCTCTAACCACTGCTCCATCCTGGCTTACTCTCACACTTGCTCTTACTATGCCTCTACCCACCTAAGAGTATGACTGTGTATTGGCAAACTATTAAAGAGACAGGGAGGGGGGGGCGCTGCAAAGGACAAGCATCATATTTGATGGGAGAAGGAATACGCCATGTTGCTTCATGCTTCATATAAGGAAACCAACTGAATGCACAAGCTCTCCAGATGAGAGCCCATTAGCTTGCCTGCTGTAGACAAAAAGACCAGCAACTCAAACTGTTACAGAAATGATAAAACAAGGCAAAAATTGCTGAAATCAACACAAACCTCATAAGCAGCCTGGCGTCGACAAATGGTGATATTCAACACATCCAACTTGCTCTCAAGTGCCTGAAGATTAATGATTTTATGACAGATTAAGCATGCAATAATAACATGCCGAGGTGGAAAGTTGCTATCTATGTCATGTAAATCATTGACCTACCTCTAGATCTTTTGACAATGATTCAGAAGCTTTGTCTCCCAGTAACTTTTTCTTGTACAAATTTTTGTATTCCCTGCAGAGATCCCTGAAGAAAGAAGGAAAGGCATGAAATCAACTTTTCATTTACCAGAAGGATAGACTATTTCTGGTCAGTTATTTGACAGTGATACCTATGTTCCTTCATGTGTGTCCAAGACCAGTTTCTTAATCTCCTCCTAACATCTTCCTCAAGAATGCTTGTAATGGCATAACTCCACCTGTTTCCAGGAGGAAATGTAGATAATGTTCCCAAAGTAAATGTAGACTGCAATTAACACCATCACAATTACATGTAATTATGGACCAAAGGTATACTGTAACAAGAGAAGTAAAACTTGGAAAAGCTTCCAACTTAAACTCAAATTCAATGACACGAAAATACCAGCTCTTTTGTTTCAACCAAAAGGAGTAGAAATGTAATGCTAACTCAAGACCTTCACAGCATAAAAGATGACATCAAATTCCTACACCCAAGTTTGTAGACAAGTCAAGGCTGACAATATTTCAGGTAGTAACAAAAATAACAGATGTGAGATGAAATTACCATTGTGCAGCATGTCCATGGAGAGGGACATTTGGTTTGTACTTTCTAAACACAGAATTTGTGGTCATTCTGTCAAAGGATTCCAGCAACTCAATCATATCATGGTACTGCTGTCTCATCAAAACTAGAGATATCTCTTCCAAGACCAAGCTTAGGAAAATCTGCATAAACGATGTGGAAATGAAAAGATTAAATTCTTCGTGAGGCTGAATGTAATTTAACTGAGGTAAAACCAAGCCATTGTAGTAGTTTCAATGTTGTGATGAACAGGACTCTGAGAGATTTGCTGGATGCATTGATACATACACTCTCTTACCTTGCTTTCCCACTATGTTACCTTTTTCCTTACCTCTCACATTTTGCTTACAGATAATCATTCCACTCACCAGTGGGTAAGTGTTGTACTGACAGGTGTGTGGGAGCAGACTGTGCCTCAGTTGCCATGGTGACCCTTTTTAGCAACCAAGGAGACTGCTGTCATCATCTGTCAGTACATGTAGTTTCATGAACAAAACCCTCTAAAACTATAGTAATTTAAGTATTTATTTTGAGTATTTTAACCAATTACCCCCTATGCAACTGATCAATCAATTAATCAGTTGATTGGTTGACTTTCAAGAGCAATCACATGGCCCCCTAGACAAGATTTTGATATATGGCTTTCAGTAGTTAAAAAAAGAAATCCCTCAACTGACCAGTGGACCATTCAATTATCAGCCTAATGATCGATCAATCAACTGACTGCATGATTAATTTTCAAGAACTATTTCCTAATCCAAAATAGCAAGATTTTGGCTTTTATAAGGAGGATTTATGTTAAAATTTCTTTGCCAAACATCACTCCTGTTAGGTGAAGCAATCAGCATGAGTCCAAACACATACCTTTGGGATACTCAAATCAGAACCTGGCTTGATATTCATCTTCACTTTAGTGGTGGCTGAGATTGGCTGTAAGACTTAACAACAAGAAAATAGTGAATAATTGTATTTTCCTTGGTTGTTGTTGTTGATCATGTGTCAGATTACTCAGGTGAGATTAATGCTTAAAACATTAGTACTAGCTACTCTGAGTTTAAATACTTTGGTTTTTAAATGGAGTTGTTCCAGAATCATGCAGTTGTACAACATAAAAACTTCTGAGTGAGTAAAGGTAAGTAAAAACATATCAGCACTGATACGCAATGATGCCAACAAATCCCTAGGAATTGAGACATAGTACACAAAATATACTCACTGTATTTAAAATCAGGAGGAGAGAAATGTTGTTTCGTTCTGATTGCTATCCCACCCTTGGCTTGATTCTGTAAAAAACAGAAAAATTGTCATCGCCATTTCATTTACTATTATACCAACTGTTACAGCGTTTGCAAATTGTCTTTGAATTTATCATAAAATACATAGAGTTCTGTAAGTTGAGATCTGAACTTAATTGTGTTCATCTCACTTGAAGTTGCCTCGAAAAAGTGCTCCATATTAAAATTAGGGACATTTAAGCCACTTAACAAAGAAAGAGAAGTTGTTGAGACAACAGGAATTTAAATGTCAATTAATTAAATTAATTAAATGTCATTAACCTCTTAACCTTCAATATCCACTCACTATCCAGCAAACAGGTAATGAGGATACTCAATGTATCAGGTAGAAGTTGTTACCTTGATCTAACACCAAAGTCTTGTAACTTATTTACAAGGAAATGTGCAGCAGCTAGTAGAGTGAATTAACAATCAGATCTTGGGAGTTAAAGGGTTAACAAAAAGGGAAGAACCTCACCATCCATGGTGTTCCTTATATAGAGTAACTACATGTTAAACTGTGTCAGTCATCTCCATCATGATAAAGTAAGGCTTAATTGTTGTTGTAAATAAGTTGGAGTGTATTGAGAATAAGAGGCAAGAATACTAGTTTTGTGAAAGGATGCAGGGACTCATTGTTTCAAGTAAAAATAATACTGTGCTTTGTAAGTAAAAATACTGTGCTTTGACCTAGTAAACAACTACAATTCCTTTATGCAGCTATTTAGGGAGATTTTATGATCAAATCTTGGAAACTAAAGGGGTTCGACCATTATTTCTCATAATCATCAAAATAACTTAATGAAAAAACCTTGGTCATCAGAATTATCACAGGGTTTCTCGTGATGAAGAGCTAATGCAAAACACCACACACCACACACCACCCACTTTGGAATGAAACCAAAGTCCTAGGATTACACACACAAATCACACAACAACATTACCGCAGAAAAAATTAAGGATTGCAGTATGGACATCTATGATCAAGAATCATTGCTCAGAGTACTAAGACGGTACCCAATTAAAATAAAAATTCACCAAAACAGGTGAGCCAGACATGGTGGGACATCATGGGTCAAATTAGGTCACTCAAAAAATGTCACCCTCATCACCCTAGGGAATTAAGACTAGTAGGGTGAAGCTTAAAACTTGAAATCCACATTAGAAGTAACTGCATCAAAATCAGACAAACAATGACACTTTTTTATTTCAAACAGTGATACTTTATGATCCAGAAATCATTTGACAAGTAATTACCACCCAGTCCTCTTGCGTTGGCAGATTTCCAATATGATCTTTTGTATTCCAGTAAATGGCAAGACTGTCAAGTTTGACAAGCTAACAAACAAGCCAGAAAAAATAAGAAAGAGTGTTGTTGTGAGTTGCAGTCTGAAAAATAAATCATGATGCATGCAATGAAGAGATGGCAAATATAGGAAAGAGAAGGATGGTTGTGAGAGATGGGAAATAAGGAGGAAAGGTAAAAACAAGTGTGCTATCCCAGGTGAACCCCAAGAGGTCCATGGGATGTATGAAATTCCACACTGGTTGATTGTGCCACACTTGCATCTCTTGCAGTAAATATTTCCTTATATTTTATCATTTTTGGCACCATTTACAGACAATGTGTCCTCAAGTTCCACCTCCCGACTACCAATACTTGTTTTGCCATGCGACCACTACTCAACCCTTATACAAATAACATTTTTCCAAATATATTTTCAGACCTATCTGTATCTCACCTTGTGTACAATTTTTACTTTTTTACCAACAATTGAAGGTTTCCAATGTTCATCTGTGGACTAAAACAGAGAGTGATCATCACTAGATGAGCCTTAACACTATTTGACAGAACCTACTGGCACGAAACAGCTATACAGAGGATCAATTTTTCAAAATATTCATTATCAAATGTATCAAGGATGGGTATAAATTCATCAGCAACATATTCATTGACTTGGACAAAAGATAGTAGCAGAAGCCAAGATAGCATAATTTGAAAAAAATATATCCTTTGTAACCCTAACAATAGCAGTGCCATCACACCAGAGGAGAGAAGGGTCTAAAATGTTTCAAGGTAACATCATTTTTCAACCCCTTGTTTGCTAGATGAAAAATACTCTTTGATCAATTACACTTTTCCTGAAACTTTCTGGATGACCTCTTTAGCTAATACAGGTTTACTCCTTAATACACAGGTTCCCCAACAAGCTGTTAGGACTTATAGTCTGGGAGCAAATGTGGTCCCGTGTGAAGTTCGTGCTGAAAGCAAGCACCTAGTGTAAAAGTGTTCATTAGGACCTACTAAACATGAAAAGTTTTGGTGCCAGCTTTGCAACTTGCTCAGACGGCTTTTAAGGGGGGTTAAATTCTGATCCATGAAATCTAGCATGGAAACGAGGCTAAAACACATAATTCCTCATAACTTTGTTAATAACAGACGAAAATACACCAGACTTGCTCACATGATTGGGCATGATCCTCCCTGTTGGTTTATGTTAATTAACATAGGTCACGTGACCTTACGCATGAAAGCGAGGCTGAAACACATAATTCACTATAAATTTGTCAAAAAAAATCCTTATCATGCCAAACTTGCTCACCTTAGTCAGTTAGACATCTTGCATCGATTGGTGCCACTTTGTAGTGTCACGTGACCCCATACATGGAAACGAGGCTGGATATATCTGGTAGCATCGTGTAGGATGGCATTTGTCCTGCCAAATGTATTAACAACTACTAGGCAGATACATATCTGGTTATCCGAGTTCAGATATAAAAACTTCAACTAATCATTGTCCTATGGCCCATAGCACAGGGACAAGACGGATAAAGCAAATACTGCGGAGGCTCCATTTGAGAATTTATCTTGTACACATAATCAATAATTTTGCCAACTTATGATACTGGTTCCATGTATTCATTTTCGCATGTATATTGGAACAAGGGCAGAAAATGAAAATAGCGACCACTGCTGTTTTATATATACAGTCATGAAAGTATTACTGAATATCTATATACATTGTTCTGTTGTCCATTCCTATGGAATTTCCTGTTCGACTTCGTCTTCATCATACTCATCATCACTTTCAGCATACTCGTTCTGGCAATCTTCAGAGCACAGACAGAGATCAGTACAGACAAGTCCGGCTTTTTGACACCGACAACGGTTGTTAGAGCAAGGGACTTGGCGCACTTGCATCGGACAAGCTGTATAATTGCCTCTGGAGCTGGTGGAAGATTTTTCATGACTGGTACCCACTTTCCATCTTCATCTTGCCATCCATAGCCTTCTGGTGAGGGCAACACCGGGTTTGCTACATGATCGTTGTTCCAAACAAAAAGCTGGTAGTGCGCTCTCAGTATGGCTTGATGGAGAGCAGCTTGTGTGGGCGGCAACCTCTCAGACTCAGCTTGATTTTTCTTAAAGAGGGACCATCTGAGGGCTTTGACAGTTTTGATGTCTGTCTTTGGTTGGTACATCCGACAAACCAGCTGTTCCACTCCACGTCTTGTGCCGTCATCTGGCTGTTCCCCACAACCGAGGTTAGCAAGAGCTTGCAAGATAGGAGTGCTGGTGTTATCAAACTCATCCCAACAAATGGCTTTTCCCTTTCCAGAGAAACTCCCAGTAACATCTGCTCCGGTCAACGCATGAAACGCTGGCAGCGCAGCCGTCTTAGTGGGCCCAAGGGCGTCTGCGATTGACTTCAAGTTGATAACTCTACGACTACTGCCGGTTCCAGTAACAAAGCAAGGGTTGGAGCACAAATCTGGATACCGTCGGAGAGCCAAAACAAGAACATCAGTGTCAGGAGAATATATAGATAGTTGGGTAGCACCTTGAGCAGAGGCATCCAGAGCATGTAAAATAATCTTCGTGTCGGCTTCTTCTTGTGTACTTCGTAAATGCCTGACGTCTCTGTGCGTTGCCTCACATTCCGTTCCCCATGCCACAACGACTTGTCTCCCATTGCGAAATAGGATTGTAGAAATCGCTCATAATAAAGTCATATAAGCCACACGAAATACATAATCATTGCAGCTTTTTAGCTTTTATTTTTTTCATTCAAATGCTATACATACAGCATTAATATGCATTACAATGAGTCAACGTTATTGTCCTGGATGATGTGTTCACCTTTGGCGTGTTTTGCAATCCAGCCTCATTTCCATGTATGGGGTCACGTGACACTACAAAGTGGCACCAATCGATGCAAGATGTCTAACTGACTAAGGTGAGCAAGTTTGGCATGATAAGGATTTTTTTTGACAAATTTATAGTAAATTATGTGTTTCAGCCTCGCTTTCATGCGTAAGGTCACGTGACCTATGTAAATTAGCATAAACCAACAGGGAGGATCATGCCCAATCATGTGAGCAAGTCTGGTGTATTTTTGTCTGTTATTAACAAAGTTATGAGGAATTATGTGTTTTAGCCTCGTTTTCACGCTGGATTTCATGGGTCAGAATTTAACCCCCCCTTAAAAGCCGTCTGAGCAAGTGGCAAAGCTGGCACCAAAACTTTTCATGTTTAGTAGGACCTAATGAACACTTTTACACTAGGTGCTTGCTTTCAGCACGAACTTCACACGGGACCTTATTTTATGACATTTGCTCCCAGACTGTTAGTGAAAGGTGACCCTGACTGCTTTATAGAGGTGTACAATTAAAAGAGGTAAAAATTACAGTGGTTCACACAGTGACCACCTACAGTATACCTGTGCCACTTAATACAGGTTCCACTGTTAATATAGCTATCATTACATACACTCCTATAGCCCCTCTCTCTTATATGCATCCCTTGAACCTTTGACCCTTAGAGTTACTAGCATCTAATTTCTCCTTACAATATCACCCAAGGTCATGAGAATAAAGGAAATGATAAAAAACAAGAGATACCCTTGATTGTTACACAAATTCTCTACGTCGGCACCTTAGGATACCTTTAGAGAACAGTATGGAGAATATATACCCTGATGTTAGAGTGTAAAGGGTTAATAAAATAATGCCCTCTCCTTCCATATTAAACTTCAAGTCTCAGTTACTCCACAAGGCCCCACAACCTTCCCCAATACTGAATAAAAAAAAAATTTTTACAGAGTGTTCATTAAACTGAGACAGAAGTTGAAATGAAAATAATGGCTGGCATTGTGACCACCATTCAACAGGGTTGTTGTTGTTGCTCTCCAATAAACCCCCACCTCTTGGAGGCCTGTGGTCTGGAAACTGCTGAAATCAATAACCTTCCCCCATTACTAGGAGACTCATCAGAGGATTTAGGGTACTGCTCTCACCTCAGCTGACAAATTCTCCAATGTCACACCAATTGAGAATGGTGCAGAAGGGTTAGTAACCTGACACAAATAGGAGCAATGAACATGGACATTATAATTATAATTAACACCAAAGGGTGAATACATCAAGAATTAATGATTATCATAAGAAAAGCAATCTTTCTGTGTCATGCCCACTCTATCATCAAGTGCTAAACTTGCAATTTCAACCATATGCAAGACCCCTTAGGAAAAATGTGCAATGTTTCAGGTTGTCAAAATGTCATGCCTCAAGTCGTGATTGGGGGAATTCAATCCAATTAAATTCATTTTGTCTGCTTCTGTTTGATGTCAGTTAAAAGTGACAATGCAACTTTAGTTCAAAAACTGTCCTGAACTATCAGCCAAAACTTCCACTGAAGCATAAGAATCAAATTGATGTTTACCTGAATGTAGAAATACTTACAGAGTCTTCATATCGTATGTGAATATTGCGAACAAAGACCTGGAGAGGAAAGAAAAATTAACCATCTTTAAGTCAAAAAGACATCAAAATGACAATCATTCTGAATAAACCTTTTTTTATTTTTTATTTTTTTTTCACTTAAATGGAATTTGATGTTTTGCCAGTGTTGAGTCAAGCAGGCAACTGGAACTGATTGCTACATGTGGATTTCTCATCAAACTCACCTGAAGGTTTTTGACAATCTGCATGGCTAACTTCTCTACAAAACTGTCTGACTTTTCATCTTTTTGCAGCCCTGCATAATAATCGATGAAAGAATCATTTTTCACCTCAATTACAGACTAATTCCCATTAATGACTATTAGTCATTGACAGAGACAGTCAATCAAAGCCATCTGCAGTAATTTGTGTGACAATGTTAATATCCAACACTATGCAGGGCTCTTGGCCAAGTTTTCTTTTGAAGTCATCTTCTGGCAACCTAAAATTATAAAAAGCTAAACCTCTGACAATGTGCCTCATGGTTGAAGTAGGTGGCATAGCTAGCATTCATTTTTGGAGACTCAAACAAAAACTTTTTCTAGATGTCACAGCTACCAAAACAGTAGCAGTTTGAAGCACAGAGGCAGATGTATAGGTAGATTGATGGTCAGATGATGAGACAAACAAAAGTAAAAGATTATCAACCTGAAAGAGACCTGACAACAAACAAGTAGGCAATTTTTTTAGAGACCCTAACCACTAAAAACAGATAGATTATTAGGGTATACCATTCTCCTTTTTCTTTTCCACTTCAATCTGCCAAGTGAGCTCCACTGCTTCCAGCTGTCTTTGCTTTCTCTCCTGTTTGGCTTTTTCCTCTTTCTCAGCATTGTACTTAACATCTGCAGGAGCAACAAACACATTACTCATTTACAGTGTCAATTCTCTGGGCATAACTCTAATGTCCAGAGAGGTAGGTACAGGCATTACTGGAGAGTCCATCACACACAAATCTTTTCTTGACATAGACAGCCAAAAGTTAATAGTTTGTTTCCATGGTACCTATTACTCAATTGATGACTGTAGCATTCAGTTGAAAAATGTATGCTAAAATTTGACTTATCCCTTAAGATTGCCACAAACCAAAAAGGCTTGTGTACCACATTATCTACTAACAGATTTAGTGACACTCAAAAACACTGTAATTGTTGGGCCAAATGTGAAAAAATAACTTGAGGAAAATTATCATGATAAGTGATAGTGATAACAGTAGTCAATATCATGAAGATTAGGTTAATAACAATGATGATGAAGGTAGTGATAATGACAAAGATAAATACAAAGACAAAGACAAAGACAAAGACAAGGACAATGGCAACAGCAATGGCAGTAGCAATGATAATGATAAGGAAAAGACAAAGGCATAGAAAAAAGCAAAGGCATAGGCATAGCCAATGGCAATGGCAATGGCAATGATAATGACAAGTCAAAGGCACAGACAAAAGTAAAGGCATTGGCAAAGGCAATGATAATGGCAAAGGTGATGGCAATGATCCTGATTATGAACATCAACATGAACATAATGGTTAATATAGCACCCTGTGACTACCACTAAAATACCAGACAAATGTGTCAAGAGCATTTCTTCAGTGAAAACAGTTCTCACCAGCACTTGGTCTGACAAGTAAGTAAAGTCCATCTACTTGAGCAACAACAGGTTCTGAGTACAAATTCTTCCAGGGTATCTTCAGCACCAGTTTACCTGTGTGAAAAGAACAAGTACATATGGTAACACACATACACATACAAAATAAAAAAATCTGAAATCCACTCTTCCAAATGGCATTAACTCTTTAACCCAAGGCTGACTAGCACTTAATTTCTCATTAAATTATTGCTGCTGAATTAAACATCAGGCTAATGAGAATTACAGAAATGATCACATTTTGAAAAGCTGTTGATTTTTTACACAATTCTCTTTATCATTACCATTGATGAGAAATGTATATAGAACAGTTACTTAAAGGAGAGTATGCATGCTAATGTTAGGGTGTATAAAAACAATTAATCAACTGTTAAAGGACGACTATTTCATTCTACTTTCCTACCTAAATGACCGCGTAGAACTTTAACTGGCAAAGCAAGGTCATCCTGGTAACAAAAGAAATCCACTGTTAAATAACCCACATCATATTTTTCATTTACATCTTCACACTGAACAAATGCAGGGTTCTCATTAAGTCCTAGCTGCCAGTTAATAATCAGCTACCTCAATTCCTGAACAGCCTCCTCTTCATAAAATAACATGTGTAAGTTGTGAACAGTAAACAATAAGTAAAGGTAATAAAAGGATTTAAAGGGACATTTGTTGTTCACAAGCACAAGTAAATGTTTCAGACTAAAAAATTGCACAAGCCTGTAGGGTAAGTGAAATATATAGTCTTTCAAGTGCTTATTACACAAAATTGCAAAAGAAATCATGTAATTACGTGTTAATAATGTACATGGAAAAATATCACAGAAATTAAATCAAGACAGACAAAATTTTGAAAGTGTGCGCACTTGTTTTCAGCCACTCAGAATTAAGAGCGTAATTTTTTCATGTCCACTATTAAAAACATGAAAACAAGTCACCGCACAGACAACTCTCTTTTTAAATTTTCTTGTGAGTTAAACACTCTTCCAATCTCTACCTTATTAATGTTTATACCAAGCCAACCAACCACCAAATTGCTTTTGCATATACCTCCAAAAGAATGCATAATATAGCATTTCAGACCTTCTAAATTTCAAAAATAACATGTTGTGGAAGAAGGAAGAAGCTCTTGAATTGTCAGCCAACTACTCATTGCAGCTGAACATCTACTCCCTAACTTAATGAGACCCTGCAGATGATTCAGTCATTAATAATTATTATTTTAATAATTATAATGGCCTTCTGGGGTAGGCATCTTTTTGCCATTCCCTGTCACCTTCTCCTAAGGTCCACACTAACTCTAAATCAATCAATGCCAGTTGAATAAACAATCGCAAGCTTATAAGGTTAACTTGCACCATAAGACACCTGCACTGTAGTCTAGCCTTTACTATTTCGTGACAAGATTTTTCCTTGGCTTGTTTGAAAGTAGCTTGGTTGATCGACTGAGTAGATGAGTTTGTTTATGGGTGAGACTCAATATAAACAGCACAGGGATAGCAACATTTTCCCAGTTATGGTTGATCTGCCTCTGGTTTGCCTGTAATTGGATTTTGTTCCCGCTAAGAGCAAATACAAGTAAATAACTTGTACCAATAAATATTCCAAATTGTTGCATCAGGTGACATTTTTAAGTCAGAGAAACTGTTACTCATAATGGGCTGGACAAGCAAGTTGCTTTGGACAAGCAACAATAACTAATGGCAATAGCTATTAAAAATTATATATCATCATCATTGTTATTATAATTACTGTTTTGTGTTCCACAAATTTATAACAGTGTAAAATAATCATGACATTTAAAAAATGCGAAAAAATTACAGTTAAGGTTAATTCTACCAAAGAGAAAATTAACACTCATAGTTTTGATAAAGATGAAAACATTATGATTATGTCTAATAGTTATAACAATGTCCAGGAGAAAAGGTGAGACCTTAATTATTTTTGTCTCTGAGGTTTTCACACTCCAGTGGTACTGCACTCTAAACTTTCAGAGCTAAACAGATGAAATAACAGTCACCAGGGGTGGTATTAAGATTAATTTGAATTTCTCACAAAGATGCACCCAAATACATTTTACTCAGAACAGAATTTCCTTCCAGAAACAATGCTTTATTTTTGTCCGAAGCAACAATGCATAATTAAACAAGATACCCCATTGGACCAGTTTAAAACCACCGGATAGAATCAGAGCTGACAGTTCATTTACTGACATCACAATAGCAGCTTTCATAGATAATGGTTAGCCAATTTGCAATTCTGTTGATTAATAATTAAATCTTGAGATCGATGTGTTAGAATTTTTTGTTCATTTCTTCTTGCATACAATGTTCTTTCGTAGTGAGAAAAATGAACATTTACAAAATTTAAGCAATTACAATTTGAAATTTGTTATCAGCTAATTACTTGTTATCAGGTCAAAATAAAAAAGATGCGGTTTTTGGACACGCGACAATTAAACACTCTGTTATGAATCCGTTACCTATCGGCTACACTTGAGAGATTTTCCTTAAGTGCAATTGCGGTTGCTTTCGACGATCGCAAAAAACCAAGATAACAGATACACAGGTTATCTTTACTCAAACTAACAAGTCTGAATAAACAGACAAACCTAAACAGGTCTCGATAATATTTTATTAACACCGCAACTCATATGAAGTTTCTAGAAAAATATCAAGATAATCGTCGTTCGCTAGCAATATTAAAAATGGCGCCACAGTACAGTTCGGAGACAAATTAAAAATCCACAAACTCCTAATTACCCAGTCGTAGTCAACATGTAAAATTACTATACAGGTAACTTACGATTTCACTCAAAATGCCAGAGCTTTGGTGCAATTTTAGGCAAAACCGGAAATGCTGTAGGCACAAGACTTAAACAAAACATAAGGCAAAACTATAACTTACTAAGGCGCTTTCCTTGAGAATCAAATTTTCCAGTTGGACATCTCCTGCAGACGTAAACAAGCCATTGTTTTCAGAAAATGTGGTTGTCGAAGGTTTGAATAGAAATCAAAGTGCAAAGAACTTGCAAAGCAATGAAACTCCAGCTACAAGTACCTCCCCAGATCCCAAGCCTCAACTGGGAAGTATCGAGATTCTCCAAGTACTGGCCGGCGAACTTGTTCAAAAGATCGACAACATACGACTCGAACACCATGATTCTTATATGAACTAATTCATTTTCGGCACGAAATAGGGACTAACCATGACTTAATTTGGTATCACACGGTCAGGCCATTGCTTTCGATTAAGACCCGTAGGACACGAGTCAAGCGACTCGAACCTGAGCCCGCGGAAAGTATGACGTCACCATACGCGCCTTATTTGAATTCATATTCACCTTTTGGGCTTCATATTTCACAAAATGTGAAAACAAACCTCAGGTTCAAAGAAAACGATCCCAGTGTTCCCATAAAACGCAGAGAAGAAAAAGTTTTTCGCCTAGAGAAAAGGTCACTCACCTTTATCAATGTCTTATCTTTTTTTGCGATGGATATTGATTCTTGTTCCTGGACAAAGCGAAAATTAAACGAGGGTAGAGATGCGCGTCTTTTTATCATAAGAGATTCTATGGCTCGTTGCCTAGCAACGAGGTTTTGTTTGACCCCCAACCAATATGTCCGCTAAAACCGTGGAAGGATCTATTCGGCGGCCAAAAAGTGTCCCCGTTAAGCGCGCGGCCAAATTGATCATGTTACATAGCTTTGACGTCACGTCGGCAACTATGGTGGAGAAACGAGAAATCTAGAAGAAAGGACGAACGTATTACGTGGCCGGAGCGCCAAATGATGTTAGCTACAAAAACAATACACATATACCGAGTATTCCTATACACTACTTTCAAAAGGATGCAGCTGAATGGCCAAAATGGACGCGTTTCGATCGTCAACATCGAGGAGATTTTACTCTTCAATGATGTCGGCCTTATGCTCCGTACCGGCTTCGACGACGCCTGTTACGAACGCATATCACTGGTCAAATCTGGGGAAGATAACCACTGAAGTCAACCTAAAAAGAATGCTGATTAAGGGGCCTGTCACCACACCGTACACGATCGTTCAACATTCTTTTCGGCTGACATTTCGCAAGCGAAGAATGGTGAGCTCCCTATTGTTGTTTATTTTACGCGCTTTAGATTTACTCATACTCCTTGTCTCTCCACATGACTACATTTGCGCTTTTCTTATCGTATGAAAATCCTACCAATTTTAGTTTGCGTCTTATTTTAATTATATATTATATTATTTAATTATATTATGCGTCGTATTTTTTGCTCCATCAAAATTCCCATTTGAGATTAACTTGAATCAGATGACTATAAACTCACTCGTTTTCCGCTCGGTTTGACCGGCTCGACAATTGCGACGATAGCCTCTGCCTTTGCAATCTCTGAGGAAAGGAGCAACTTGCAGTGGAACTACCCGGTGACTTCTCGGTGAAAAATCATCCTGCCTCGTGATACAGCTGATCCTTTCCCAAAAAGTTAGCTTTTGGTTTACTGAGGGAATTTCTCTACAGCAACGAAACTCTAGAGCACCGACTGAGGGGAACCTTCGCCGCACATAGTGTGAAGGGAATAAAATGTTATGGCAACAGAAACGAACACAGCTACCCATTCTCAAGATAGTTTTCGCCATGGAAAACAAAAGGCAAACGCAACAAGCTAAACATTCAGTAACGCGAGTTTTTTGTTCTAATCTTGACCTGAACACCGTAGGCGAGAAACCGTCGTTGTTAGTCTTCGTCGAAATCTTCGTTTGATACACGCGGTTCTCCTTCATATACGCAACCTCCATTTCTTCTCTACTACTTGAGCGCATGTATAATAACTCTCGGTAGAGCTTGCTGAAGGTAGGTATACATCGCTATCGGACATTATTTCAAGAGTATGTAAACGCTGACTGATACAAAATTACAAGAGATGTGAGGGATTTGCAATGTCAACTGAGAGTTTTCACAGTTTTCTACGTCATCACCCGCTAATTTGTTACCAGTCCACAGGCTGGTTCTTATCACGACTACCTAATCTATCTGCAGTTATGATAGACTCTCGGCAAACTGTTCCTGGTTGGAGTGGATTCAATGCCGTTGCAAGCAACCAGAAAATACCACTAAGAATGCGATTGATATTGCCAGCTCATAAGTGCTTCACCGACAGAGCTGTTCACAGTCTATATGTTACTGAAGAAGTCTCTTGAAATGGAAACTCAGCTAGGCCTCGACGACACTGTTGTGGCTCTTGATCAGGCAATATATGCAAAGGCCCCAGAGGTAGTGTGGAAACACAAGGAAGAGTTTAAGACCATTGTTCTACGAATGGGAAGCTTTCACGTTACGTGCGTGTTTCTCTCGGTTATTGGAAAGCGCCTCAAGGACAATGGGCTGAGAGACCTTCTGCTCGAGTCCGCATTGGTGGACTGTGGTTCACTTCCTGGCATCCTTTAAGGAAAGCACTACAACAGGGCCTTGCGCACTCACAAGGTTACTACTATTTTTTGTTAGTAATATTATCATTTTTACTTCTTGTTACTTTTGCTTGCGATACTACGTATTTAATTATCATATCCTTCCCTACATTTACTGTAGTTCACGATTAGGTTCGAGGCCTTGTCGGTTGGGATGATATTACCTCTTAGGTTTAGTCCTGTTACTCTCAGGGTATTTGATCTTACATGTAGAATAATCAAGGCTATTTTCCGTAGCTATTGGAAGTATATCCCTATGCCCAAACAAAGACCCTCATAACAGGAACTCATGGTTGTTATAGATGGTGCTAAAGGCCTTGTTTCGACTCAGCTGGCAGATGTTTGAAGATGAAACACGGGATGATCCAGAAGTACTGTTGCTTAGGCAGACAGTGATGATAGCCACAACCAAAGTGTGAAAAGAGCTCGCATCTATTACATCCAGGAACTGTATAGAACCCCTGAACTCCAAGGGCTGCGGGTGAAGTATGAAGAATTCAGCAAAACTTCAAGCAATAAGACGAGTTCCTATTAGCAATCGTACATCGTAATGGTGTGTCTCCTTCTGTGTTTCATACGATCAGCCAGAGAAGGTGATTGGAACTTGCACCTCGCTTGTATTCGTGACATGTTTCCCTTGGATGTTCGCCTATGATCGCACCAATTACTTACGATACCTACCAGTCTACTGGTGTGACATGACCTCACTCATAGATGTACACCCTTCTACGCACAAATCTTTCCAAGCTGGCAACTTTGTAGTTCAACGTTCAGGCAATGCATTCAGTCAAGGGGCCGTTGACCAGACTATCGAGCAGACTATTAACAGAGATACAAAATCGAAAGGGTAGAATTGCAGGCTCTAGCCTGAACAAAGGATCCGTGCAGCGATGGTTAATTACCTCCCATGAACGTGTAGTAATCACCCAAGCTTGTCGTCAAATGGCTGGATTGTCGGCGACAAATGAAGAGTGTGTTAGAAAGGAGAAAGGAAAAATAAAGGATGTCAGTTGATGAACATGATGTCAAGAAAGTACAGTCCACTCTTAACTGGTTCAATCCAATCCAAGCGGGGTTGATTTTGTGACAGACCGGTATCCAGATATTTCCATCAAGAATCCCGAGAGGGCAAAGCATGCTACTGCAGGAGCCGTTAAAGTTAAGATGACCGGAGCTGGCCAAAAATGCCCAAAACAATGGAAGAAGTTTTTAAGCAGCGGAGAAAATAAGAGAGCATTAACAAGGTTTCTCCTTTAGCAGAGGTGAAGGGACAGCTATGCAGATCGGATCGGGAATCGCTACATCTTTCTTTCGAGTCATTCCACTTGGAGACAGTCCCTTTCAAAGAATGTGAAAATTTTGTGCCAGATGTATGACAGGCCGAGACTGGCTGATGTGAATGAATGTCCTTACGTTACCTTTTGTGCCAAGCAAGGCCTGTCACAAAGTCTCCCGCCTGGCCAAGATGCACTACTACAACACAGAATGCGAGCAAACTACCAGGTAGCCATCTGGCGGCATGCACTCGTTGCAAACCTTGAAGTTCCACCACCTAAAGGCCACGGATGGCTCATTGCAGATGGCCAGCTCGATATCAACTGGATGTCACTGCCACCTGCGCCTAAGGCAGTACTAGAAGTGGATCCAGCTCTTGTAGAAAATGAAGAAGCTTGACCAACAAGTTACAAGTTATAAGAGGTTCCTGGTTCCACCCGAAACTCTAGAATTACCAGTGCTGCGCGTACATCCGTCAGAAAACGAAACAAGGCACATATGAAGTAAACTTCGTGGCAGCTAAGTCTTGCTTGATACCCCTAAAGTAACTTACAATTCCACGCCTGGAATTACAAGCGGCCGTTCTCGCCACCCGCTCATAAAAACGATAGTGAAAGAGTGTACGATTCAATTTGCCGATGTCGAATTCTTTACTGACAGCAGAATCACACTTGTCTGGATTCAAAGTCATTCCCGCAGTTTCAAGCCGTTTGTCTCAGCACGGGTTGGAGAGATCCAGAATAACTCGGACCCAAGCCAATGGAGGCACATTCCCGGTGAAGAAAACGTAGTGGATGATGTCTCGCGAGGATTGCATGTAAAGCAGCTGACGGGTAGATGGATGAACGTCCCAGAATTTCTAAAAATGCAAGGGGAACCATGGCCAGTCCAAACACCTATACTACAACAAGGAGAAATGGAGCGTCGCCACGTTAACGCCGTCACTGCAGTCTCGCCTGCAGATGTCGGAAATGCAATTGATATGAAGTATTTCTCCAGTTGGCGAAATCTGATACGAGTTACCGTGTGGATAAGGCTTGATATTATGCGGCTTGTGATGGTCATTTGAGCTAACTAGTTCCGAGTGAGGAAACACTTAATATGATTCAGGGGTGATATTGTAAGGAGAAATTAGATGCTAATCACTTACAGGGGTCAAAGGGTTGACACAAACTAATCAGCCAAGCAAAAACACGCCTTCAACAGTTAACTTCCTTGACCACTTCATTATCTGATTTTATTAATTAATCTAACGAATTACAAAATTAACCCAAGCTTTCAGTTGTTATCTGAACATCTCTGAGCTCCCTTCACTTGCACGATGCTTATCGATTCTTCTAGGAAAAGGGAACTGCAGGAAGTCCTGTCAATTTGTTGTCAGTTATCTAAATATTGAATACCGCACGATCGCGATCAGCGAGATTTTCCTCGCATATTTCAATGTTATCCATCTTTTAACAGTGAGTTTCATATCAAAGTTTTTTAATATCATTTCATTATTTCTGGTTTTACCCTATTTAATTATTTTATTATTTAATCATTGGCTCGCTATGCGAACGATACTGAAAACTGAATTGAAAACACTCGCTGTAAACTTTTATCTGTGTTGTATATCACTACAGTGAAAAGCCGTGAAACATCTTCATAACAAGATTTGTTTCAGTAAATTGAATAGTAAAAATGGCGAGTTTTGAACTCGGTAGTGAAACGAAAAATACTTTTTATCTTTCACGGGCGTGAGACAAAGAAAAAGCTGCCAGACTGATGGTGTAAGACTCGATTCTTTATGGTAATTCAGAATTTCTTCCTATTTGTCCCAGACGCGTGACAAGACGAAAAACATCCTTCTTTTAGATTAGTTAAATGAAAAACCTTTCTGAACTGCTCTCTTTGCATGTATACCGGATCATAACTAACTGCTTGGAAATGTAAAAGTGCTACTAAAAATTGGTAATTTCGGAAAATCAGAATACCTAGCAACTTTAGATAAAAGAGACCATCGACGTAGGGTCTGTTGTATTTCACTTGCGTTTCGCATTATGTACCTTATTACTCAAAAAATAATTGTAAAGTGCTCTCTACATTTCAAAAAATTCTCATCCTCCGGCTGCTAACAGAACTAAGCTAAGGCTAGTTTCTGTATGACCTTTTAATCCTATTATTGAAAGAATAGTTCTTTGCTGTCTTCACCACGAAATTATGAATTCTTCAATGAACTGGAAAGCGTGCATTCTGAACTGCTCATTGAAGGCACTGCAATTTAAGACCGGGCCTCTTTGATTTTTCCAACCAGCCACTATAAAATAATGGAAAGGGAAAGAGTCATTTAAAAATCCATTTCTTTAGTAATAAGTACAACTGAGGTGTTATAAGCGACCGAAAAAGTTTTGCGTCATCTACGTCTTTAAGGTCGTACTTTTCAGTTTGTCGAGTTACTTCCACTCACATGTAAACGTAAAGGAGCACAGGAGCCACTCCTTAGCTATCGCCAGTGGGGATGGGGGTTATCGCCAGTGGGGATGGGGGAAATCTGGAAAATTTTACTACGACACATCCAAAATCCTCCGACTTCCCCCCCCCCTCCCCCCTCTGATGATAAATAATGGCCGATCCCTACTATCGAGAGAAAATAACATCAAATTTTACCTGAGCCACTTCTGGGCTGGGCGTCAAAATTTTCGTATCGTCTGACTGCCGTTTAAATATACCTTTTGCTTTAGATTTGTCCTAAAAGAAAACGACAAGGAAAGAAAAAATGTCAAGTTCAGTTTAAATACTGACAAATGAAGAGTTGTCATTTGACAGTTCCTGCAAAACATATAAAATGGTTAATGCCTGCATGCGCACGCAATGTTGAAGCACAAGTATGTTGCTAGGCAACAAAGCCTACATTTTCGGCGGGTGCAAACTGGCGGCTGTGGTGGCTTCGATCTGCGTTTGGTCCAGAAAACTTAGGGAAAAAATCAGCCAATCAGATGCAGATTATTAAACTACGAGCTGTCTCTCCTTTTCGGCGAAGACGGTCGCGAGAATTAAAAAGATCAGTGAAAAAAATTGATGTTTGTGTGTCGCACGGAACTGTAGCGCCCCACTCACAGAGTACTGCGCGACACGCTAACATCGGTTTTTTTCACTAATTTTTTTCTTTTTCCATTTGCGCGACGGACTTCGCCGAGAAGGAGGGACTCCTCGTAGTCTACAACGGAAACTAATTTTGACTTGGTAACTCCTGTTTTCCTACGCTTAGGGCAATTTACGGATTTTCATTTTTTTGAAGTCTCATTGAGTCCTTTCATATCTGCCTTTGTTCTAATTGGCGGTTGTTATTGGTTTGGTTTTGGTTTTGGTTTTAACCCTTTAACTTCCAGAAGTGATTAACTTGTAAATTCTCCCTATAATATCCATACATTATCCAGCCACCAGGTAATGAGAATACTCAAACTTATCAGGAAGAAGTTGTTATCTTAATGTAACACCAAACTTATTATTTACAAGGAATTGTGTACCAGTTAGAAGGGAGAATTAACAATCAGATCTTGGGAATTAAAGGGTAAAGACACTCGCTAGAAATGCGCCTAGTACTATCGTCGACGTTAGAATCTTACCGGCACTTTTAGAACAAGTCTTTCTCCTTCAGTTGTCGGTTCACCAGTGAGTTCGTCAAATCTACACATCCAATCAATTTGCCACGCTTCAAACACTTCTGTTTTACCAGCAACTATGATGTGTCTACCGAAGGTGATAAAAAAAATTGAGACCAATTAAGGAAAGATTAACCTTGTTCAAAGTGCAATAAACCTTGTTCAGTCGACGCACAAGAAAATAAACTTGTTACCGACATTTTTTATAGAATTAAAGACTAGATACAGAAAAATGAAATTCCCCTCTGCAAACACTTATTGGACTAAGTTGGGCAAAACATCGTGAAGCCTTTGGCAAACAACTTAACTGCGAGACACTAAGAAATCATCATATTTTGCGAAAAATTAATTTGATACATCTACGCATAGGTAGGAAGACATTACATGGAAAACCCATTTAGACAATATCATGCATGAGCTCAACATTATGTAAGGGCAGTTATTCGAAGGTCACGAAATGAAGTCTCGACTAATAAATAGTAGAAACTGAAAATGTATTGGACAATGAAGAGATCTGGTGAACACAATCAACGCTTTCTCCTTAGTATCAGAACTTACTTGTTTGTGATAAGAAGTGTTTTCTTAATGTTAAGACGACTGTGACAGAAATAAGTGTCGTCCACCAAGACAGCTCTCGTTTTCTTAGTTTCCTGGTTTAGGGAAAAAAAATACACCATAACTCAACATTCTCTAAGACTGCTCATAAAGATAGTTTGTCAAACAGAATATTATCATGACGTTACCTGCAGTACGGCGTTTCCTTGGGCTTCGTGCAGATTATATGGCTTGATTACCTGTGAACAAATTAATCAATTTATTATATAGCAAGGCAGTATTGAGGTAAATCCGAGCGTTCTGATTTGTTCTTACTTGGTAGGGATTTTGCCATACGGACGGTTTCCACGCTTGGTAAATAAGAAGCTCATACCACAAAAGAGTACTTTTTCGCGCCGAACAGATCAAAGTCTCTCTCTTTGACGTAATGTGTCGATCAATTTCAATCGAATGCCGAAATTAATCTTGGAAAGCACTGGCTTCGCTTAAGTCTCATATTGATTTCAAAACTTGCACAATTCTCTAGACCAATCGCGTTTTCCCGCGCTTAGAGTCGTTTACATCTATTTCACTTCAGTTTTTATTGGCTCCCTGAAAAGATAACATTTTTCTGATTTTCTGTTATGATTTTTTTGGGTATGGTTTTACGACTTTCCTCATCTGGTATGATTAACGCTTTAATTCCCATTAGTGACCAAAACAGAAATTCTCTTTACAATATCAGTACATTATCAAGCGGAAAAATGATGAGAATGAAGAAAAACATCTCTTTATAGGGGATTATTTGTTGATTCAATACCAACGTCTCCGAACTAGCATCTTACCAGTTGTATGGCAGACAATAAGAAGAATTCCTAATGAGATCTAAGGAGTGATAAGGTTAAGGCAAGTTAAGTGTGTAAGTCACCTTGTCAGCGTAGAAACATCTGGGTGGTCGTAATCGTTTAACTTCACTTCCACTGCTGGCAGAACTGCAAAGTAGGAAGCTCAGTTTCAGATGACGGGTAAGCATGAAGAATTCTAACACAAACTCGGAAATTTTGAGTTGTGTTCACACGTGACATAATGGCAGAAAAATTTTGCCTTTTGTTCATACGTGACATTATGGCAGAAAAATTTTGCCTTCCGTGGCCTTGTAAACTGACAAGTTGTTGTCCAAAACATTCTCAATATTGGTGCCAGTGTTGTATTCAAAATGTATTTCGGATTCAACTCGACGGTAGAATGATTATAGAATGATTAAGTTCCACAAGGTAAGTAATGAAAGAGAGAAGGTCATGCCAACTATTCCCACATGCACTTCTTCAAACCCTCTCCTAGAGAAATTGTCAATCGAGTATCAAACGTTTCCCGCATTTTAATGGTTATGCTTCACTACGATCTGTGCTTCGTCAAAATTTCTGAAATGTTACTAACCCTTTAATTCCTTCGAATGTGCTGCTCGCAAAGTCAACCAAACCTCCGGCAGGACGTGCCACCACACCAACCACACCTTTTCCCAGTCCCTTGAAAAACCCCGCAGCACCACCAGCCTTTGCGCCTGTAAAAATGAATGACAAGTGAAGGAAAACAGATTACTCCGTGAAGATGTCCTGATTCGTGACGGGTGGGAGACGGAGTTCTTAGGTACGAGAAGAGAACTTCCACTTTTAGTTTGAAGGTTACGGAATAAAAATTCATGTGAGTCTTTCTACCCTTGACGGTGTTTAGAGTCTGATCAAAGCCGAACTGGTAAAAATAGACATTCTCTATGAAACAAAAAAAACATAAAAGACCCAACTGGCAATTTAGTAAAACCGCTTTTGTAAAAACGATACTTGGTGCATTTTTTAACTGAACTCACCCTGCACTGGTTTGGTTACTATTCCTGTCACACCTCCCACAACGCCCTAAAAATAAACAAAACAAACAAAAAGTGACAGAAATAAGAAAAGTTTCAACGTGTCCATAGTAATAAGAAAGTGCAATGGTTTCTTATCACTCACTACAAGCAATCACGACATGATCACGTGCACTTTCTCGCGCTCAGAGAAAGAATTTAATTGCCTTTTTCTTGCTTTTTCGGTTTTGATTTGCTTTGTTTGCTTTATTAATTTCGTATGAAAGTTCCCTTTGTCCTGATTGGCTTGCTTTGGATTAAATGTTGTGACAATCATTCGAATAAGCGCATAAATACCCGATGTATTAAGTTTACGTCTGCATGCCATAAAAAAAAATCGCGAAAAAAACATGTTACGTCGAGGAACCGCCTGCTAAGTAACACAACATTCCTTTATTGCGTCTATAACTCCAAGTTCTCGTGACTTTCACTGACCTCATATTTTAAAGTCTTCCCTTGAGGTTATGAAAGCACTCTAACGTTAGCACTTACTTCAAGTAGTCCCTTCCCACCCCTTGTGAGTCCTTCTTTGACATTAACAGGTTTCTTTCCCATCGCCTGCCTCCTCTCCTGTTGGTATTTATCATCCATTGTTAGTGCCGCGATACCTTTGCCTAGCGTTCCAGTTATACGAGAGACTGCACCAGCCGCACCACCTGAAAAACAAACAAACAAGAACATTTGGAATATCAAAATACTCCATATGCCTAGGGGTTAATCACCAGAAGAAGTCAGGTAAAGCAGTCAAAAGGTTGTGTTCAACGAGCTAAGTAGCCTGCGATCCTGGATCACCAAGTTTCTATATCACACAAATACTAACACAAGGGCCTCTCCTCCAAGACGGAAATTAGACCACTATTAACCTTCCAGCAACTCGTCTGGTTTTCCTGATAGTATCATAGAATAGAGAGAGACATGAGGAGTAAAGTGTCTTCCCCAAGAATTTAACTTAATGATCCGGCCAGGTTTCAGTCCAGCGCGTGAACAAGTCCAAAAAAAGGAGCGAAACCTGGGCATAGATTAACATCAACATACCAACAGTGTGACCAAACAAGCTCTTTGCGCCAATCATCAAACCCTCTGCGAACTCGCCAGGACCCTGGATAAGACCCTAGAACAAACAAAAACAACAGTATTCGGACTTGTCTCAGTTTTTACAATTCTGTCCACTTCTATCTTTGTTCCTATCCACGAAGATACTTTATAAAGGATCGCTGACTCATTTTCAGGCCAATGACTGAGAGGGGCCTGGACACAGTCCTTCAAAATGGTAATTGACACGTACAGAAATGTTTTACTTGTGTGAATTGCAGTTTTTTCAGTTAAAATCAGAAAAAAAATAAAATTAAAAAAAATAATAATAAACACAAAACAATAAAACAAGTAATTATCGATACATAATGACAATTATGAAGGGGTGATTATGACAACAATTATAATTACAAACGCCAGAGAATAGTCCAATATTTTGGTCTCTCGCTGACTCTCCGAGTTAAATTCGAGTACCATTTGTCTTTGAAAATCATCCATCAAACTTACCTGGTAGGGCTCGTAAAAGAAGTCTCTCGCTCCTTCCTTCAGGCCGGTAAGCAAAGCAAACGGATTTCCTAATACATCAAGCCCCAGTACTAACACGTATAACTGCTTCAGTGCCTGAATTTAAAAAAAAAAAGGCCGAAAGAATTAATCATTATTGTAATGCTTACGATCCACTTATTTACCTGTCACAATCAATTAAAGTTCGGTGAGCGGATGGTTGTTCTGGATTCTGTAACATGAAGCAAATAAGAGTATGTCTACCAATGCAATGGATGACACTTTAATCAATACCAGCCCCCCCACCCTTGGATTTCGTTACTTTCCCGTGAAGGTTCGCCTGTACCCATTTATACTGATGGAATAAAGCACTGTTAGAGTAAAGTGTCTCGCCCTAGACCACAACAAAGTGACCTGGCCAGTGCACGAACCGAACCCTCCCGTGCGTCTCCCATCATAAAGCACTGAATAAATTCACCTGACTTTTGTAATGCTTGATGGCGACTTCCATTAACTGCTGCTGCGTATAAACTTTGTCCTTTATTTCGAAATAAGCTAGCCTGTAAATACAACATAACCGAAACTGTCTGCCAAGCTCCTCTTAGAAGAGTGACAAGAAAACACTGGATAACAGGTAATAAATATGTGACAAATGATAAGAGAGGGTAGGTCACCAACCCCTAACCCTTTAACTCCCATGAATGACCGAGACAGAATTCTCCTTACAATATCAATACAGTATCAACCGGAGAAGCGACAAGAATAAAGAAATATATCAATTAGGGGATAATTAGTTGATCCAATACTAAATTCTGTGAACTAACGTTATAAGAATTGTATGGTTGACAGTAAGGAGAATTACAAATTTGATCTGGGAGTTAAAAGGTTAAATAAACAGTTCACGTCAGTTCTATTTTCTTTTTTTCCTAAGAACTAAATGCAGAGCCCAGATTTGATTCAAACATAACTCCACGACAAAAACAAATAAACGGTAACACATAATTTTTTCCCCTCCAGTTCACGTGATTTGGGCTTGTCTTCTGCTATAAGAAATAGCTGTATATTTGGCTGCATAGCAAAAGGTGGAAGGTTTCCACACGGGGCGGGGCTAGTGCTTCGACCTACAATCTTTGTTATAACTCATGGAGACAAGCACCAGTTCAAGTTTTTTTCCCCTCTCTTACTTCTTTTAACGTTCAGTCAACTTCTAAGATATAATGGCGAATACAGCAAAGACCTTATTTTGAACCAGGTTTTAGTGTTAGGGCACACTTTTCGCTGAGGAACACAGCGTCACGATTGCAAACTACAAGTGTGAAGAGGCACCGGTCATAACAAAATTATCGAACAAGTTCATGGCTGAAAAAAATGTTACCCACTTGAATTCTACATCTTGTACTTCAGTGACTGCTACTCCGACACTCTTGAGCAACATGCTTACAAAACTGCCACCGATAGCTGACTGAGCCTTTTTGGCCTCAGCGCCGCCACCCAGCTGAGAAAAACTAACATGAATCTGCAGGAAAAATCAAATCAATGTCTTATCATTAGTCACGTGATCACATCATCATTCGGTTAAACGAACTAACTTGAGAGAATAACTACATATTTTGCCATCCAGGATAGCATTGTTTTCAACCTTGACAAATCATAGCCAAAGACCGTGCAACACGACTTGAGGATACAATTAATCGTCCTCCACTTCTTTCATAGGAAAGGAGATCAATTCGTGCTTAAAGAAATTTTCCATAGAATTTAAAAAGTAGTCCACCATGGCAATGGCTCGACTTTTCTTCGGTCTGTGATTGGTCGAGAAAACTCACGCCCCCCCCCTCAACCAATCAGATACAACACCAAGACCAATCGCGATGTCACTTCTATTTTCACGCTATCATAGCAATTTGCCTATTTATTAATTTGAGTTTCAATTGGCACCTCGCAGTAATTTACCTTTTTTATGGTGTTTATTTGTTTGGTGTTTATGCTTTTTTATGGTGAGGTGTTTTCTTTCACTTGGTTTTATAATTTTCAATCGAAATGCGCCCTTCATGAAGTGAAATTAGATTGGGTTAGTAATCTAGAAATTTTTACGCTAATTATATAAATTTCCTGTCTGCTGATGCGTCATTAACCCTTTAACTCCCAGAAGTGATCAACCTGAGAATTCTCCCTATATCCTTACATTACATAGCAAACAGGTAATGAGAATATTGATCTTACACCAAATTCTCAAAACCAATTTACAAGGATATGTGTAGCAGCTAGAGGGGAGAATTAACAACCAGATCTTGAGAGTTATAGGTTAAGTCGATATGATCACAGAGTCGGGTTAGAGGAGGGCAACCGGAAACGATACCTTCAATGGTGATAGATGGAAGAAGTCGAAAAAATTTCTGTCAGTACTTAGGGCAGCCTGGAGAGAGAAAAAAAAGATAAATAAGCGTGAATTTTTAAATGACCACAATATAAACAGGCATAATTTCAAGACCAGTGAATTACAGACCTGAACGGCAAACGCCTCTCCAAGCTTGTCATGAACCATTTTTTTGTCCAAAGCATACTGGCTGGACTGTGAAGACAAACGTTCGACAAATTCTAAGTATAATGCGTTTCTACCCTGAAATGCCTATTTAACAAGCTTCCAAAGATTAAATAAAGATATTTTCAAAAATAACCACGTTAATAATGGTTTTGCTTCCCCGAGGTGACTTCTTCCTGTGATTGGACTGGGGTTTTAGGGCCATAAAAGCCTCCAAAGGAGCTTGCACCCCATTACGTCACGCAGACTTTATTTTGGCCTGTTACGCAACATTTCTAATTTCAATTAACATATCTTAGTTTTTTAGCTCTTATTTTTTTTGTATAAACGATTTGATTTTCTTATTTTTCAAAACTCTCGTGTTTTTTTTCAATCCGTGATCCTATCCGGTTCGATCCAGATTTTCTCTACGCCGACCTTTGTTTTGGTTTTATCGTACCCCAGTGGATATGCAGCCCGATGCAGTAAACGCATGCGTGAGCTAAATGAATACCGATTAGAGCATCCTTACCTCTTGGCCTGTGTCAATAGTGTCAAACGAAAATAATCCAATACAGGCCATGATAAAGCCCATATCGACCTTTACGTCCATCTCTTGAATGAGAACCTTGAAGTACCTAAGTAAGAAGAACATAAGAAGTAGAGACCAGCAAACTGTTTAAATAAACCAGATGAATCATTGCTCTGAAATCTCAATATTCTACATCAGTTCGGGTAAGCTAAATTCCACGACAAAATAAATGACACATGACCACTGAGATCGCAATATTCTGGAATAGCACATCAATATTATTCCTAGTCCCCTCTCTAACACCCTCCTCTTCCCCCGCCCCCTTCCTGTACATTGTTACACCGAATTGTCCGTGAATGGGGCAACGGTAAATTGCAGAGAAGTGTAGTTTATTTTCAATGTTATTTCCTAGTAATTCTTGTTCAGTGAGATTAGTGAATGCTATGTGTCATTTCATTTTGTCGTGGATTGTAGACTAGTCAGAAGATCATAGTTTTGGAGTAAACTTTTTATTAAATACCATTTCCCAAACCACTCACTTGATCTCATTCACGTGCGTGTGCTCCTCTTGCTTTGCGACTAAACTCACTTCAATGTACGGCTTTGGTTCTAAAACACAATCGTAGAGATTACTGCAAGATATTTGGTTTTATCAACTGAGTTGGTAATGTAACTTCGGTACTGTACAGAGTTTCAAAGCTGACGTTTCGAGCGTTAGCCCTTCCTCGGAGCGAATTACTGATTACTGAACGTACTGATTACTGACGGGTAAATTGTCCTATCAACGCTTACAGTTTTGAAATTCACTTTGCAAGGAGGATGCTGGCTCACATTCACCTTCGTCACTTACCACTATCAGCGGCGATTGACTTTGGAGGGGGCACTGGGAAGAGTACTGTCTGGAAGGTGGCACCTGGGACTTGGCTGTCCATCTGCGGAGAGACAAACATCCTCATTTAGACTGATGGAGTCTTAACGATCATACTGCACAAAATCAACGGGCAAACAAACCTTAGTTAATTTTAGTTTTAAAACACTGGATTAGTAACCAAGCTTACAGTGTCTGCAGGGTTTCCAAGAGAGACAGAACTTAGTGATCTACTTCACTGAGCTAAAATGATTTAAGTCTTGTTTGCCACAATTCTTCTCCCTCTATTTTTCTCTCGCTCACCTGAACCGAATTGATCTTTGTAGAAAGTGTGAGTTCATTTGGCGAAGATGTATACTCTAATGAAATTCCTGGAGTAAATGTTCTTCTGATGTGCTGGCGTGTAGGCCGGACAATCTCCATTTGTTTAAAATCAACCTGGAAATGGTGGACTACATTTACTAAAAGCGTTAAACAAAAAGAGCAAAAAAATATGTTTAGGGAGACATGGATGATTCTTACTAACAAACGTTTGCTAGTATATATTTTCCTCACTCGCAGTTTATCAAAATCACTCGCATTTTTCGAGGTTGCGAGAGTTAATTTCGAGCCTTGCTTGCCTTCCCTAAGAGTTCCCAACAGCTCGCTGGTGTACATTTAAACTCCCGGGCGAACAAAAGCACAATGACCCTCGCCACGCCTCGAGTCCAGCTCTCACTCTCCGACGTGTAGCGCTAGTCTTGGGCTACCGCGCCTCCTACTGCACCTTCCACCTCCTCCCACTGCTCCTCCCAACTGAGCTGAAGGCCGGTAAAAGCTGATTTACAGCACCAATAAATTTGACCAACAAGAACAAAAAGTACAGATACTCGCCTCCAAGTCGCCACTCTTATAGATGTAATTGGCTGTGGCTCCTACGGCAATATCTTGCTGCAATTTATTCCAACCAGCTTCTAATTCATTGCAGAGGCGTAACTTGAGTGCCTTCCATCTTCCTTTCTTCTTCTGCTCTTCCCAGATAATATCACTCCTACAATAATAAATTTCAGATTTTTCATAGATTCCCAGAAATTAACTTTACTCCTTCACGCAGAAAAACATCAAACAACTTCACTTTTAACCCACTGTCCGGAGTAAACTTTTAAAGTTATTCTTTTCACCAGTGTACTGTCCGAGTTAAGAAAAAAAAATAAAAGAAAAAAAGGAAACGAGAAAAAGAAACGATAAAAGTGAGGATCTTACGGTTTAATTCCGATGTATGCCACCTCGATACTTTTTTCATTGTTCACAAGAGACAAGCCAACTCCCTGAAGTGCCAAAGTGATGCACTGTGAGGGGCGCTCCTTTAGTTCCTTGGTAAAAGAAGTAAATAATACAAAACATTCAATGTGTAAGAAATATTAGCATCAACTAACTTTATGGCCAGCCTCACGGAAGGGGTGGACGTAAAGTGCAAGTAGTGACTTGAGAAGAAAGAATTTCATTGCAAGTGGAAAGTTCATGAGGAGAGTTCATTAGAAGCAGAGCTGCAAAACGTTTAAATTAATAAATGAAGCGAGCACCGCAGTGCTGGGCTGCAGTTACTCAGTATCTTCTGCATCAAAAGAAAAATTACCACTTGAGCTCTGAACGCCAGTGTAAAGTCATCAATGATGAGGAGCACGCGCTGCAGACCGTCCAGGAAGGTGGAATAGTAAAACTTCTTACCATGGTTCTCAAACTTGTCAAAACCCGTCTACAGATAAAGCAGAATAAAAACATTATCGCATAACTCTAGCAAAAGGTGCTGAGTGGTGCATCATCAATTTTTTTACAAGGTAAAGGAGTCATAATGATGAGAATTCCAATCCTGGACTCCAACCGAGAGATCTGAGTTGAAAGCGGGCGGCCCAGGTTCGCTAGATAACAACAGGGTTTCTTTTCCAGGTGAAACGTAAGATGAAACCTCATAATTTGTTTCTTGTTCATATTGGTAATCAAACCGGAATTTTCAATTTGAACTGACGTCTTACTGAAATTTCAGCGCACCAAACACGCTTGAACTTCTCACATGATTGAGAGACAAAATCCGTCAAACGAACCGGGTCGAAGGTCCTTGGTAACCTGGAGATATGTTGCAATACGGAAAAAAAAAAAAGGCGTTGTAAATATATCAATAACAACAACAACAGTGCTTACTTTTGACAAATCAGTGGTGATTTTCTCTTCAGATCCTTTGACAAACCAGACAAACTCTCTCGAAGCTAAGGGTTCATCCCATGTGAACAAAACGCTCTGGTTAGGATGTAAACAATGTTCCTTACACCTGAAAAACAAGTTACGGAGGCACTCGAGATGACCATCAGGGAGCGAGAAGAGAGTTGCTACTGCTAATAGTTATGTGGTTTTTACCCACGTCCGTGTTCGTTCTCTCGTGCTAAAAAACTGGCTTATAAATCTTTCAAATTCAGTTCAATGATCTGAATTTGACTTAAAGCCAGCTCCGCGTTTCTCCCATCACTTTTTAACCCTTCAACTGCAAAAAGGGACCAAGACAGAATTTCTCCTTATAATATTAATAAAATATCAAGCAGACGAGAATAACGCAAATCATCGATTGGGAGATTATTTGTTGATCCTGTACCAAATTTGTCCAACTAATATCAAAAGAATTGGGAGATGCTAAGGAGAATTACTAATGAAACCTTGAGAGTGAAGTCGAAGTCCGAGTCATTATCAGAGGCGCAGTGCGATATGTTCCGATGAAAATCGAACTGAAGGAATCGGGAGCAGAGTACGGATGCCACTTGTGATTCCGACATTTACGATATATGAACACTAGATTGTTATATTCGTTAACCATCGGATAGATTGAGGACGGATCAGTTTTCACAAGGTAAGCGTCAGGGTCTAAAGCAAAATTGTATCGAAAAAATTGTATCGATCGGATTCTCCCGACTCCAGTTCTGTCAAATTTATGACACCGCTGACGACCGCTAATTTCAATTTTCTAAAGTATGGAGTCGCATTTACAATTCCAACTCCGTTGCACAAAAAAACCAGCCTTTAGTGAGCTTACAAAACTTGCGCTTTCTTTGTAACTTCTTTCTTGAACGAGAAGAGGTTTTATGCAAATTCATAGTAAAAAGAGTCCCAAAACACAGCAACAGTGCAAGTGCACAGCAACCAAAACAAGTGTAAAAATTATAGCTTCCAGTTATCTAGTGTCTTCTGATAATTAACCAGTAGTTAACAATCCTGTAGGGTTGAGTTAGCCCCGTATTACTTCCTTTCGGTTTACAAAAACACAAAAAAGCATTTAGCCAATGTTCATTCATCTTTATCTCAACCTTCGTCAAAAAACGCTAAGTCCCTATTGAACTTACTCTTTCTGTTTATAGAAGATGTCTAGCTGAGTGCAGTTCTCCAGTCGAACGGTAGCTGCTCCGGTAAAGTATGGTGTGATAGTTATGATAGCTGCATTATCTTTTGTGCGCATGTCGGCACACACAGCCCCCACCTGAGAATAGGAAAGTTATATGTCAACACACAATGGTTTTCCTGTAAGGTCCAAATCCGAGACCAGGACGCGTCATCGTGTTTATTTTACAGGAACCGGAATAAGCTTTATTGAGTGCCGTAAAACCAGAATAGTAATCACAGCAGCCAATCAAAAGAAGGAAAATTTCTCAAAGAACCAATGAGAAAGTAAAAATAAGCACCTTGCCTAGAGCGCAGAAAAACACGAGTTACCAAGTCAAAATTAGTTTTAGTTTTAAATCACATTGATTGAAATATTGGCGCAAGTGTTTTGGAAAAAATACGTAGTAAAGTAGAGCGAACACAAAGAGATTACAAATTACCTTTGGCAATCGATTAAGATTACTCTAAAAGTAATGAGTGATAACAGGATCACGACTACGACTAGAGCATCATTTCAATAAGAACCTTCCTGAGCCGCAACCTGCAGATTCAGGCTTGAAAAAATTTAATATATCTCTTTTTCTTAATTATTTCCCCTGAATTACAGTCGGTATAGGCCATAACGAACTTTCTATAAATCGTTGCTGTAAACAAGTCGGCAGAATTCTCTAAAGAAGAGAAAAGATTTATCTCAGAGAGGTTTCAAGGTGCGACAGTTTCGGTATCAAAATACCAAGGCTGGTTTGCCTTCAATTGCATTGGGAACACGAGTCTCCACACACCTTTCCGTTCATTCTCAGCAGCAAGGTGATGTCGGGTTCGAAGTCAAAGCTTGGTGATACTTCTTCATTGTCCCCAACTCTGATAGCCAAGTTCTTGGATGGGAACGAATTTGGCCAGAATGGTACACACTGAAAACAAACAAACACACAGCAAATGGTTTGAACCCAAGTGTATCTGCTGATCGTGCAGTCTGCAGCTCCAAATGAGAGTACTCCTGAAGAGGTTTGTTTATGGTAGCTTTGACTGACTTTTCGACAAGCTAAGCTGAAGTCATTATCAGAGTCAAGTGACTCGACAACCGACTATGATGACGACTTACGCTAAAATTGTCGAAACTTCAGCCACAGTTCCTACCGACAATATTACTTTTTAGAACTACTCCCACCTGGTTGATCAGACTACACAATAAAATATAGGATACCTATGGATACAAGTCAAATGTGACTTGAAGCCAACAGATCAACCCTAACCTTCAACACCGAGACCAACAATTGTGTTTATGTAGGTAACGTAATTGACAATCCCCCAAATGGGACTTACAAGGACCAGTACGAACAAATTAAAACATTGTGAATTAACGTAGTGTTTAAAAACTACAACCGGCAGGAGACAGTTTAGCTGGCCACATAGAAAGCGAAGGAAAAGAGTTTAACTTGGGAAAACCGAGAGAAAATCCAGTGAGAAGCAGTGTGGAGGACTTGAACCCAAAACCACTAGATTACATGTTCAGCGCCCTAATCATTCTGCCACACTGCCTCTAAACGAAATATAAGACAAATTGAAGAAGATGACAGGAACACACACCTCTCCTGGTTGAACTTTAGTCCACTTCGAGTCTGGCCCCTTCGAGTCCGACAGCGACACTGTGTACTACAGCGGGACAAAGGAACATTTACAGAGAGGTCAAAAATGCAGCCTCCGTGACATTTGTGAGTTGAATTTGGAAAAAAACAAGCTTGATTACACCAGAAACTATGAATAAACATTCTAATTATTACCTCTGTGTGATTATTTATCAGATTAAACGGCGTGAATTCCACAATCTTGGTTAAACTGAAGTAGGATAGGGTTGTCTGCATACCAATCTGCAAATAATTGTGACATTTGGGAGATTTAGAACCTCACTGTGCGGTAGAGTTAGAAAGCAAGAATTGGAGGTTTGCTGTTTCACTTCCAACCTTTCGGCAATAATATGAAAATACCAAGAATCAAAGAACATGACAACTTCCTTTGTTCAAGTACTAAAGCCTTTTTAAATACCTCGTACAATTTCCCATCCTTCGTGATTTTTAGAGCTCCCCCACTGCCTGCCGCGTCCAGAGAAAATTTATTGGACCAATCTGATTCGGTAAGACGAACAAAGGCCTGCCAAATACCATAAAGTTAGTGAAATTATGACAATTCTCACCATTTAAACATGGATCAGAAAAGAAAAAGTACAGGTCACAGCAAGGGATGACGCGACTGTGGGTAGAAGTAAAATAGAACGAAAACTGAATTCTCACCACTCCTTTTCCTCGGTGAGAAAACATGACTGGCTCGGTCAAGGAAACGGGATGAGGTAAAACAGTCTCGTCATCAGGCGCCTAAAAACAGGGAATATATCAACTCGTTATTTACCAAGTCTAAGAGAGAAACAATAAACCACGCATGCCTCCTAGACGATTCCTAAACTAAATCTGTCCGTTTCGTCGTTCAAAAGCCTATTTCCGAGTTGCCCAGTGCCTCTGCTTGAAACGAGCCTAAGAACAACTCCTTTGATATGAAAATATTTTTATTTAGTAACTCATTTTTATAACAAGGGTTTTGCACATGACCAAGTTTCCAAAGTGAGGATTTAAGGAAGTCGGAAATGGCCTACTAACTAAGGCCAATCTCGACCTCTCGCCAGCCGGATAGCTATGTAGAGAGAAAAACTGTCTCTGAGAATAGTGGAGATAAAAATCGTTTACTTTGGAGCTATCAGAGTGCCTCCCTTGACCCAAAGTATCAAAGGATACCAGCGTATTGAGGATGTTCTCCTACCTTGTATTCCAGATAAAGTCCAGTTTTGTTGACCATCCAGTAAGGACAGTACAAGGTAATTTTCATTGTCCCATCAAATGTGGCTAACACTCCCAGTCTCTGTAATAAGTAAGCAACACAAATACGAATTTTATCTTCGAGTGTTGAAAGTATCTAGATACTAAAATTCGTATCCCCAAGCGGCCATGTAATGTTCTATTGATTTTATAGACACTGATGAAATTCCTACATAAAAGACAACTTATTTTAAGATTTCCCTATGCACTGTTCGGATCACGTAGATTTTGGCCCTAAAATGAAGTTTTCCAGCCGCCATTTTGAGGATGGCTCTATTCTATCAACTCTTACCAAGTGCTTTCCATAAGCCGCCACCTGAGTTGATTCCAAGGTAAATGTTGTGAGTTCGTCCATTCCCTTGAGAAGTTCAACCTGGCCTTTCCACATGCTCCCTTGATAATTGTCAATCTAAAGGTTGAAAATTATATTTACCTCAGACTTCACCCTAAGAACATCAACAGTGACAGTGGAAAGGGAATATCAGAAGCAGGGACGCGGAGCATCAAGAAACACGACAACAGGTGACCCATAAGACAGCGGAACGCTAAAGAAGAACATGCGCAAATAACAGGCAGTTCAAAATTACCCAATCACAGCGAAGCGTAATATTTCGTGCGGTCGGATGTGTAATTAGTCGACCTGATCAACAGATGAAGACAGTATGCTGTCAAAAACGTCGCAATCCACATCGGAAGTGATTACACGTATAACTTTTACTGCATTAAAAAAATGTAATTTACCATAAAGGGCATCTAATTAGCTTGCTATATTACGCCCTTCTCCATTTTCTTTATCTTGTTGTAATTATTGTGCAAGGTTGTGATTGTTGAAAAGGAGGAAATAACACGAGCAAAAAGAAAAAGAAGTGATTACATCGTGAAACAAACGATGATGCTTTGATAATTAGGTTTAAGGCTTGATAACCATCTACTGTTCGGTGTAAATTGAGTTTGACTGTTAAAGAAATAAGAAAGGAATTACGTCTCCTTTTCACTTCTTTCAACATATGGATTCACTAGTTGGCCATTTCGGAGTCAAATAATGTCAGTAACATACTTCAGTTACCTGAATGTAAAGATTGACTTTTCGATGAAGACTGACAGAAAACAAAGGCCATTTGTCGCCACCTTTAAGTTCAGCAAGAGGCGTATCCTAACAATGCAAAGCAAGCGTATAAACATCAAGAAACTGACAGTTAAACGATCACTTAAAACCAACGTCTTCGATACCACAAATTGATCAATTCAAGATTTCCCAAAAACTTCGCACACAAGAAGAGAGATTTGAAGTTTCATGGTTTAATCGTGACGCGTGAAATTCTGTTTAAGGTACACGTGATGCGTTATTTTTCTCTGAAGCAGAGCTTGTTTCCGAACCTTTAATCGAAAATTTTTCACCCGAGTTTTCGGCACATTATTCTTAACCTTTCATACATTAAAAACAAATAGATTGCATGTTGTTGTGCGCCTGTTCAGTGATAGACGTCAAAATGTGTGACACACTCAACTCACGTGACATAACTTGAGATGATTTGGTTTTATCAATTGAGTTGATGATGTAAATTGGCCAACGTTAGGAGTTTCTGAATCCACGGTGGCCATTTTACCTTCGCAACTCAGGTCATAAAAACCAGATTATCTTGTTATACCCACCAACCGACGCAGCATAACAGTTTCTCTAGAGACTTATCCCCCTAAAAACAACTGAAATAACTGTGGGTTCACCAGAGCAATACACAGTGGGTTTCTGACCAATCAGAGCGTGCTTAGTATCCCAGTTACTTTATCAGTCACATTCTGCTTACCGGTGTACTGTAGAGAATATTATATGGCAAGTAGTTATGTAGAACAGCCGATGGGTAGATGTGTAGGACGTAGTTTGGCGCATGCTCCAAGGATCCATGCACTGCACTGTACGACACTTGTTCACAATCAACCTGTAAAAGAATTGTCCACATTCAACTTCATACAACCTTCTTGCAACAGAGTACAATTTGATGTTAAATCAGTAGCAAGTCAAAACCCTTGCTTGTCTACAAACAGATCCTTCTCCTTCATAACGAATGGAAATAAAAACCATTCAATATTTAACTGAACTGTTAAATAGTTTAACTATGATAAACTTCTTTTACCATAGTTCCCAATTACGGCAAGCCCCACATACTACGTGCTTCGCTTAGGCCATAAATCCGAGCGAAAAAAACCGTAACTTGCGGTAAAGACCTCGACCTGAGTTAGTAAGAGGTATTTATTATGTAATCTTAAATAGTTTTATTTACACATAAGTTGCGTAAGCCTAGAAATTTACATTTGGAATTTTCGAAAATACAATAATTTTTTTTCACAGATTACTTTCAACACAGAAGTTGTTCTGACGTAGCTTACCGCGATATGAAAAGGTGGTCCCTCGCCGCCCGGGGGTGGACACTGGACTGAAGAAGACCCCTCAGATGCCAACTTGTTCCACAACAGCGGTGTCGTACTCGCTCCATACCTTAAGATAAATAACAACAAACAAAACAAAACATCACAAAAAAATAAAGCAAAAGAAAATTTATCAGAAACAGAGAAGTTTGGATTTAAACCTTGTCCTTCTTGTCCTCAAGTCAGAACGTGTTTCCATTACATTTTACAGGCGCCAATAATTGTACTTAATGCATATTTGAAGCAGCTTGAGACCAAGATCACAAGGTAATAAACAAATTGTGTACATAGAGTTTGAATTGTTTCAGTGTTGGTTGCGTTTATACAGTTACATGTATCATGTTACTATTCCAGACACTGGCAATGTCTAGTTTCTTCTTCCAAAGGTCGATCTTTTTTCCACAAACGTTTCCAAGCCTCTTTTTAGCTATGGAAAGATATTATAGATTCGTTCCTATAGACCAGATCTTGATCAGTACTAAGACAGGTTTCTTTTTTTTTTGACACGCTTTTAAACCTTCAACTCCCAGAAGAGATTAACACATAACATCTGTCTATAACATCCATAAGTTATCCAGCAAACAGGTAATGAGAATAATAAAATTTATCGGGTAGAGGTTGTTATATTGATGTAATATCAAATTCTTGTAACAAATATGTACCAGCTAAGGGGGAAATTTAACGATGAGAACTTGGGAGTTGAAAGGGCAACTAGAGAATCGACGGCAGGTAAGACCTGGCAAAATTGCTCCTCATTGCAGTTTTGTAGCAGTCTCGCCACAAAATAAATGTCTTTATATTCCAGAACGTCAATGGGACATAATCAGAAATAAAATAATTCTATTGATCTACCAATGAACTGATTGCAGACTGTCATTGTCAAAGCACAGATCACAGTAAAATAAACAAACCCGAATCCGGCAGGTCTAAGGTAAAGTGCAGCCTTGTGAGCCAGTATCAGGGGAACACTGAACACACTGTCTGGTTCAATTGTTGTAACACGGGACAACTGATCTTCCTTCTTGCAAAATAAGTCCATTGGGATCGGGAAGTGGTTGTTCACCTGTGTTAAAAAGCGTTGTGTTATGAAGGCAACATTAAACCAAACTTTGTAGCTAGTTTTTGTTTTGCTTTGTTCCTTTTTCTTAATCGATTCATCGACATAAATCGTTTCCACGTTACTCGTATCTGGTAAGTTAAAAGCATTTATTTTTTGAAATTCACTCTGAACCGGATCAATGTCAGTATCTGAGCACCTACTGCACACCTACCCCTCCCCTAACCCAACGACAGTCAACGAATGACAACTTAAGGTTTTTGTCGGGTTAGGTGAGGGGCACGTTCGTAGTAGCTAAGATACTGACATATATCTGATAAGTTATGTGTACTGACCTGTAAGGGTGATCTGATAGTAACTATCTTCTGGCCGTCTCCAGTTTCCACTTGAATCACAACTGATACAATCAGTCCAGAGAGGAGCTGTAAAGAAAAGCACATGTTACTTTAATTTTTGATTGTTCTGTCGTTCATTTCAACTCAGTAGTCATTCAGAAGTTGGCGATTAACGGTTTAGAGAGCAATAAAAGCTCCAAAAAGAAAAAAAAAGTTTGTAAGCAAAAAGAAGTACTCAGTTAAGTACAAGTAACAGGAAGTCTCCATTAGCAAATTAGCAAATGTTGACTAAAACTTAGACAGCATAAAGACACTGAACTTATACTCAAATAGGAAAGGATCTAGCTCAGTATTTGAGCAACTGCCCACCTACCCCTCCAATAACCCAACAACAGTCAACAGATATCAGGTAAGGCTGTTAGGGTTAATGTTGGGCCAGGGGAGGGGTATATGCACAGCTTCACAGATACTGACATTAAACAATTAAAAATATGGTTTATAGGGTTATTAGTTTATCAGTATTTCTGAAACAGAGACGAGTGGTTAGCGTTGAAAGCCAGAATTGAGCCCACAGAAGAGTCGAGAAAGCTAAAGTCGTTTATAAAAGCACGTTTCCCGTTAGAGAGCCGTTAATTTAGGGTACTTGCCCTTCACCTGATCTGGGTCAAGATCCGTTATCAGGACCATTTCATTTATGGTGCTCATTTCTGGTAATAAAACGATCCTTTCTATAAACTGAAATGTAAGAATACTAACTAAGCATGCAAAGAATTTAAGAAAAGTTTTCAACTGAGTGTCGAGAGGCATCTGAAATTGCTTTGGTTTTGCTTCACTTTGGTCTCTGTTCGGTTTCGAAAAATTGCATTCTCAACTTACGAGACTCAAAACTAAAACCCAACCGCACCTTTGTCACATTGTATTTTCCCACGGTTCAGAATTTTTTTTCGCCTTTTCTTTGAGTTCTTCATAATTGGGTTTTTGATGACAATCAATTGAAATGTGCCCTAAATTTATTTATTTAATTTAACTTAATTATTACATTATTCATCAATCTTAACATAAATTTCTTTTATTTCATTGCTTAGAACATCGCCTCCACACATAATTAAAGCAAGAAACGAGGTTAATACTACTGCATCATGACACGGTTTTGGTTGTTAAACAACAACGTAAGAATACATTTTCTGTAAATCCAACAATTCTTTTATTGCCTGGACAGTAAGATTTGAAAAGGAAAAAAATTGGAGCTGTGTTTCAAAAATTTAAATTAAGTTAAGTGGTATATCGGCTATTCAGTTAAATTCAGTTAAGCTGGAGAAAAACAATATTTGGGTGACTTGGTTAAGCAGGATGTCAACTTACTTGATCCAACATTTAAATTAAACGTACATTTGTATCAAATGTGCTTCAGAACTGTTTTTAGTTACCTGCTCCGCACGTAAGACAACGGAAATTGTTCTTTGTTTAATCAACAGAAAAGGTATCAGCATACAAAATTACATTTTATTGGTTATACCTTTACTTATTATACTTAATTATGATTTATTTTTGCCTGTCATCGTTTATTTGTTCTTACCTTTTTTGGGACAACATTTTGCAAGATAACTCTTGCTTGTTTGATTGAGACAGGCTTCATCGCATGATAGCCTTGCACCTAATGATTTCAAAACAAGATTCAAGTTAGGGTATTTCAGGATTCCAAGTTTTGAGATTTTTTTGGCACTGTAAACAGACGAAATAAATCTTATCCTCGGCAATCTTTGTAACTACTGCTGAAAAGCTGGTTCTTTACTAGGAAGAGTCTCCCCGCAAAAAGATGTCTACACCAACCAGTACCATAAAAAAGATTTAATCACAACATTTACACAACAAACGACGGATCTAAATCACGTATGACTAATGCTAACTGATTCTTACACCAAATACCATCACGGTAAAATTGAGCAAAACAGTTCACACGAAAAATGACACTTGACTGTAATGATGACTTGATTGAAACATAAGTCACTGCTAGCGACAACAGTTTTTCTATGGACTACTACACCCGGACAATCAGACTACACGATTAACTGTTACTTCTGGTTTCAAACCATTCTCTATACCAGTTCCTTTTAGTGACATTAAACACTCACTGCATCTGGAATTTTGAGCCTAATGGGTGTTCTCACCTCAACACCAATACTAGGCCCCCCTCCTCCGGAAGTACTATTTGCTCTTTCGTATCGGCTGGTTCTCTTGTGAATTCCTTTGGCAAAGCGTAGGGAAAGGCTTTGACCTGGAAGCACTGTAACCATGCCATCTTGATCAGCTCCACTTGCAATCTATCGTAACACAAATACAATGTATCCTGAGTACAGCTGAAGCGAAACCAAAGTTATCACAACGTCCAATCAGAAGAAAGGAAAATATCTCCAAGAGCCAATGAGAACTCCAAGTAAAAACAACCAAACTGCCTAAAGCGCGGGAAAACGCGGGCGACTAATTCATGGTTGGTTTTAGTTTTGTATCTGATATTTTTACAGAGTGACGCCAGTTTTCTGGACAGAACAAAGTAACGCAATCTTGGATTTCTTTAAACAGTGAATTGAAAATAGCTCTAATGCAAACCTCGATAAGGCTCTTTTCACATTACATGGTTTCAATGGCTATGACTTTTTTACACTTTAAGTAAAACTACGACGGGATTTCTTTGATTTCCTCTTAATAGACAAGTACAAGTACAACTATCGAACACAAACGGGACCCCGTTAGTATCCACTGAGACAAGGTTTCTTTTTCCAACTGAACTTGTTTAACATTCACAATTTTTCAACCTGACTTGCAGCATCTATCAAATTCCGCCACAAAGAAAGAGGAAAAAGAATATTCAGGAATTTTGGAGCGAAGAAAAGTAGGATGAAAATATACTATACCAGCTGTTTTCCCGGACGAAGCTTCACTTCCATTCCAAGCTAACGAGAATCAAAACATGACTGTTAATGATATCACTGAGAAGAAACGGAACACGAACCTTTAGAACTGAACTTTGCAAACCTTGAGAAGTCAACACTGCGAATATTTATGTTATTTTTAAATTAGAGCCTAGCTTGAAACCGAATACTGTTTATCTTATCAAAGAACGTGTTTACTGACACACGCATTGCTTTTATATACCAGAATTGAGTCTAAGCCTTCGAGAGAAGTTGTTGTCCACGAGTGCGGATAGTTTTCTTTGACGAGCTAAGGCTTTGGAATCTTGTAAATTTAATTTTAGGAGGATATAGCCAATAAAAAACCTTAACAATCACCTGCAAATTACATAAAAAAGAAGCTGTTGATAACAAACCTCATTCCATATCTGATAGGGTGGAACATCTTCAATGGCTACCACTCCTGTACCCTTCAGAGTAACAGCCTCTTTGAAAGCCTACAGACATGAACAGGTATTTCAATATTTGTCACAGAAAAAATAGTGGATTTTCTTTCAGGCCTCATTCTTACCACTACTCACTACAGTTATAAATGTTGTTGTAGTCTCCAACTCTGCCATACATTGGGATGTCACGCAACGATTTCCCCAAACTAAAAGCCAGTCTCTCGGGAGGGGTTGCATAACATCCCAGAGACAGCTTCGAAGGAGACTTAGGTCATTTTTGTTATTTTTAAAGTCATGATAGTTTTCTTTCTGGTCATTATCAGTATCATAATCATTTCTGTGGAAGTTATTTTTATCACTATCATCATCCTGCTAGTTTTGTACTGACCGCTCCGAGTTTAGTGAAGATGTCCAGACATGTTTTTGTTACAGTCAGCTGTAATTCATCCTTTGATCGAACTGCCATAGTCATGGCTGCCTCTGAATTGTCATCCAAACTGCTGCTTTCATCTCCACCATTTGCTAAAGATAGCTACAGTGAAAAAACGGGAAAATTTGTAACTTTTGGAAAAAGTGAGGATTTTACAAAGATTTGCCTATCGAGAATTTACTCACGTCAAAATTAACTTCCCAATGTCGATAAGTGCTGTTTTCATCCTCCACCGGCTCAATAAGAGGTTCCCATTCAGACACACTTTCGTTGAAGTAGTTTCCAATGACGTCGACTCCAGCATGGACTGACAACTGAAATAAATAAGAAATGCCAAGTCACATAAAACAGCCAAAGGACTCCCCGACCGAAGTTGTCGCGGTTTCTGTAGCATAAGACGAGTAGGAGTACCGCCATTGCTACACTCCCTGTATGGGATTCTAGTCTATCGCAGGTTACCCTTATACACACCCCGTAGGGTTTCGCTGAGAATTCGCTGGTATCCTTTTACGCACCTTGTATAACTCTCAAAACTATTGGAAACCCCATCTTGAATGAAAACAAAACAGCCCTGGTAACTTAACGGGCCCGTAGAGCTGTTTTGTTTTCATTTCAGATGGGGATTTCAAAAGTTTTGAAAATTATACAATTTAACTATCAGCTAAAGAAATGAATTGTACTTGCTAGGGTAACAGGAGCTGCTTCTCTATGCTTTAAATTTTGATTTTAAAATTTGGCTTCCGACCCGGAATTTTCGTGAAACGGGCTCCAAGGCCCACACTAGGATTTTTTTAACACAGAATCTAGTGCACCGGCCATTGGGGAGACGGGTCTCTAACAAAATAAAAGGGAACAACCAAAAGCAAAAAAAAATAATAACACCAACGAAAAAATGCCAAAATACAACATAAGTGTCTTAAACTACCCAACAAAAATGTAATGATGATAATTCTCAACAAAAAACTTCATCAAACTCGATAACGAGGAAAAGCATGTACTATAACTGAAAAAGTTGGAAGGGGTATTAAGATTCAAAGCCGCTTTTACTGATAAAGATTCACATGAAAATGAACCATTGTCTTTCAAAAAAATAATTGCTACAGCATACGTTATAACATTTTTTTTACTTACTGCCGAAGACCAGTTCCGAACTTCTCCTTGGATGGATCCATCAACGGACAGCAATGGAATCACTTGGCTGCCAAACAAACCTTCTAGCTTGATGTCAAATCCTTCCATTTCAAAAAGCAACTGAGAAAGAAAATGACATTTTGAATTATCGTTGTGAAAGGAAAATTTATCTCTGGTGGCCCCTAAAAATATCAGGATGACTGATCTGGATCTAAAATGTTTCTAGTGGCGGGGGCGCAGCTAAGACTTGTTTTAGGAGCGGGGATGGGAAGTTATTGATTTCCGCGCGCCGTAGGTAACTGTCTTTTACGGGCTCGCATTATTAACGGCAAGAGCGATGGACCAATAGAGTACCCAGCATTGGAAAGATTTATCCCGGCTAGATTGTTCGGATTCGCCTGTTTTTTCAAATCTGATTTGTACGTGCTTGACCTGTCACAAAACTGTGTCTCAAATAAGGGGGAAGAATTCACAGGCACCCTAAGAAACCCCATAAGCCACGCCCTTGTAAACTTACCAATTCTGTTTTATGGTTCCCAGCCTCGTTGGCATTAACATGGTTAGGAGGCTTCTCCTCACCTAGAGATATAACATACAGTATTTTTCGTTTAGGTTAATCGCAAAGGATAACAACAAACCATCCCAAGATATTTACTAACCGATTGTTTGCTCATCAAAGCAAGCCTGCTATCAAATCAGTTTTTTTTTCATATCAGTCAAATCATGAAGGAGCTTACACAAACACTCCAAAACGTACCTCCAACTTGAACCTCTTTGGGTAAAAGTCTGAGATGATACAAAGAATCCCACGTCTCATCTCCATCGTCAAGCTTCACATGATACATCGGTTCGCTTGGCTCAGAGGCGTCCACCTCCATCACTGTAGAACTGTAGTACCGAGGCTTGTTCTTAAACTTGGCTATGACTCTGGTTCCAGGTTTGATATCTGCCGCCTTTGGCGGCACATCAGGAATCACTCTGCGTGACGCATCTTTCATTTCGTACACAAATTTATCTCCGTCATAGAGATCAACATGCAGCTTTGTTCCTTTGTAGGCAACAAATCCTTTGTAGTAACGTATTTTGGACGTGTGTGCCCACACCACTGTGCCTACGTCTAAAATGCCTTCTGGGACTAGAGAGAGAAAATAGCAAGGCAAAAAAATTCTCATTTACTCTAGATTTCCATCGTTCTTTATGCAGCCCCTTGTATAAGAACAAGTAGCCAATAAGATATAACAGTTATTAACATAGTGGTAACAGAGGCGGATCCAGGATTTTTCTTGGGAGGAAGTGCACCACTTAGGAATGACGTAACGGACAGGTGACGTAAACAAATCTTAAAAGCGAACAACGACTGTCGTTATTACGTCATCATTACGTCGTTATTCGTTTTGCTTCAACACCACACTTTTAATGTTGTGCAGAATATTAGACATATTAGAAAGTGGCGAGTCATCTCAGGAGGAGGTCCGCATCCCTTCCACCCCTCCACCCACACCACCCCTTATTACTCACCCCACCCCTTATTACCCACCCCACCCCTTATTACCCACACCACCCCTTATTACTCACCCAACCCTTATTACTTTCATGATGGTAGTACAGAAAGTAATACCATCGAAAAAACGCTTGCACTAGAATTTACGTAGTGTTTTGCGCAGACTACACTAGGCACACTAGAACTATTTAATGATTTTATGTCCTCTTCACGGCAATTAGAACCAATCATTTGTGAACAATTCCTTCGTGCTTGTAGGTAAAAATACACCTTGCACCTTGCCTAGTGATTTTCATAATAGGAAAAATATTATATAATGCTTGCGAAGTTACCAGAGTATTTCGATTCATTTTTTCTGGCGTCTCTCTAACCATTATATATAATTTACATTAATTCCTACAAGTGATAATACTGCAAAAAATCTCAAAACGGTCAATGAGAAAAAAGGATATTACCACACGGAACTAATGAGAACGAAACTAAAGACATGCAAACTGCCTGAAGCGAGGGAAAATGCGGGCGACCAAGTTGTAATTTTTTTAGAGCTCAACCTGATTGGTTGAGAAAGTAGCACGTGTTTTCTAGTACAATTCTATGGTGCAGAATAGCTAAACCAAAGCAATTCCGGATTACTTTCGAAACTCAATTGAAAATTGGTAACCACACATACCATTGGGTTTCCTTGCCATCAAGATACGGATGTTGTTGATGTTAAAAATCCACGTATCGCCACCATTTAAGAACCTGACGCGGTAAATGTCCTGTCCTGGTTCATCTCGTGTCCGAATCTGAACAATAAATCCCGCCTCCCAAAAAGCAGTGTCAACTGTAGCAATAACTGTTCTTCCAACAGTAAGAGAAGCTGCATCTGGGATAACATCTGGTACTACCGCCGCACTGTCGTTTGCGTCCACACTGATGGTGGCCACTTCACCGATTAACCGTATCACATGTTTCCTGAAAGTTTTGCTGGAGACAAAACCTCTCCTGTACATGTCGTCTTTTAATCTGACAAATACGATGGATGACACTTCAATCTGCCCCCTAGGAACTACAAGAAAAAAAAATTGAGGCAGACTGTTACATGCGCATCTTTGATTTTAGATGCAGTTGCAAAGCATGGAGTTCATTCAAATTTTAAAAATATTAAACGGCGTTCTTCGTTCGCACTGAATCCGATGGAGTTTAGTTCAAAGGAGGATGAAAGCAAATGCCAATCTCCGGTTATTCGAGCTAATTTCGTAACTTTCCCAACCAACACAACTGAACTAATGTGAACCTATGCTGACAACAGACATGTAACATAGCTGGAATTGACAGCTAAAACTCCTCAAACTTCATACCTCCTGGCTTACTGGTGGTGAGAATACGAATCTGATCTAGAGTGTCCCATTGTTCGATGCCATCCCAAAAGTCAATTAAATATGTTTCCTTTCCATTCTCCTCTTTCCTTTCTTTCACTTTTCCTTCGACATGAGATGAATCGTTTGAACGCTTGGCCACCACAGGTGTACCAACAACCAGAGCTTGAGGATCAGGGTCTTTATCCACCATCATAGCGGTGATGTCATTTGGATCATAGGGGCAGGGGAGGCCGCCGTCAAAGTGGACACCAATCATGTTTTCCAAAGCCATGTAAATATATCCCGGATCATAAAACTTCATGTTTGTCAAAGCTCTGGCAAGCACCCGTCTCCCAGGAACAAGCTGGTCTTCTGGAACTAAAACGCAAATCACAAACGTGAAAAGTTTACCCCAGCCTTAAAAACACGGGAAAGCTCTCAAGAGTTCTTATTAAGAGTACGGACATCGAGTGCGGGCATGCAAGGAATATTTAAAAAAACTCATGAAAACTGTCATTCCCTTCACGAATTGTTTTTAAATGCTTTCAACTAGATCCCGAAGCCTACATTTGAAAACTTGCACACACAAATGCGATTTAAACCCTGACGGCGATTTTTGGCTGATAACGAACAAACCCAAATTTTAAATTCAAACCTGCCACCAAGCGCCTGAATAATGAGAATTTGGTCTTAGTTTTCGCAGAAGACAAAATGTCTCAATCCCAGCCCTCACAGGAGGGGAGTGAGTATTCTCACCGATAAACTAACTCTCTCCCTCCACCTCCCCCACACCAAAAAAACCCTTTTTAAGGCGTGAATTTTTTTTTCCTGAAAGCCACTTGGCTCCCAAATTTTTCAAAGTGGTAGCCAATGCAAAAAAAAATTGGTCGCCATTTTTAAAGACAAACAAAACCTTTTTTTTTTTTTTTACGCTGTCAGCGTTCTGGATAGACCCTCCAAAATTAAGTTCTACAAAGTTCTACAAAGTTCTACAAAGTGGACACTAGAATGAGTGATATACAATGTTCAAGCTCACCTAAATCCAAGATCGCGTCTAATTATCAATTGAGATGCATGTGCTGCGTTTTGGAAATTAAACAAACTTAACGAGGAAGTTTGCCACGGATTTCTCTTTGCAAATCTTTTTAATTCACTATATCTCTAGGTATGGTTATGATTCAGGATTTGGTCGCCAAAGTGAAAAATTTAGTCGGATTGGCGCCCGTATGAGGCGCAATTTCACGCCCTGCTTTTGGGCTCTATAGAATACTTAAAGGTAAACCTTTACCATAATGTCTTGATCATAGCCGTGATACTCTGAAAGTTCTACATCATTGAAAACTAAAAAAATTACTTTTATGTATTTTTGGCAATATACAAGTAAAACACTACGCAGAGCATCCCGTTTTCACTTCATCTGAGCAAATAATTTGCACGCAACCTCAGAAACAGGAAGGATAACTGTAACACCCTCAGAAGAGGGTTCCTTCGACTAGTCATAGAGTACGTTAAATAGAGAAAAATACATGGGCGCGCGTAAATATGGAATTTCTCTTCGAGTGTTAAATGTTGAGTTGAAAACGAGAAGAGAAATTCCATATCTACAAGCAACCATGTACTATTTTGTTTATTATATAAACACAATAGCCTATTGTTATTGTTATTATTATTATTATTATTATTATTATTATTATTATTATTATTATTATTATTATTATTTTCATTCTCAGCCGTCAGAAATGCTAACACCAAAGCCACTGAATACGCAACTTTCGGTTTTTCTTTTAGTATATTGGTTTTCTTTCCCTTCTAGGAAAGTTTGAACCTCACTGTCTGTCGGCGATACGGATTTTTTAGTGTTTTAGCCGACATAATTCGAGAAAGCTCCGGCAAACAACTTGTATTCAGAATCGTGAAGGCTTTGTCGTTCATTCATCAAATTGACCGAATGCCGCCAAAGGTGATTGACGTGTAAGCAGCTGATTGGCTATATCAACACACGTGAAAAAATACAATATTTTTTAACGTGTGTTGTTTCGGCTTTTCTCAGGGCTGGAAATCCTTGTCTAACACCGCAGTTTATGTGTTCAATAAACGGTAATGTTTGCCTCACCTGGGGATAAATACCATCGATCCTTAGTTGTAATTGGCTTTTCATTCCATAAGTCTACGGCACTTTCAGTTGCCTTCTTTCCGTCTTCTTCCGTCTGGAGAGAAAAAATCGAAAGGGAAGGGAATGCGAAGGATGAAACACGAGCGCACATTCAAACTGACTACTTCGTATCGGTTATTAAGTCATAAAAACGTTAAATAAGGATTTTCTAAAGATGGTTTCTTGACCCCATAACTCCCACGAGTGACCAAGACACAACTTCTCACCACATTAACAATACGATATGAAGCAACAAGTGATGAGAATAAAGAAAAATATCAGCAATGGAATTATCAGTCGACCCAATGACAAATTCTCCGAAGCAACATCATGAAAATTGTCTATCAATCTGTAAAGAGATTCAGTAATGAAATCTTGAGAGTGAAAGGGTTGAAAAGGATTTCACAAGTCATAGAAACCTTTCAAAAACTATTCTTATCAGCATGTTTATGAGACACACAAACCTTCCAAGTGCGTTCTTACCAATGATTCTGTACGCTACACAAACCTTAGCTGGGGCTAATGACATCAGACACGCTGTTAATGTCCTGATTGTAGGAGGCGACACGTGTATGTACGCCATTGCTGTCGATACGTCAATATGCATGCTACCGCCTTCTGGCGCCGAGCTTACAAAAGATATATGCGAAAGCTGAAGAACCTGCAAATGAAAAGGAAGTGAATTACTATGAGTAAAGTGTTCAAATAATTTGTCAGGGAGAAACATTTAACATATGAAGAGCTTACTCTCAGAAGTTTTTGAGGCAGAAAGCACGGAGGATCTGGGCTACTCTTTGGGAAAACCACGCATTCGGTTAAAGCATAGAGCGCATTTCGATTGAGTGCGACTAAAACGCAAGAAAAAGCCTGTGACCAAGTCGCAATTAGTTGAAGTTTTGAATCTGATTAGTTAAGAAAGGAGCACGACTTTCTGGACCAATCACACAACAAAGTAAACTAAACCAAAGAGACCTTGGATTAATTTGGACGCTCAATTGAAAGTTTCTCCATCAAGGTTGAAAATCCCAGCGGGCAGTTCGCCATTTACAATCGTGACCTAAGACTCGAGCCCAGGAGCTCCGGAAGGTAAGTTGACTCCTCTAGCCCCGTTGTCGCGCCGCTGATCAATATACTACAGCCTCAAGTAAAAGGAATAAAGTTTCACCCTGGATTTCGTTGAAGCTCTTCTCTCCTTGTCAAACGATGCTGAGGTAATTACGACATCTGAAACAGAACCCGACATCTTTTGCTGTCCAAGACCCTGAACAAAGCGGAAATCGATTGTATTCTGCAAGAAAAAAAAATATATAAAACGTCGAATAAACTCTTCGCTTATGTTTGAGAATATAAAACACACATGAATATATAATTTACTACAACTTTTACGAGGGAAGTGGCTGAACTGAGAACATATCCGTGAGATATAAGCCATCATAGTTCCACTTTTCATGGGAATCCAATCCTTAAGTAAAAGGGTCACAAGCCGTTATTCAAACTCGATGCACCCTTCGCGAATACCTTTAAAAACAATGTTTCTCCGTTAACAAGCTCGGTTAAACTGTGGCTTCGAAAGCCATTTTTCTTTCTTTTACGTAGTTTCTTTCCCGGCTATACGTGTATGTCTGTCTGCCCGTTTTTTTGCCTGTCTGTCCCTTTGCCTTATGGTATGTTGGCTTCCATCCTTGACTGCTCGTTTGGACCCTCTTTTGTTTGGTTGCAAAGTAGTGTGCAACCCTTTGACCCCTACGAGTTACTAGCATCTAATTTCTCCTTAGAATAAAGACAATGATCACCAACTAAAGAAACTCTTGATTGTTAAACAAATTCTCCCTGTCAGCACCTAAGGAAACGTATAGAGAACAGTATGGAGAAAACGCATACTGATGTTTACACTGATGGTGTAGAGGATTAAGTGTATTTGAACTTCCATCTCTATTTTGCCAACTATGCACTGCTGGATATGTACTAACCTTCAAGAAGAGAGCATTGGTATTTTTGTCTCTTCCGTCTGCTAGCAAGATAATTTCTGGGTCTTTAATGGCGATCTTAACGTCGATTTGTGGTGGTTCGTGATCGGTGGTCGCAACAGATACAGATGGATGTGTAACGGCCACCTCCTGAGATACGTGTTGAGAGGCAAGCAATGACGTGCTGTCTGATTCATCCGTGGCTAACGCTGACGTAAACACTTTAGACAGAACCAGTAGAAACTCCAAGTTTACTACAGCGTTGAAGCTCTGTATTGCCATCTCAACTGAATATGTAAGCAGAAAAAGGCGAGGCCAAGTTTAATTTTCGGCCTCAAAAAAGCGGTACCCTAATGTCTTAATGTATTCTACACACTCTAGTTTCAATCACATTTCATCACCCACGAATAAAGCAATTATCAATTGAATGTCGAAAGTAATCTGGGATTGCTTTGGTTTTGCTTTACTTCGGTCTGTGATTGGTCTAAAAATCGTAATGCTCCAAGCCAATCAGACGTCAGAAGATAACCAATTGCGATTTGGTTGCCCCCGTTATCCCGCGCTTTTTTGTATTTTCCTATTTTAAATGAGTCCTCATTGATCAATGATGTCACAAACCTTTGTTATGTTTGGCTATTGTAATAACTTTGGTTTTACGTCAGTCAATTGAAAACTGATCTGCTGGTTAATATTCTGAAATTAATTACCTCGTTATCACAGTCAATTTTGTACTGCAGTAGCATGGATGAAAACAAAGAACAAAGTGTTCAGCCTACATGAAACTTGGTCTTTAAATTAGAATTAAAAATTATTTTAATTTCGGATTACATTTTAGGTTCAGATTCAATGATGGAATGAAAAAGAAAATGGTGGAATTTTCGACGTTTATCTTGCTGCTTCTATAACAAACTTATCAAACACAAGAGCAAACATAGAAATTCTTACTAAGTTACGGAGAGCTTTGCATCTCTCGGTAGCCACAAGTGCATTTGAAAGGAAAATTTCACCCTAAGCTGAGTTGTCACCAAATGATAACGTGACCATAAGAATGAAAATCATAATCAAACTTACTGTTTTTGTCCTGAGCAGCAGTTTGCTGGAACTGAATATCGATCATGTTTTCAACATCACTTGAACCACCACTAAACTTTTCAATCATCCTGAAAACCAACATTGTATTTTTTTTCTATGGATAGCCAGTGCATAGATTAACATGATAAAAGACTTGAAGCATTTACCAACTAAGTGCCAAGACTAATCCGCAATCACATTTCCTTAGTTCGTTCCATGATAAGATAGATTACCAAAAAACGGGGCGACTTGCTTTCTAATTTGACTTCTCATTGGCTTCACTGGATTACCCTTTGTTTTGAAGGGCTGTTATCATTGCTTTAGAACGACACCGGATGATGATGCGCGTTTAAAACCTTAATCGAATTTAGATCAAAAGTTGGGGACGATGCAACTTTCAATTGGGGCAATGCAACCATATTTCGGAGCAAAAGAACTTCACTAGGGGGTGACGGAACTTAAAGCAACTACTCAAGGGGCGACGCCTTGGGGCGCCTCTAGTACTCCTTGTATTACAGAGGGCGACAAATTAGTAAAAAGTCAAAATGAGAAACGTAACACTGGTGAACTACACATTATTGCATCATTTCTTACCTTGTGACTCCTTCCTCACTCTGCGGCCTTTTATCATCGAGAATACAACTCTCTAACGTCACACTGGCCTTTATTGCCGAGTTGGATTTGATACTCCCTGAGGCTTTAACCTGGACCAGCGAGAACTGCCCTAAACAGCATTCTGCATCTCTAGATGACGTGGTGCCGGTAGGCTGAGGCAAAGGAGCATCGTTTAAAAATTGACAAAAGCATCTTAGGATGTTACACTAGCCACCTTCGCTACCCCTAGCACGATCATTTAGCAGTTATAGTGGGGGTACGTCCCTAAAGAAACTGTGGTGCTGCGTCGGTGGGAGAGTATAACAGGGTAATTTGGTATTACCAACTAAGATGATAACGTAAATTGGCCTTTGTAAAGAGCTTCAAAGCTGACGTTTCGAGCGTTAGCCCTTCCTCAGAGCGAAACGTCAGCTTTAAAATTCTTTACGGTGGCCAATTTACGTTATGAACTCAGTTGATAATACCAAATTACATTTAACTAACCTTTTCCTCCCAGAACACTGCAGCTGAAACTTCTTCAATCTCAAATGAAAATTTCACAAAGTCCCACACAACATCACTCGAAGCTGGTTCTGCAACACTCAGGCTTTGACTGGCAACGCCCGCGGAATCTGAAAGGTAAGGCATGGCTATTTAAGCCTTATTAAGTAAATTGGAAGTCTATATTTCAGGCCCTAGACTAAAACATTTACCCAGTGATTAAGTGTTATATTTGCCTGAATGTTAGTTTCTCCTCATTTTAGTTTCATACTGCCACATAATAAAGGCAAAAAGAACTCAATCGTTCTTGTATCTCCTGATTTTCAACCCCAAACCTCAAACGAAACCTTTAACTGGAAACTAACACGAGTGGTAATAACAGTGGGTGAGGCATTATAGGGTAATTGGGGTCGTCATAAAAACACTCCCGAGAATTCTATGTAAAAAAATGAAGAATCTTACCAACTGTATCTTGTGCTATGGTGTTTATCTCCTCTGCAACTGTAAAAATATCTGTGATCAGTGTCAAAATAACCATAAAATCAAAAATCTAAATTTTCAGTAGCTACGCATTGCGACACCTTTACCTGTGCGAGATGTGACTCCTTCATTGAGATTCTTGAACAAGATCCCTAGTATAGTTCTTATTTTATCTTCACCAGCACATAACTGTACAAAGACAGAACACGCGACATGTAAATATCTGGTAAATATCTGTTATACCATATAAAATCTCTAATTTCTGATAAGGTTAAATGTAATTTTGACAAAGTTAGAACGAGGAAGATTCACACCCTTTTTTTGGGTACGTTTTCACCCAACACAGCAGTTAGTCGATGTTATGTTTAAAGTTGCGTTGACTTACGCTAACTAACGGCATGTACCCTCCAAAAAAACATTTTAACTTGAATTTTTAGTCATAAGAAATATGGGCAGCCACACTGTTCTTTGATTTTCTTCCCACGATTAGTCTCACTTAAAATTGCAATCTGAGTACCTTAATGGAAAAATATTTTCTCTTGGAACATGGAAAGTTATCTAGAAGTCCAAGTTGCTTTATTCAAAAGGCCACCATATGACTGAAGGGATGTCTACCGAGTTTGGGAATGTATACCGAGACTGAAATTATTCAGTGGTGGGAACAAATCATTTGCAAACAGAATCGTTTGCTTTTCTTACTACGAAAAGCAAACCATTCTGTTTGCAATTTGTTCAATTGTTTATTCCCCTTTCAAATGCTTTTCATCAATAAACTAACCTTAACTGCATGAAGCTTTCCCTTCACATCAATATCAGGCACATCGTGATACCAAGGAGACAAGTTTCGAGCCACATGAACTGTCAGATTCGCTGGTTCAAGGACCAGTTGAGTAGGTCCTATGGTTTCTCCATCAGTCATCACAGCTCTTATTGTACAAAGAAAAAGGATTGTTTCATCAGACACGAGTGTGGCTCACATTTTCAATCTCTTTGCCTTCACCTAGCAGCAAACTATGCATTTCTTTTTGGAGATACTTTTTCCGAGTACGCCTGTGTCATGCACTGCACAACATCATCTTTCACCAGGCTTAAAATTTACCATCCTCAGTTATATCATCGTGCAAAAGTATCTCAAATCGATTGCAGGAAATTTGTTACCGTGGATTTAGTTCCACGAGGCTAGAGCTCAACCTGAGTGGCAGAGTATCCCAAGTACTAATCGGAAGGTCGTGTGTTCGACTCCTTTGGGGGCACTTGGAATTTTTTTCGAAGTATGCCTGTGTCATTCACTGAATAACATCATCTTTCATAATCTATTTCTTGATTGCATGGATTTACCAGAGTCAACACGGAATCCTGGTAACGTGTGGTTGAGTTTTACAGTTCTAATGTTATTATTATTATTAATCGTCTTTGAGGCAATTTGTACCAGGAAACAATAGCAAGTTTAAATGGGAACCGAAGACTTATCGTGAACACCTCGTACATGGGATGCTCACATGCATTCCGTGAGAACATGAACTTTATTGAATTTAAGCCTGTCTCCTTATGTTTGGGATGCCTTAAACGATATCTTAACAAAGTGGCTCAACACCTGCCCAAATGACTACGAGGAGTGGCTTCAGGCTGAAGGTATACACAGCCGCACAAGCCACAAGGTCACTGTGTTTCAAAATCGCTAGAATAAACGATGAAATCTATACCTCAACAGTTTTACAGAACTAAGATCCACCACCATGTTGTCAATAACAACAGTATCACTTCCTTCAGGATCCTCCCCATCATGTGCAAGGTTGAAGGTGTTTGACACACTAAGGTGACCGAGATTTGCAACAAGTGCATCGCGAGACGTCGCACTCACAGGGATGATAACCTCAGGTGCTTGGATAGAAACTTTCAAGCTTATTCTTGAGCTTTGAGTTTGCAAACTCTGAATCTAAAAGTCAGAAAAACACATTTTTACACCTAATAAAGTCACCCTTTAGTTCCTAACAGTCGATAGCATCTGATTTCTCTTTACAGTATTACCTCTTTATCAAACATCAAGGCCAAATTAAGAATCTCTTGATTTTAAACAAATTCCCCTTGTCAAAACAATAGGAAAAGTATGTAGTGCAGTGCGGACAAAGTGAATACTGCTGTTTACACCCTGTAACTCCCTTGAGTGACCAAGACAGAGTTTCTCCTCTCAAATCAGTAAAACATCAAGCAGACAAGGAATGAGAAAAAAGAAAAATATCAATTAGGAGAATCTAACACCAAACTCTCTCAAACAACATCATAAGAATTGCATAGCAAACAGTAAAGACAATTACTAATGAGATCTGGGAGTGAAATGGGTCAAGATGTAAAGGTTTTAATAACGGCTAGTGACTCACTGTTGCACTGGCTGACTCAGCTGCAGTTTTTCTGGCATACTCCATGGCATCCTTTGCCCGCTGAAACTTGTTCAAAAAGTCCTGAAATAACACGGAGATTCATATCTGAGCTAGGAATGATTTCATCCTCCAAAAGATAAAGTAATCATATTTACTCAGGCAAAATTAACCGTAGTGGTTACATGTAACTCACAGTTGGTAACAAAAAATAAATGCCATTTCATTCCTGTTGGCTGAGGCGATCACTATCAGTACAATGAATAGCATTCTATTCAAACGGAAGGCCGAAAATTTCCAAAATAATATACAACACAAAATACTATAGCTTTACTAACTTCAATTTCTGCAACTTTAAGGAATCACAAATGCTAAATATATTGACGCTAATAAAGTTTACTGACCAGCAGCCTCATGACAAATTTGTTTAGGAAGATGACACGGATACAACCAATTGCCATCTCGAATTTCAGATCTACAGCTTCCATGTCTCTAAACTTGATGCCGACAGTTGCATCATTGTGTGCAATAACCTAAGAACATAAGGTATGGAATAAAATTAGAAAGTTTTACTCTTAATTCAAGTTAATAACAGCACTGGTTAAAACAGCAATAACGATCATGAAAGAACCCTTATACATTGATTGTCGTATAACCAAAATCATAGTTATCTCAATTAATGGCCAATCAGAACAGAGCAAAATATTACTAGGAGTTGATGAGAACTCAGAGCAAAAACAAGCAAACTGCTAGAGGCGCAAAAAAACGTGAGTAATCAGGTTGAGAGTGGTTAATCACTTTACATGAGATTGGTTAAAGAATTGGTGTGAGGTTTCTTTAAGGACACTTGGAGGAAATTTTCTCTGGTGGTAGTAAAGAAGGTGCAGAACAAATCTCAAACTAAATTGGTATTAATATGACCTTGTTGTCACTCAGTTCCATGTCTGAAATAGACAGTTCTCGTTTTACACACCTGAAGGCTAAACACCTCCTCGTTCACGAGGGATACTATCTTCGGATATACCGCCCCAGGAGTAGAATCCATCACTGACAAAGTTTTCATACTGAAATGAAACAGAGACTCTTAGAAAGCTTTTCGATTGAGTGTCGTAAAACCAAAACCAAAGCAACCACAACAGCCAATCATCAAAAAATATCACAAGGAGCCCATGAGAACTCGAAGTGAAAACTAGCAAACCGCCTAAAGCACGGGAAAACGCAAGTGACCAAGTCGCGATTGGTTTTAGTTTGAATCTGATTGGTTAAAGAAGTGGCGCGAGTTGCTGGACCAATCATGTAACGAAATAAAGCAAAACCAGAACATTCCTGGATTACTTTCAACACGCAATTGAAAATTTTTCTATCAAACGATAATTTTTTGGACCTGGAAAGTTTGAGTGATTTTGATCGCGATAAGAGAAAAAGGGATATTGACTAAGACAATTAGGTCATACATACCTGGCCATAACGTCTGTTCTGCTGTCTCTAACAACACAGCCAGCGGACAAATCTTTGTGTGAAGAAAAATATTTGAACTTGTCAAACATAGAGTACATAAAGTAAATTCAAGAGAGACTGAAAATATTATTTTTAATACCAATTCTTTGGCGGATTGAAACTAACACAATTGCTCACTTGCTTCCTTCAAAATAATATTGAACAAAAGCCCAACATATCGTATCATGCCTTGTAGTGCAGCGTCTCATTAGCCGACTAGCCATGTTTGATTTAGAGTTAGAAAAGACGGAGGGGGAAGGGGGCAGGAAAGGTGTAATTTTCATTGCCCCAGCTCTCCCCTACAAAAATTGTGAAAAGATGATGGGTAATTTGTAACATCTCATTTGTGCATTACCAAATTATGGTTGTTGAGTAAAAAACCCCTCACCTCCAATAATTACATGCGTCAAATCACCCTCAACAGATGTCACTGTAACATCGATCCCTCCCAGCTTTGCCGTCACTTCAATCTGTATTTCATCTTTAATATCTTTCTTCTTTTTGCCTTTAGGCGTAGATAGCTCAGACGTTTTATTTTCATCTCTGCCTTCCGTTTTTGTATCGTCAGCAGACACAAGTAACAGAGCTGGAGTCTCTTCACTGGTAAAAGAGAAAAAAAAACGTTTCTTCAATTGACAACTGGTGGAGAGAGAGTTGTCACAAAGACATATAGATATGTTTATTACAATAATGCTTTGCAGCTGAAAAGCTTAACTGCGTGTATACAAAAGGGGCATGATAGATAGATAAACATTAAGAACGTGATTTACAAAAAACTTATAAAATCTGTGTACATGTAATCTATGTAACCTATAAATATAATGCATATGAGAAAAAAAAGAATTATGCTTCATCAGTACAAAGTTATAAAAACTAAAGCTAGTTATATATATATATATATATATGAAAACTACATTGTATCAGTGGGTCTGTTGGAAAATGCACATTACAATTTACGTGTCAGGATTGGATATAAACTCCAACCAGTATAACGGTGTTCGAGAAAAAATGACGGATAACTTTCCTTACATGATTCATTAAATTTTTTTTAGCTTGATGGGTTACAGTAACTTCCATTTTTTGATAACTATGCGCGCGCTGCGAGCTCCGCTATCAGTTACCAAATTACGGGTTATTGGAATTGCCTGTTTCCAAAAGCCAAGTGTCTCTACATAAGAGGATGTAAAAGGCTTAAGGCCAAAACAGAGTAGACATGAACCGTTCTTAAGCTACATTAAAATTACAGCACCTAGGCGGCAGCATTTTGGCTGAAACATCGATGATGTTGAGCAGAGCTTCTTGATGCAGTTTTACTTGCAGTGAAGAAAATTCCACAGCAACAGACTGCTTAGTGGACTTAAATGTTGAGCTGTACTCTGGGTGGTCTGATTCCACCTAAAATTGACATCAAAAGCAGCAAGTAACCCTTTACTCATTAACATCAGTATACATATTCTCCATACTGTTCTCTATGTATTTCCTAAGATGCTGACAAGGAGAATTTGTTTAACAGTCACGAGCTTCTCGAATTGATAATCAATCCCTCTATGTTCTTGACCTTACAATACGATTCTGAGGTGGTCCTGAAGGGAGAAATTTGACGCAAGTCTTTCTTTAGGGTCCAGGGTTTTAATACTTCAATCATAAACAGATATAGTGCTGCAGATATAGACCTTTACACCGTGTAAGCACGGAAGTGACAACCACAAACAATAAATCTCCTGTCAACTATTTAACTACTTCTCAAAAGACAAAAAGAACTAATTTCTACCATCTGCATACCGATGATGAGAATAGAGAGTACCATTTGTATAAATTTGACAACAAAAACATCCTCAAATTACCAAAACACTGACTGCTTCTAACTCAGGATAACATTTTGTTTTTCACTTTATTCTTAGGCATGCAGAACAATATTTCCCAAGTATAGAGATTAGTCATTTCATTAATTCCAAGATTAGCCGTACTCCCTTCTACGACCTCAAATGAATCTGTAAATTGCCATGAATTCCCGGCTTACTAGGGCTTGTCATAGGCCCACATCATTACAGACCCAGTATGCATTGCGCACCTCTGTTTCTTCGTGATGGTTTTCACGAGAGCGAAGCCTGGATTGTTTTTTACGAAGCTTGTAGCATAATCAACATCGAGTTAACGGCCACCGAGGGCCAACGCCACACTGGTCAAAACTGGGTCTTAAAAACATGCAGTAGACCTCACAAGATAAGGTATTTTACCATAACAAATTTAACAGAGAGTAGCTCTGCCCCAACAGGCGTCTGCACAAGATAAAGAGGACCTCCGCCAGTTCCATGGATCTTCTCCACTATGGCCAGAGAAGACAAAGAAGCACTTGCTGAAAGATCCCAAGGATGCATGACAACATCGGTACCCAGGCCTTTGACATGCAGCGCAAGACAAGGCGTCAATTTCCCTCCACTATCCATTGTGCTAAAATCAACGAATATCTGTAATACAACATAAAAAGTTCAAGATCAGTTGGTTTAACTGGAGACTGCTATTCTAAAGGAGGACAAAATTTAACAGTCCTCATTCAAATTCGACTTAGAATTGGCAGACAAATAACTTCTCCATGACTCTGTTACTTGTGGATACATCAATATCCATCAAAAGCGCTTTTCGGTTGGGAGAGTGAACAAGCAAACGGTCTGAAGCGCGAAAAAACATGCATAACCGAGACGTGGTTGATTTTAGGGGGTAAGTTTCTAAAGAAACTGTGGTGCTGCATCGGTGGGAGAGTATAACACGGTGATTAGGTGTTATCAAATGGGTTGAAAACGTAAACTGGCCACTGTAAAGAGTTCAAAGGCTGATGTTTCAAGTGTTAACCCTTCGCCAACCGCGCTGACGAAGGGTTAACGCTCGAAACGTCAGCTCTTTTACTCTTTACGGAGGCCAATTGACGTTTTCAACTCAGTTGATAACACTAAATTACCATGGTTGATTTTAGTTTTGCAACTGATTGGTTGACCTTTCTGGACCAGAGTCAAAAACAGTCGACACAGTCAAAAACTACTCTCATAAATTTCCTTCCTCTGTAAACTTTAAAAAATTCAGAACCTTAAGTAGAATAAGAAGATTACTCTGATGAAAAATACTCAAACACACCTCTTCTATCTTAAACTTGAGCGAAACTTTAACTTGTTGGGCCATAGCCTTTTTTTCTTCACTCTTAGCTCGTTCAAGGCTGGATTCTCTACGGGAGAAAAAGAAAGAAAATATTATACCTGAAAATACTGTAATAACAATTCCTGATTGGCCAAATTTCGATGATACAAATTAAGGGGTAGCCGAACTTTGGCAAAACACTTTGGGAAATGAAATATTAGAGAGTTTGTGGGTTTTACGCCCCAAAGTCTTCAATAAAAAACGGTGTTTCTATGGTTCTACGCCGTATTTTTAACCATCAAATTTGGTCTCTTAGGGAACAAATATTTCAGAAACTCTCCCCTTTTTACCTCTTAACCAACCGAAAAAAAAAACTGTATAAAACTAAACAATACCCGGTTAGAGTTTCAGGTGGCGTCTGGAATATTTCATCCATTTCCTCAGCTGCGTCATCTTGTTCTCCTGTAGCACCTTCCAAAACACCCAACTGTGTTACGTCACCATCAGCCCTTGCAGTTGCATACCGGCGATTTTCACCAGGAATGTCCTACAACAAGAAATTTAGAAAAAGTCAATGTTGCTTCACGTATTTAACTTAATAGCTCACGAGTGAAAAGTCGAGTTGAACACAAGTAGAAAAATTCCATATCTACGAGTAACCATGTATTATTTTGTTTATCATATGAACGCAATAGCCCTTCACTGACAAGAAAAGCCGACTTCATTAAATGAATGAAAATAAATGAATCGACAATTCCCGAATAACAATTGTAGAGTGCGTTGGCGCTGACTCTTAAGATGGAAAATTGCGTTGAATTATGATTACAAAGACAACAGTGGTCGTTATTTTCAATTTGCAAAATTCTTATTTATTGACATTGTCCTTACCGACAGAAGAATTATTTCAAGTAAACAACCAAAATCGGCCAGTGGCAAATCTTCCACTTGTCGATTTTCATTCTCATCCGAGAGAAATGCTAACACCAAGGCCACTGAATATGTAACTTTCGGTTTTTCTTTTAGTATATTAATTTCCTTCCCCTTCTGAGAAAGTTTGCACCTCACAGTCTGTCAGCGATACGGATTGTTAGTGTTTTAGCCGCTGCAGTTCGAGAAAGCTCCAACAGACAACTTATATTGAGAATCGTGAAGGCTTTGCCAATCATTCATCAACCTGACCGAGTGGCGCCAAAGGCGAGTGACGTGTCAGCAGCTGATTGGCTATATAAACACACGTGAAAAAATTTTTCACGTGTGTTGCTGCGGCTTTTCTCAAAGCCGGAAATCCCTGTTGAAACCCCAGTTTATGCGATATAAGTATGTTTTAAATGAATTTCCGCCAGATCGTCATGAATCTCTCTTTTATCAAAGCACACGTAGTAGTTAAAAAACGACCACTACATATCTAGTAGTTTCTAACATACCATTGGTTTTTTATCCATTTGTTTCAAAGCTTGTTCACCTCCTGGTATTGGGATGCTGGTAGCAAGCTGAAACCCAAAAGACAACAAAAGAGTTCAAGGAAATGTTTTTGAGATTACACCAATCTCACATGAGAATATCAGGGTTGTTCTGTGCTGTTGTTGTTGGTTTTTCAATGTCACAAAGCCGTAAGCGAGACCACAATGCTGATTGCAGTCATGCAATCATGGGGAGAGTCTAGACATAATGTCCCTGGAAAGGCAACACATTTTTACAAAATTCAAAGGCCTGAAGAAAATGTTATTTGTCATGATAATGGACAAAGAAGAGTCCCCCACGGGATTTGAACCTCAGTCTTTCCCGCTAACCTCTCAACATTACGTTTTTTCGAGTTCTCCAGTTTACTCGTTGCCAATCTTGACAAGGGGAAGGGGGCATATGTTTTAAAAGTATTTATATATTTCTATTACAGCATCATTGTTGAATCAAACAGTGATTGTTGAACAAATTCTCCATTAAAGTATCATAGGCAATGTATAGAGAACAGTATGAAGAATACGAATACCAATCTTAGAGTTCAAAGGGTAAAATAGTGGTAGAGCCTGAGACCGCGAGTTCTGATGGCCTTCGGATCGATTCCTTGTGGGAATCAAAATTTGTCTTTATTCCATGTTCATAACGAATGAACAACACCTTTCTTTATCTAACAACCAAGCTAAAAAAAAACTACTTTCATTCGTAATCTGTTTAGATACTAAGGTCTACTCCTTATTAAGCTATTCCACCACACCTTAATAACCTGAAGAAGCTTCTCATCAGAGGCATGGACTTTCACAGTTGGAAGGGTTCCAGAGAGTGTGATCCTGTTTCAGAAATAGCAGTCAAACATACATTCACGAGGAACATGAGTAGTTTGCTCGGCGCACATCAAACATATCTGCATCCATCTCCAACACAGCGATTCAACGGTCAACGGCCAGCGGTCACCAAAGCCGATCTCATGAAAGAAAATACTAGAAGAAGAACCAGAATAACATAATTCTTACTGTGCAAGCCTGATGTCGTCAGGATTTAATGCTTTCTGAAGCTTCATGTCAATTCCCATCGGATCTAGAATATGCATCTTAGAGTTGACCTGCTTTCTTGCGGCCTGCCAGTCTTCATCTACCACAAAAAATAAAATAAAAAGGCTTTACGTCAAACGTCCATACTCATTAACGTTCTATCCCCAAAGAGTGACTAGCATCTAATTTATTCTTACAGCATCACACCAGAATCAAACAATCAAACAGTAAGGTCACGAGAATAGAGGAAATGATCACCAACTAAAGAAGTTGTTGGTTGCTGAACAAATTATCCTTGTCTATCTGGCATGTAGGCTATTAACATTCTAGCAATAGCTGTTTTCACAGGGCGGGATACACTGTCAATTACACAGAATTTTGTGCAGACCCAGTCACCATTACCTGCTTTTGCGATGAGGATTTGAAGGTCTTCCAGTTTAAAATCAAACTTATCGTAACACTTCGACTCCAACTCCTCCACGCTTAGATCCTGGTAAAAATAACCAAGCCATTTAAATGTGTGACATCAAAAGTAGCACCTGGACATTTCTAAAAGTCTTAATTTCAATGACTTTTTGCCATCAAGGGTACAGGTAATGGAAGGGAAGTAGTAAAGGTATGAAAATCTACCAATCTGCGTTATTTTTCCTCTGTTTCCATGTTTCTCTAGAACGTCCCGAGTGTAAATAAAATGCACGTTTAAAGTAAATTCCCCAAATTAGCAAATTGATTCACCCTCTCTTAATGGTGCATTTTAAAAATCTGTATTTCACATGATAGCCTCTCCTTAAAACACAATAGTTATTCTTCGAATCCGATACCAAAGCCCAAGTTTTTCAGTGGAATAATAAAAGCGAGTCACAAATTTTAGTACTCTTGAACAACATCTTAAACATAGAAGTGGTCCAAAAATTATCTGATCAGTATCACCTTTGTGGATACAATCCTCTCTTGGTCTGGATCACTGGTGATCTTCACATGCCCAAGATCAATGACAAGCACATTGCTTGACCTGTCAATAAAGAGTAATATTAAAAAATGTTCACTAAATCCACGTTACGTTAAGAGCAATATGGGAACAATGTAGGATTACTATAGGAACAATAAAGGACCACTAAAGGACCACCATAGGACCACTATAGGGCCAATATATGACCAATGTTGGACTAATATGGAACCAATGTAGCATCATCAGCCAATATAGGACCAATTTAGTATCATCAGCAGTAGAGAAAACACCTAGGAAATGTTTATAATTATAAATCGAGAGTTCAAAATATAACTTCATCAATAAACAGTTCTTAAGCCTGATTGACCACAAAACTTAGCTTGGAATGGCTGGTGGTCCATACATGTTGGCATATTATTCCAGTGGAGGGAATGAGGAATCCTATACTCATGTCGTACTAATATTTGAAGGATAACATAATTGTTGTATCAATATGTTCACCTTATCCTAAAAAGGTTGGGGATCACATGACCATAAAACCGCAAGTTGCAAAGTACTTCGCACCCTCTTCCGAGTGGATGCACCCCACAATTCAACAACTTACTTCTTAAAGGTGCCTCCCTCTGGTATGATGACAAATGGAGACTTCACATCCACATTCACATCTGTTATCTGCAAAAAGTATAGTTGATCATAAATTTTTGAGTTTAACTTGTACAACAAGAATCAAGTGAACATAAGGAAACCAAACCATAGTGATCTAAGAAGGTAATTTGGTATTATCTTCACTCTGACGAAGGACTAACACTCGAAACGTGAGCTTTGAAACTCTTAACGATGGCCAATTTACGTTATCAACTCAGTTGATAATACCAAATTACCTTGCGATACTCTCTCACCGACGCAGTACCACAGTTTCTTTGGAAACTTACCCCCCATATTGAGCTGTGGTATACACAATCTTTAACACTTCGAACAAAGTTCAACATGGTCACATCAAAAGAGCACTTTTCAAGACCACATATAGCTAAGTCACAAGTTATTCTTGTCTCTGAGGAGACTCAGAGTGTGCCCCTGTGCCTCTGAAAACTTTCTGTTACCCAAAGCCTGGATCGATTATCCTGGGTGGATAGAATACTCTAAGAGTTCACCATGATTATAACACCATGGAGGACAACAAAGCTTTAGCGCAGACCTGCACTCATTAATATGCCACAGATCTCCCATGGGCGTTGCGAGGATGGGACGGAGAATAAATTTCCTGTGAGGATTTATATCTTTGACACCTATGACTGACGTCTGCAGTAACAATCCACTAGAATCTGTTAGGTAGGAAGGAATTTTTGTCATAAACAAAAACAGAAAAATATTACCTTGTGGTGTTCAATTGCATAATACAGACTTGCTTTGGACACTGACTTAAGATCTTCTAGTCTTGAGTATGCCTCGGCTGACAGCCTGAAACGAGACATCAAATCTCCCTACTTTTCTAAACTAGTTCAACACTACAAATAGAGGATTTGTGTTTTGAGTGTGACATCAAGAAATCTCGAATGGGTCCGCTACCTATGAATATTTTTCTTGCTGAAGGCATAGATTTCTATTGAACAATCATGTAATTTGAAGTCATTGTTGAAGAGCAAATGTTAAAAAAATACTACAAAAATTTTACATATTAAACAACAGTGTAGCACTTACTCCTGGAGATGGACATCTTTTGGAGGTTTAAAGAAAGTGACGATATGATCCACTGTGTTCTGCAAATAAAATTGAAAGCGCAAAAAAATATTTAACATCCACCTTTGGGAAAAGGAACAAGCCACAGTATGTCTACTTATGATTAAGATATTCTTTCAGTAACGTTCTTCATACATTTGCTAATGTGCTGACAAGGAGAGAGTTTGTTTAGCATTCAAGAGCCTCTTTAATCAGTGATGACTTTCTTTATTATCGCGGCCACAATGTTTGATTCAGAGGTGATATTGAAAGGAGAAATTAGATAACTAGTCACTCGTTGGGGTAAAAGGCTTAAGCCAGCATAGATTCAAGAAAATCTGCGTTTTAACCACCAGGTGTAATTTTCAATTGAAGCTTTCTTTTGCAATGCTCTACCTCACTGCACAGCGCAGTCCTTATTTCACAAGACAGAATCATACATCTCGGGTGTTTGCTGGCTTAAGGTAATAGAACTCCATCTACAAACTAAGTTTTCAAATTTTAGGGGGTGCGTATATTATAAAATATTTTACAACTTACGGCATCATACACAACTTTGACAGGTTGAGATGTCACTTTAGCTCTCTGGTCACACTTTCCGTCCAATGGGTTGGTCTCAAACCATACAGTAAAAAGAGGATATTGGCTTGCTATCCAAGATGTAAAAGAAAACATCCATGTTAGTTGCAACAACTTGTTTGCTTACAACAGATAAAGATGTTGCCATACTGCTTATTCAGGCAGATAATTGTGACTACACTCACAAGAGTTTATTTAGGATGAGTCAGTCAGTCTTCTAATATACGCATCCTGATACAATCTTAACATATGCACCCTGAAACTAGGGGTTCTACAAAAAGAACCTGTGCTACACCAGATACGAAAAACCACTGAAAAAACACTCTTTAGATGTGGCCAAAAAATGTGTGGAAACTTATTCCTCATCAAATGCAGCAGTACAATACCCCGAGGAAAGAGTAAACTAACCTGGTTGGACTACTAATCACAAAGGAAAATCAATGATTGTGATGGTATTTAACAAGGAGTAAAATATAACAAAGAAAGTGGTCAAACATAAGACTGACCGACCTAGCATGACTTAATTTTCCTGCGAAAACGCTTAAATAATCCGACCCTTCCATGATACCACGCGAACCTCTTCAACGTGCCAACAAAATAATAATTTCTGACTTATTCGTTCCCATGTCACTCAAACGTCAGAAATTAAATTTTTCAAAGATTAGGAACACATTTTTTTTTCTGTTACGTTATATTAGGTTTTCCATCAATAGTAAAAGTGAACACAGTATGATAAACAGTGAAGAGCAGATGGACCATTTCTTGTTTGGCGATCAAAATACTTTCCCAAACATTATTTAAAAACCTGATATAATGACTAGAGGAAAACGAATTCTAAAAAAATTCTATCTCAGATTATCCTAGAGTAGTACTAAATTTAGAGATTATATTGGAAAGGTCAGCTTGTTAAAATTAAAAAATGTTTATTGGAACATGTAGAGTGATGTACCTAGTTTATCATCTTGAGAGGTTATCATGAGCGGCATTTTTCCATCTACAGCATCAGCTGAACCAAACATCTTCATCTGGCCAACCTTTGCTGACAGCCTAAACAAAAAATTAAAAATAAGGAGAGACCTACCTCAAAGTGTCACTATCATTAATATCCTTAGAACTCCATTAATCATTTTAGCATCATATCCTCATCCTATGTTTCTGTAATTGTATCTCATTTAACTTTTCTCTGTGGGGATCCTTGGGCAACCTTATAATCTATGCCATGCTAGGGAGGCCTTACAAGGTTAGGACAGCTGCCTATGGCTGCAAACTTGGTGACTTAATTTCTCACCTTTTCTGATAGTTAGAATCTAGTCACCTTACGTAATCTCCCATTAAAGCAAGCTTTAGAAATAAAAAAAAATTTAAATTTATACACTCTGGCTCAACAGATCTGATGTTAAAATTCTCAAGATAAGAAAAAAAAACTCAAAAATAAAAAATACGTGAAAGTGTAGAATTTTCCTGAATCATAGAGGTTTGGAAAAAAACTTTCAAATCCTTAAAACAAAAATTATTTCCTGAAATAATTCCTATTTGACCTTTTTTGGTTCCTCACTATTTCTGCTACTAGAACAAAATCATCCCTATAAATCGTATATATTCAACTTACTTGATTGCTTGTGCTGATGGTCTTTGGGAGAGCTCTGCACAAAGATCCTGGAAACTCAGTTTGGCAACATCAACTAACCTACAGGGGAGACGGTCACTCATCACATTCTAGCTTCATTTAGCTTGGAAAAACTCCCTAAAAAGATCTAAACATTTTTCAGAGCAACCTACAAATTATAGAGGAGTGACAGTCTGGATGATGTTTAAGATGTTCTTTCACTATAAGAAATACAAAATAACAAAACTCAAGGAAGCTATTGTCACTCCTCTGAAATGGAACTTGCATTGAGAAATTTCAGTTGAGTGTTAATAGTAATCAAAGACTGCTTAACTATTGTTTTACTGTGCTGTGTGATTGGTCAAGAAAACTCATTCCATTCTGTCAACCAGTTAAATGTAAATACAAAGCTAACACAAAATTCATTACTAGTTTCTACAGGTTTCTCACACGTCAGGCCATTTCACCTTCGGTTAACCCTTTAACTCCCAAGATGGGATTGTTGATTCTCCCCCCCCCCCCTAGCTTTTAAACATTTTCTTGTAAATTAGTTATGAGAATTTGGTGTTAGATCAGGTTAACAACTTCTACCTAATAAGTTTGGGTATTCTCGTGGCCTGTTTGCTGGATAATGTATGAATATAATAGGAAGAAGTTTCATATCAATCACTTGTATGGGTTAAAACAAGTACAACATTCTATTTTAATACCTTCATTATCAAAATGATGGCAGTAGCAACACATACTTTCATGGCTAGATCAGCTCAGAGAAAATGAAATTAATTTTCTGGCAAGTTTGCCTGAAGAAACACTTTTATTCAATACTCACTTGACAGCTGCATCATCTCTTAGAGCCACACTTATCTGTTTCAATTTCACCTCAACTTTATTTTCCACATACTGCAAAATAATCCAGGTAAAAACCAAAAATACTGTTAGATAATAATACAATAAGGATGCCCCAAGTACTTAAAGTTATAGGGGCGATAAAGTAAAATAAAGTTAAAGACTGAGACAATAAGCATTAAAATTAGCTGAAACATTGTGTCACTTTGAACAATTTTTTTAAGAGAAGAAAAACACTACTGTTTGCACTGGCTCCAAATTCTTGACAAGAATCCCCTCCCCAATTCAATGTTGCCTGTTGTACAGGGCTACACGTAGCTAAAAGATACCGTAAGCCAAATAAGACATTGTTTTGGGGGAAGGGGGCAACTAGGTTAACAAAGACAAGACAAAAGAAATAATAATGAAATAGTGGGGGATTGAAAATGTCATGTGTCAATAACTTTGTGGCTACAAATTTAAGAGATCCTTGCAGCTAAGAACACTACTGAACTAGTAGTTGAAGATAGGACCTGAAAAAAATTCAGGCCCTTACAGGATTTGAACCCATGACCTCTGCTCAATCATTTTTCATCACTTAGATGGTTTATTTGGACCCAACATATTGACCAGCTCCCAGTTGGCTTGTTAGCTCAGTTGGTAGAGTGCTGCACAGGTATCGCAGAGGTCATGGGTTCAAATCCCCTACAGGCCAGAATTTTTTTCAGGTCCTATTTTCAACTACTAGTTCAGTAGTGTTCTTAGCTGCAAGGATCTCTTAAATTCATTTCTTCACCACAATGCAAATATATGAACTTTGTGGCTGGTTGGAGCTACTGTAGATTTTTGGGCCAAACAAACAGTAGAGACAACACAGTTGGTTATTTTTTTTTCTTCAAAGGCAAATATAAGTCGAGACATATCAGTCAAATTGCTGCCTTTTTCATGAGATTGTAAGAAATTTAGGTGATAGTGTTTTTTAAAGGGTTCTTTTACTAAGCAAGTACCTCCTTGGGGAATGCTGTAATGGTTTCTCCTTCACTGTAACCAATGGCACTGTACAACTTCTCCAGTTCCTCTTTTTTCTGATCTTCAGTTAAAATTTCTGTTTAGATAACGGTGAAGCTATTTTCATTTAAATTGTTAATCCTTGTAGGCATGAGATTCAGCACTCTATGGTACTTAAACAATGATCTTAAGATAAAAGCCTTACCTGATTTATCCTCCTCCTTCTTGCTTTTTTTACTGGAGCCCCAGAATCCAGAAAACCAACTGCCACTTTTCTTCTCTTCCACTTTCTTCTTCTTTTTCCTTAATGCTGCAGCTCCCTTGATGCAAAACTTAAAGTGAACTCCTATATTTTTGCAAAGATGCTGCTGCCTAATGAAAAGGCCAAGTAGCTCTTATTGACCTCTGTTTCCAGGTCAAGTTGGAATTTGGAACATTGTTTTTTGTCTAGAGAGGAAAACTGGAGGTCCTGGAGAAAAACCCTTGGAGTAATAACAAAAAAACCAATACAAACTAAACCCTAAGACAGCGGTTTGAGGCAAGCACTCTAACCACTGCCCCATCCCGGCTTACTCTTACCATGTCTCTGCCAACCTAAGAGTATACATGTGTAGTGGCAAACTATCAAGGAGAAGGGGGAGGGGGACATGGGGGAGGGAGGGGGAACCCTGCAAAGGATTAGCATCCCATTTGATGGGAAAAGAAATATGCCATGTTGCTTCATGCTTCATAAAGGGAAACCAACTGAACATACAGTCAAGCTCCCCAGATGAGAGCCTTTTACTCGCATGCTGCAGACTTAACAAAAAGGCCAGCAACTTAAAATGTTACAGAAATGATAAAACAAGACAACAATTGCTGTTATCAACACGAACCTCATAAGCAGCCTGGCGTCTACAAATGGTGATATTCAACACATCCAACTTGCTCTCAAGTACCTGAAGATTGATGATTTTATAACAGAGTAAACATGCAATAATAAAATCCCAAGGTGGAAAGTTGCCATCTATGCCAGGTAAATATTGACCTACCTCTAGGTGTTTTGACAATGATTCAGAAGCTTTGTCTTCCAGTAACTTTTTCATGTACAAAATTTTGTATTCCCTGCAGAGACTCCTGAAGAAAGAAGGAAAGGCATGAAATCAAGTTTCCATTAGGAGAATCATAGACTATTTCTAGTCAGAACTCATTCGACAATGATACCTGTGTTCCTTCATGTGTGTCCAGGACCAGTTTCTTAATCTCCTCCGAACATCTTCCTCAAGAATACTTGTAATTGCATAATTCCACCTGTTTCCAAGAGGCAACATAGACAATGTACCCAAAGTAAATGTAGAATGCATAACATCATTACAATTACATATAATTATGCACAAAAATTATACTGTAACAAGAGATGTAAAGCTTGGAAAAGCTTCCAGCTTAAACTCAAATTCAATGACATGGAGGTATACTACTCAGCTCTTTTATTTTGACCAAAAGGAGTAAAAATGTAATGCTAACTCAAGACCTTCACAGCATAAAGGATGGCATCAAATTCCTCCACCCAAGTTTGTAGACAAGTCAAGGCTTTCAATATTTCAGGTAATAACAGAAATAACAGATGTGAGATGAAATTACCACTGTGCAGCATGTCCATGTAGAGGGACATTTGGTTTGTACTTTCTAAACACAGAATTTGTGGTCATTCTGTCGAAGGATTCCAGCAACTCAATCATATCATGGTACTGCTGTCTCATCAAAACTAGAGATATCTCTTCCAAGACCAAGCTTAAGAAAATCTGCATGGTACAAAAATAATGTGTAAGCATAAATGAAAAGATTAAATTCTACTTGAGGCTGAATGTAATTTAAGCAAGGTAAAACCAAGCCATTGTAGTAGTTTTAAGGTTGTGATGAACAGGATACTGAGAGATTTGCAGAGTGCATTGATATATACATTCACTCAACTTACTTTGCCACTTTGTTTACTTTTGTCCTAACCTCTCACATTTTGCTTAAAGATAATCATAATTGGTAATTGTTGTACTGACAGGTGTGTGGGAGCAGGCTGAGTCTCAGTTGCCATGGCGGCCCCTTTTTAGCAACTGAGGAGACTGCTGTCATCATTTGTCAGTAGTTTATGGAAAAAAACCCTCTAAACCTATTGACCAAGTATTTTAACTAATCATGCACCCCCTATGCAACTGATCAATCAATCAATCAATCAATTGATTGGTTGACTTTCAAAAACAATCACATGGCCTGCAAGACAAGATTTTGATGTATGGCTGTATTTAAAAAATAATCTCTCAACTGACCAGTACCCCATTCAATTGCCAGCCCACTGATCAATCAATCAACTGGTTGCTTGATTGATTTTCAAGAACTATCTCCTAATCCCAAAGAGCAATATTTTGGCTCTTCTAAGGCTAAAATGAACATGACTAATTTTCCCCATTTCTGCTCCCTTTCAACCATTGGCCACACAACAGTGTCATGTCATACACAATAACCTTATGGCTGTCTTTATTGCAAAGCAATCAGCATGAGTCCAACAACATACCTTTGGGATACTCAAATCAGAACCTGGCTTGATATTCATCTTCACTTGGGTGGTGGCTGAGATTGGCTGCAAGACTTAACAACAAGAAAATAGTGCATAATTGTATTTTCCTTGGTTGTTATTGTTGATCATGCATCAGATCACTCAGCTGATAGTACTACTAAAAACAGTAGTACTACTCTGAGTTTAGTACTACTACTTTGGTTAGTAGTACTTTAGTACGACTACTTTAGTACTACTACTTGTTTTTTACATTGAGTTGTTCCAGAATTATGCCACTGTACAACATCAAAAACTTCTGAGTGAATAAAGGTTAGTGAAAACATATCAGCACAAGCTGTGATGATGCAAACAAATCCCTAGGAATTGAGACAAAGTACACAAAATATACTCACTGTATTTAAAATCAGGAGGAGAGAAATGCTGTTTCGTTCTGATTGCTATCCCACCCTTGGCTTGATTCTGTAAAAAACAGAAAAATTGTCATCACAATTTCATTTACTATAATAATACCAACAGCATTTTCAAATTGTCTTTAAAACTATCATAAAATACAAAGCTGTAAGTTGAGATCTAAACTAAATTGTGTTAATGTCACATGAAGTTGCCTAGAAAAAGTGCTCAATTTAAAAAGGGGGGAAATTTATTAAGCAACTTAACCAGGAAAGAGACATTGTTGAGACAATAGGGATTTAAATGTCAATAGAGTTTACACATCTACATGTATACAAATTTATATAATTTTCATTAATAAAAAGGAACCCTGCCAGCCCTGGTGTTCTTTATATAGAGTAACTATGTGTAAAACTGTGTCAGATCTCCATCATGATAAAGTAAGGATTTATTGTTATAGTAAATAAATTGAGGATTGTATTGAGAATAAGAGGCAAGAATACTAGTATTGTGGAAGGACGCAGGGACTCCTTGTGTCAAGGTTTAGTAATAATGCTTTGCTTTGACACAATAAACAACCACAATTCCTTTATGCAGCTATTTAGGGAGATTTGATAATCAAATCTTGGAGACTAAAAGGGTTTGACCATTATTTCTCATAATTATGAAAATAACTTAATAAAAAAAACCTTGGTCATCAGTATTATCACAAGGTTATTTGCAATGAAGTCCACTCCACCAGAGCTAATGCAAAACACCACACACCACCCACTTTGGAATGAAACCAAAGTCCTTGGATTTTACATGCAAATCACACAACAACATTAACATGGACCATGGTATACATGTAGAAAAAATTAAAGATTGAAGTATGGATGTCCATGATCAAGAATCATTGCTCAGAGTTGCCCTCATCACCTAAGGAAGACTAGTAGGGTGAAGCTGAAAACTTGAAATCCATATAAGAAGTAACTGCATCAAAATCATACCAACAATGACACTTTTTTATTTCAAACAGTGATACTTTATGATCAAGAAATCAAGTAATTACCACCCAGTCCTCTTGCGTTGGCAGTTTTCCAATATGATCTTTTGTATTCCAGTAAATGGCGAGACTGTCAAGTTTGACAAGCTAACAAACAAGGCAAAAAAATAAGAAAAAGTGTTGTTGTGAGTTGCAGTAATTATGAGATGGCAAATATAGGAAAGAGAAGGATGGTTGTGAGGGATGGGAAATAAGGAGGAAAGGTAAAAATAAGTGTGCTGTCACAGGTGAACCCCAAGAGGTCCATGAGATGTATAAAATTCCACACTGGTTGATTGTACCACACTTGCATCTGTTGCGGTAAATATTTCCTTATATTTCATCATTTTTGGCACCATTTACAGACAATGTATCCTCAAGTTCCACCTCCCAACTACTTATTTTGCTATGCAACCACTACTCAACCCTTACATAATTAACATTGTTCCAGATATATTTTCAGACCTATCTGTATCTCACCTTGTGTACAATTTTCACACTTGTACCCACAATTGAGGGTTTCCAATTTTCATCTGTGGACTAAAACAGACAGTGATCATCACTAGATAAGCCTTAACACTATTTGACAGAACCTACCTGCACAAAAGAGCTGTACAGAGGATCAATTTTTTCAAAATATTCATTATCAAATGTATTAAAGATGGGTATAAACTCATCAGCAATATATTCATTGGCTGGGACAAAAGATAGTGGCAGAAGCTAATGAAGATAACAAAATTTGAAAAAAGCATCCAATAGCAGTGCCATCACATCAGGGGAGAGAAGGGTCTAAAAATTTTCAAAGCAACATCATTTTGCAAACCCTTGTTTGCAAGATGAAAAATACTCTTTGATCAAGTACAATCTCCCTGAACCTTCCATAGTCGCACCTGTATTAAGCAGTCACCAGTCAAATGGCTGGGTGACCTCTTAAAACAGGTTTACCACTTAATCCACAGGTTCCTCAACAAGCTGTTGGGACTTAGCAAAGGGTGACCCCAACCCCTTAATAGGGGTGACCACTTAATAGAGTTGAAAATTACAGTGATCCACAGGGAAAAATTTCTAACTCTGACAACTGACTGCTAAATACTCAGTGACCACCTCGCATAGTGCCACTAAATACATGTTCCACTGTATACAACTATCATTACATACACTCCTATAACCCCCCTCTCTCTTGTATGCATCCCCGGAACCTTTGACCTTTAAAGTGACTAGCATCTAATTTCTCCTTACAATATCACCCCTGTATCACACATTGTGGTCATGATAATAGAGGAAATGACAAACAACAAGAGATGCTCTTGATTGTTACACAAATTCTCTTTTTCAGCACCTTAGGGTGCATGTAGAGAACAGTATGGAGAATATATACCCTGATGTCCAAGTGTAAAGGGTTAATGTCCCCTCCTTCCATATTGAACATCAAGTCTCAGTTACTCATACCTTCTAATAGGTCCCACACCCTTTCCCAATACTGAACAAAATTTATTTTTTAAATCCAGACAGGAGTTGAAAGAAAATTAATGGCTGGCATTGTGGCCACCATTCAACAGGGTTGGTTTTTTTTTCAATAAGCCTCCTCTTCAATAAACCCCCACCTCTTAGAAGCCTCTGGTCTGGAAACTGCTTAAATCAATAGCCTTCCTCCATTATTAAGAGACATATTAGAGGATTTAGAGTACTGCTCTCACCTCAGCTGACAAATTCTCCAATGTCACTCCAATTGAGAATGGTGCAGCAGGGTTAGTAACCTGACACAAACAAGAACAATGAACATGGACATTATAATTAACACCAAAGAGTGACTGCTGTGTACATCAAGAATTAACCCTTTAATTACAGGTGACCAGCTTCTAATTTCTCCTTACAATATGACCTTAATGTTTGAATCAAACATTAAGGTCATGAGAATCAAGGAAATAATCACCAACTTATAAAGCTTTTGATTTTTTTCACAAATTCTCTAAGTCAGTGCTTCAGGACATGTATAGAGAACAGTATGGAGAATATGCATACTGATGTTAGGGTGTAGAGGGTTAATTATTATCCTGAGAAAAACATGGGATATGTTCAACAATACATCTTTCTGTGTCATGCCCACTCTATCACCAAGTGCTAAACTTGCAATTTCAACCATATGCAAGACCTCTAAGGAAAAATTTGCCATGTTTCAGGGTGTCAAAAGGTCATGCCTCAAGTTATGATTAGAGAAATTCAATCCAATTCCATTCATTTTGTCTGCTTCTGTTAGATGTAAATTAAAAGTGACACAGGGTGAAGTGAAATTGCAACTTAAGTTCAAAAACTGTTCAGAACTACCAGCCAAAACTTCCACTGAAGCATAAGAATCAAATTGATGTCTACCTGAATGTACAAGTACTTACAGAGTCTTCATATCGTATGTGAATATTGCGAACTGAGACCTGGAGAGGTAAGAAAAAGTAACCATCTTTAAGTTGAAAAGACATTGAAATGACAATCATTCTGAATATACCTTTTTTCTTTTTCTTTTTCACTTAAATAGAATTTGGTTTTCTGCCAGTGTTGAGTCAAGCAGGCTACTGGAATTGACTGATACAAGTGGATTTCTTATCAAACTCACCTGAAGGTTTTTGACAATCTGCATGGCTAACTTCTCCACAAAACTGTCTGACTTTTCATCTTTTTGCTGCCCTACATGGTAATCAATGAGAAAATCATTATTCACATTAATTACAGACTAATTCCATTACTGACTAGTAGTTGTTGACAGAGACAGTCAATCAAAGCTGTCTGCAGTAATTTGTGTAACAATGTCAATATCCAACACTATGCAGGGCTCTTAGCCAAGGTTTCTTTTAAAGTCACCTTCTGGCAACCTAAAATCATAAAAAACTAAACCTCTGACCATGTGCCTTGTGGTTGGAGTAAATGGCATAGCTAGCATTCCTGTAAATGAACAAGTAGGCAATTTTTTTTAGAGACCCTAACCACTAAAAACAGATAGATTATTAGGGTATACCATTCTGCTTTTTCTTTTCCTCTTCAATCTGTCGAGCAAGCTCCACTGCTTCCAGCTGTCTTTGCTTTCTCTCCTGATTGGCTTTTTCCTCTTTCTCAGCATTGTACTTAATATCTGCAGGAGCAACAAACACATTATCATTAATGGTTGCAGCTGCAACAACTACTATCATAATGTCAATTCCCTGGGCATAACTCTTGTCCAGAGAGGTAGATACAGGCACATTACAAGAGAGTCCATCACACACAGATATTTCCTAGACATAGACAACAGCCAAAAGTTAATAGATTGTTTCCATGGCACTTGTTGCCCAATTGATGACAGTATTCAGCATTTCATCGCTAAAATTTGACTTATCCCTTAAGACTGCCACATACCAAAAAGGCTGGTGTACCATACTATCTACTTACAGATTTAGTGACACTCAAAAAAGTGACAAAATAACTTGAGGAAAATTATCGTTAATAATAATTATGACAGTGATAATGATAACAGTAGTCCATATGATCAAGATTAAGTTAATAACAATGATGATGAAGGTAATGATGATGATAATGACAAAGATAAATACAGAGACAAATACAAAGACAAGGACAATGGAAGGGTAACGGCAAATGGTATAAGGAAAAGACAAAGGCATGTAAAAAAAGCAAAGGCATTGGCAAAGGCAATGGCAATGGCAATGATAATGATAAGGCAAAGGCATAGACAAAAGAAAAGGCATTAGCAAAGGCAAAGGCAATGGCAATGATAAGGCAAAGGCAAAGACAAAAGCAAAGGCACTGGCAAAGGTAATGGTAATGGCAATGGTGATGGCAATGATCATGATTATGAACATGAACATGACCATGAACATTACTATGATATTAATAATGATTAGCACCCTGGGACTACCACTAAAATACAAAACAAATTTGGGGTATTTCTTCAATAAAAACAGTTCTCACCAGTATTTGGTCTGACAAGTAAGTAAAGTCCATCTACCTGTGCAACAACAGGTTCTGAGTACAGATTTTTCCAGGGTATCTTCAGCACCAGTTTGCCTGAGTAAAAACAACAAGTACACAACACACACCCACATAAATTAAATGTTATCAAATCTGAAATCCACTCACCCAAATGGTATTAACTCTTTAACCCCTGACTAGCATCTAATTTCTCATTTAGGTATTGCTACTGAATCAAACATTAACCAATGAGAATCACAGAAATAATCACATTTTGAAAAGCTGTTGGTTTCTTACTAAATTCTTTTTGTCACTGCCAGAGGAAATGTACAAAGAGCAGTTAGGAGAATATGCATACCGATGTTAGGGTGTAAAAGCAGTTAATTAACTGTTAAAGGATGACTGTTTCTTTTCATTTTCCTACCTAAATGTCCACGTAGAACTTTGACAGGCAAATCTAGGTCATCCTGATAACAAAAGAAATCCATTGTCAAATAACCCACTAGCCTACGTGTAGCCGTACCCTCCCCTGAAACGTCTATGCAAACCTGACATTAATCATGTTCCAAGGTTTTAAGGCAAGTTTGCACGACATTTCAAGAAGAACGACAGAAAGCCATAGATATCATGTTTTTCAAAAGTAACAATGTCTCTGTTTTGTTACCAACTGGCTATGGAAAATCCTTATTAAATCAAGCAGTCTAGTGATTGATCGCCTCTCCTCTCTAGAAGAAAGTGGTCACAATGTTTATTGTGCCACCATTAAAGTTCTCACAGAAGAACAGGTGCACTATCTTAATGTACTAGGGCCAAGAGGATTGTCTGCCTTCAACTTTCGTTTTCTTTGCAAACGGTGCTGCAAAGCTAAATAAAAGCTAGTTGTTCCTTGCAGCAATTCTTTGGACTGAGAAAAGAGTTGCTCTTTCTTCACACTTATAGCATAACTATATTTTATAGAAATCTGTGAAATCCTAGAGATTCTGCAGCAAATGATCCAACTCTTTTCCACAACTGTGGCACTGTTTACAAATGCAAACAGAAACCATGTGGACATTGAAATCTAGTTTTGTAAGCATGACGCTAATCAAACATAGGCCTCTCCCTACTCCATACCAAGAATCACTCATAATCTAACAGTCTTTAAATATGCATGAAATTTTAAAAATGTGAAAAAATTAAAGTTAAGGTTAATTCCACCAAAAATAAAATTTACAATAATAGTTTTGATAAAGATGAAAACATTAAAATTATATCTAAAAGTTATAAAAATTTCCAGGAGAAAAGGTTAGATCTTAAGTTTGTTTCTGAGGTTTTCATGTTCCAGTGGTACTCCACTCTAAAATTTTGGAGCAGAACAGGTGAAAGAATGGTCACCAGGAGAGGTATTAAGATTAATTTGAATTTGTCATGAAATTAATAAACCTATATTACCAAAATTGTTGAACCAAAGCACTTCTGACAAAAAAACTTAAAAAAGTAGAACCAGTTTAAATCATAACTGAGATAATTCATAGAGTTGAGTCAATGACTCCCACTTTGAAATATGAGAACAAATTCAAGTTTGAATTGTAAAATAAATTTGTCCTAAAATTATGATAATTTTATGAAAAATTAATAAGCTCGAAATGTGAAATTTCACTGGAAGGAAGCTTTAATAGTGCCATAAAATAAATCTTATTTACTAATTTTCCTCAACGAAAGAGGAAAATAAAAATATAGAATAATAATTATGCAAAATGTTTCGTCAACGTAACAAATATGTGAACTTATGAATCCGCTACATTTCGGCTCCACTTTAAATTTAATGTTGTGTGATTTTCCATAAGTGCAATCGCGGTTGCTTTCGACGATCGCAAAAAACCAAGATAACAAGTACACAGGTTATCTTTATGCAAACTAACACGTCTGAATAAGCAGACAAACCTAAACAGGTCTCGATAATATTTTATCAATACTGCAACTCACATGAATTTTCTAGAAAAAAATCCGGACAATCGTCGTTCGCTAGAAATATAAAAAATGGTGCAACTGTGCAGTTCGGAGACAATACAAATATCCACAAACTTCTAATTACTCAGTCGTGGTTAACATATAAAATAACTATACAGGTAACGTACGATTTCACCCAAAATGGCAGAGCTTTGGTGCAATTTTAGGCAAAACCGGATATGCTGTAGGCACACGACGTAATCGAAACATAAAGTACAACTTTAACTTACTAAGGCGCTTTCCTTAAGAATCAAATTTTCCAGTTGGGCATCTCCTGCAAACGTAAACAAGTCGTTGTTTTCAGTAAATGTGGTTGTCGAAGGTTTGGAAAAAAATCAAAGTGCAAAGAACTTGCAAAGCAATCAAAATCCAGCTACAAGTAGCTCTGATGCCCTTGCGACCCACCTCCCCAGATCCCAAGCCTCAACTGGGAAGTATCGAGATTCTCCAAGTACTGGCCGGCGAACTTGTTCAAAAGATCGACAACATACGACTCAAACACCATGATTCTTATATGAGCTAATTCATTTTCGGCACGAAACAGGGACTAATCATGAATTAATTTGGTATCACACGGTCAAAGCCATCGCTTTCGTTTAAAAACACAAGTTACCGTTCGACACGAGTCATGCCACTCGAACCTGAGCCCGCGGCAAGTATGACGTCACCATACGCGCCTCATTTGAATTTGCACCTCTTTTGGCCGACTTGTAGAGCTGTCTGTTAGCTTGATAGCTGTAGTTCGGTTTTGTAATTTTTCAATACCGGTCTTTATACGAATCAATACTGTAGCACTCCTTCGATTGTTTCCTTGAGAGTAGTATTTAAAAAGTCCAATCTTTCTTTTCAACTGGTCGAGATATTTTTACACATTAAAGGTTACCTTAGTAACACTACAGGCGCACAAAAATACTCTTACCTAGAGCTTTAAAAGCTTCTAACCTGAAAAAGAATATGCAGTGACCTGTTTTTTTTCAATGTATGCATTGAATTTAATGTAACAAGATAAATCTTTCCGCAAAGTTAGGAAAAGCTGTTTGGAGCAATCTTGATTCAGGGGTGTGGAGTTCCTTCTTTAAATTCTAATTCCTCCGCCGATCAGAGACGAAATTAAAATCGTCAGGGACAAAATATTCATGTAATATACAGACTAACAGGGTAATTAAGTATTATCAACTGAGTTGATAACATAAATAGGCCACCATAAATAGTTTTTAAGCTGACTTTTCGCCGGAGCGAATAGAGGAATTGTGGATTGTGTGTGTGTGTGTGTGCGTGCGCGTGTGTGTGTGTGTGTGTGTGTGCGTGTGTGCGTGTGTGTGTGTGTGTGTGTGTGTTTATATGCAGAGAATAGAGGTACGCTATTGGTGTAAATATGGTAACGGGAAAAACGAGAATAAACTGGTTGAATGAAAAGCGCTCGTTGATACCGTGGGGATTAAGAGTACCGATTTGAAAGATAAGTTCTTGTTTTATAGAGTTTTGCGGCTTTCCGAACTGCTAAGATGTAGGGGAAGGCCGCAAACTGCCATATGCTTCTTAGAATGATTGGGGCGATTTAAGTGTCTAACGACTGGTTTGGATGCTCGTTGTCATTTCTTTCTAATTTGCGAAGATTTTCTCGGAATCGGTCACTTAGACGTCTTCCTGTTTCACCAATGTACAACTTTTTTCTTTTTAGTGATCAGTGATCTTGATGGATCTCTAGGGTCCCGACATTTTCTCTACGTTATGAATGAAAGGACAAGTAGTTTTGCATCGTGAGCGAGCGCATTTGAAAGTTCCAGGTTGGTGTTTGGTTTGAAATGAACTGAAATGAACCAAAGAGTTGCCGATGTTTTTGTCGCGTTTAAGTGAAATAAGTGGAGGATGCGAAAAGATAGTACCAGTCTCTGAATCATTTTGTGGAATTTAAAGTTTTTAAGAATGATAGATTTAACTGCGTGGCTGTGAGTGTGAAATGTGAGAGTGAATGGAATACGACCGGTATTTTCTATGTGTGCCTTTTGTAGTGCTGACGGTTGATCAATTTGTTGGAGGCGGCGATGGCTCGCTTGAACGACAGATATAGGATAGCCACGTTTATCGAAAAACTGGCACTGAGATTCTACGGAAAAACCAGAGTCGTCACCACACAAACGACGAAGTCTGAGAAACTGTGAAAAAGCTTAAGGTATGGAATTCCTGACGTGTGATAGACGGGATGGTGAATACAAAAAGTAATTATGCGAGAGACGGTAGGTTTGTAGAGACTAGGCATGTACCCAGACCTTCCTAAGGCCTACAGTTCAGTTACAATTAGACGATAGGATCTGGGTACGAGGTTATGTACGAACTTCTTTCTAACTTTCTTCCCTCTGGGAATATTCCAATTGGTTCCGAAAGTCATTTCGGAGAAATATAGGTAATCAGAAAAGTAAATAAAAGTTGAGACAAATATATCAAGAGGGAGAGTCTCAAATGGGTTTAACCGTCAGCCGTCGAAGGCCTTAAAATTTAACCGTCAGTCTTCAAAAAGCAACTCATTATTAATTGTCAAACAGTTTAAAAAATCTCTCTATTTAAGCCCCTTGCGAACGACAGTGTTAGATCTGGAATCTGGATTTCCAAAGTGATCAGTTTATCATCGTTTTCACTAATTTTCGCCGAGTAAAACAGGCAGTGTGACACAATATTCCTACCGTTCGACAATATCACAACTGAGATCACCCCTAGATCCCGTCGAGTGTCTTGAAGGTTGTGGATAGTTTTTACTGTAAAGCTCTCGTAAATTTGGGAATTTGCGCCAGCATATTAATAATTCCCTCAAGATCAACGACGTTTATATCTTTGGTCTAAATATAAAATGCTGAAAGTAAGCGAAAGACCAACGTTGCAATCGAACGATTGAGGATCCTAACAATGCGCGAGATACTTACGTTTAAATAAATTTAAACATTTAAATAAAAGAGAATCCTAACGGAGCGCGAGATACTAACGCAACAATCAAATAAAATAGAAGCCTAAAAGTGCAAGAGATCACGGTTAGAGTGACAATAAAATGTAAGACAATCCAAAAAATGCGCGAGATACTGACATAATTTTCGAACGAAGGGGTATCCCAAAGTGTTTGAGATACTAACATAACAGCCAAAGGAAAGAGTATCCCAAGGATATGCGAGATAATAACGTAACAATCCAATAAAAAAGAATCACAAACGTCTGCGAGATATTAACGTAACAAACCTATGAAAGAGAATCCTAAAGGTGTGCTAGATACTAACGCAACAATCAAACGGAAGAAAATCCTAAAATGCTCGATATACTAACGTAACTTACGAATGAAAGATTATCATAAACTGCGCGTGGTACTAACTAACAATCTCATGTAGGACAATCCTAAAAGTGCGCACGATACTAACGTGACAAACCAATGAATGAGAATCCTAAAGGTGCGCGAGATACTAACGTAACAATCCAATAAAAGAGAATCCCAAAAGTGCGCGAGAAACTAACGGAACAATCGAATGTAAGTCGATTCTAAAATGCACGAGATATTAACGTAACTTTCGAATGAAGGAGTACACTAAATGTGCGCGCGAAACTAACATAACAATCCAATGAAAGAGAATCCTGAAAGTGCGCAAGATACTAACGTAACACTCCAAAGAAAAGAATCGTAGAAGTGCGTGAGATGCTAACGTAATAATCCAATGAAAGAGAACCCTAAAAGAGCACGAGATGCATACCTAACCATCGTAAGGAAGAAAATCCTAACAGTGAGCAAGATACTAAGGTAATGATATACATGAAAAACTCCCGTGCTTCTAATTGGCTGAAAACGAGAGCATTTTTATGTCCCTACGATCTCCTATTACAACTCTTTTAGGGCCTGTTTACATGAAGGTGGGGTAAACGTTATCAAGATAAAATAAGAAATTATATGGACAGGCGAGTTACCCCACCTAGGTGGGTTACCTCACCTACCTGGGGTCCCCTACCTCCATATAAACAGGTCCTTAGAGTCTTCTTTCAGTCGCCGGCTCCGGGTAATCGAATTTTTCGCCGCTCGCAATCGAGTCGAAACAATGCAAACTATCTGCACGAGGAGTAGATTATCGTCAGTGTCAATTTAGTCCGTGCTACAAAGGCTTGTCAACTGAAAGAATGTTTCCGTTGCTCTCGAAAAAGAAAAAAGAATAAAAATTCAGAAAAAGGAAAGTCCCAAAACAAATTGCATGCCTGATCCCAAAGTAAAGACAAATTTTATAAGACTTACTCACCAACAGTCAAAGGTATCAGTCAAAGAAGCTTTTCAGAAGTCTTGCCCTTCTTTCAGAGATAAAAAAGAATTCTTATCAATGTCGTCCGATAATTACTTCCGCTAATAGAACGGTAATTATTTATCGCCGGGGGAGGGGGTGGAAGGGGGGGGAGCGGAGGAGTTTATTTAAGGGGGATTTTACATGGTTTTCCGGAGGAACTGAGGGGGGAATCAGCTGTCGCCAACAGAGTATGAAGGGGGACTTTAGAAAATTGAATTCCAATTAACTGCCAATAAGGGGGGGGTAGGGTGGGGGGGGGGGCCGTGTTAGAATATTACAGAGGGGATCGGGTAAATTTTATCATGAACAATCAAAATCCTCCAACCTCCCCTCACCCCTCCCAAGTGCCAGACAATGACCGGTCCCTACTACCTGTCCTTTTTCAATCTTGTACGTTACACGATCTGTGACTAAAAAAATTGGATACACCCGGAAAGTTTGGAGAGCACGAGGGAAGTGCAAGAGTTGCTCGAGGCGCAGCCGGGACAAAATTTTGCTACTTGAGTGCTCTTCAAGTGCATCCATGACTCGACTTGTGCGCACAGCTAAAAGCATGGACCAATTATTTTTGGCCTCATTTTTGAACCTTAATCAATTTGCCTTACAAACTTCTTTCAATGCTTAGTATAAATAAATTAACCCTCGTAGCTAAAGTTGTTTTTTTTAAGTCACGAAATATAAAAAGACAACATGTTATTCCCAAGCAAGAACGAACTTGCAACAAACAAAAAGAAAATGGCTTCCTAGATGAAATACATTGATTAGATCATCTTCTTTAACATCATTAGGTACATGGCATTGGTACACCTGCTGTAAAATTTTAGTTTCTAAAGAAACTATCGCGATACATTGGTGGACATGTGAGGTACACAGCACACCACTAGGATGGAGTTTATCGATGGAAAGCTTAGAGTTCAAGCTCTGTCTGATGAAAGGCTTAAGTTCCATACTTCAGCTTTTCAAAATCCGCTACGGTGGTTCACCTTTAATCTCTAAGTTGATAATCAGCTAAGTAGTACACCTGTCGCTCCAAGCACCCGACTGTATTGTTTTTCACAGCTGTAGTCCACGCGGGTTTTGATATTATTCTCAGGACAAAACACGTATCCTTTTGTTCAGTTAATTGAACGGTTCTCGAGATAATCTCAATAACGACGCAAAATTTCTTTCATGGAGAATTAGATCTCAGAGAAAGGAAAATTAAAGGAAGTTGAATAAACCAGCTTTGTCACTAATGTGTGTAAACTTTGAACACCAGTCAATTACATTTTGGAAGTTGATTGTTCGAAGGAGAAATGCAATTGAACGAGGGTTAAAACTTCCAAACAAAGAAAATTGCACCCGTTATCGCTTTGATACGAAAAAGGGTAAACGCAGACGATGCATTCGGCCACCCAAAAAGCCCCGCATAGGAGGCAGTTTGTATCTATCAAAAAAAAGAAATGTATATGTATGACTACCTTTCATGAATTTTTAATTAAGCATCCCCCATTTCTTTTCAGAGTGAATGCTAGGGTCCCATTTTCGGTTGAGGAGGCCGTTGCGTAAATTAAAATAATGACACATTTCTGCAAAGAGGCGGAGATCAGGAATAGAAAAGCAAGTCGACAGATGACGCAGAAAGTATTAAATTTGTTGAAATTTAACCTAAATGAACTTGCAAGTTTTAGTAACCTGCTTGGCCTGGGTGTTCAGTTTGTAAGACGAAGCGAAATAACAAACGGCACAATAGTCGCGGAGGAATGAAAAAACGAGGGAGGTTTGAATCGGGTCGGGTAAAAAACGCAACCCGACCCAAACCTCGCTCTATCGCGCTTCGTTTCACTAACTGAACATCTGGAACAAGCTAGGCTTTTAGGAATTGTGTTATGAGGGAATAAAATACTACGGAAAAGAGTTAAAACTGAAAAGCGTATCAATCACATTATTTTTCTAATAGATCAGTGCATGAGAAGACTAGTATCTGGCCTCTAATTCAGCAAAGAAAAATACTCATCTCAGAACCAAATTCAGACCGCTATCGACTATTTTAATTCCATGATTCATAAAGTAAGTCTAAGGAAGCTCGACTACAACTTCCAATCCATTATAGTCTTATGATTTCATAATATTTCAGAGCTCGTGACAGTGTGAATTGAAATGGACGGTCGGTTGCTGCACTGACCTGTTTTAATTTATTAAGTTCCTCGTGTCTTATGAAGGCGGAAAATCTGACATCCTTAATGATATCTCTCGGAACTGACTAAAAATTGCCAATGAAGGGGAGAGGATCGAATGATTTTGGTTTTGTCGCAACCAAATTTACCTAATCCTTCATAATGCTCTGTAGTATTCCAATAATATCCCCTCAATATAGTCCCCACTTTAAACTCTGTTAGCGACGACCGTTCCCCCCTGAAAACCATGTGATCCCCAAAATCTACCGGCCCCCTCCATTACCCCTGAAAACCATGTGATTCCACCAAAATCCTCCACCCCCTTCCGTCACCCCTGAAAACCATATGATTCCCCCAAAATCCCCCCTCCTCCCCCATCCGTTACCCCTGAAAACCATGTGATCCCCTAAAATCCTCCGCCCCCCTCTCCATTACCCCTGAAAACCACATGACTCCCACAAAATCCTCCGCCTCCACCCTTCGTTGCCGCTGAAAACCGTGTGATTCCTTTTCTCAAAATCCTCCGCTCCCCTCTCGGTTACCCCTAAAAACAATGCGATCCCCCAAAATCCTCCGCCCCCCTTCATTACCCCTAAAAACCATATGACTCCCACAAAATCTTCCGCCTCCATCCTCCGTTGCCGCTGAAAACCATGTGATCCCCTAAAATCCTCCGTCCCACCCCTCCCCTTGGAGATCTCTCCAAAAGCAGTAGGACGAACTATTTTCCCACTATCCAACTTGACTGAGGAATGAGGTGGTGTTTACGTATTGTTTACATTAGAGCACATGTTAGAATTCTGGGTTAACCGTACACGAATTTCCACTCACACTCTCTGACCTTCTCTGACCTTCCGTCTCCGAAGCATCAAATATTCCGGTCACTGACGGTAAAACCCTTCTGAAGAGACACAGCAGTTCGACCCAACTTCGTTCCCAGAGTGCTGTTCCTACCATCTCACAATTGAAGGGAAAAGCGTATTGGCTTTTTCAGGAGCCCATTACTCCTGATTTTTTATAATATTTTCATTCCGCTCCACTAAAAAATTTTAGAGAAAAATAACTCTTTAAGGAAGATCGCTGCTTGGTGTGCATGTCAAACCATTCCAAAACCCTTTCCCTCTATTAAGCCCTCCTCCTAACGAACCCCCTTCCCTTCCTCCCCAAGGTAAGAAGAGCTTTTGTCATTCGTTTGGGCGAAATAGAATTGTGTTACTATTGTTGATGGAAAGCCTACACTAATTCCTTTTCAAATATCTTAAGTTTTGAACCCAAGAAATCTGTATTGTATACGGTATGTGTTTAGTATGGGCGAAGATTTAGATCGTAAATAACAATTGCCCGTTTAGCCTTCCGCAAGGTTTTGCTCAGCCCTTTAAAAAGCCCCTTACCCCTAAAAAGCCACCCTCCCGCCTCCCGTTTGTAAGTCTTAGAAAGTAATGAACCTCCACCCCATAACACCATGCGCGCCCCCCCTAATCAAGGATTAAGGGGGGCGCGCACGGTGGAGGGGATTATTGATGAGATGATCATATCTTGCGTAGGGCTTTCAACAAATCAGAATTAAGTAATTGTCTTCCGGACACACTGTCCTAGAATCCTGCATCTCCGCGCTCGCTGGTTCTGATTGACCCTTCACATTTTCGACATTGTTTGTGGTTTTCCAAAGAAGCTTTGTTGGAGGTTTTAACTAATTACGAGCCTTCGTTTTCAAGATTGGTCTTGCCCAGCAATCAACATAATGGAAAGGAAGGAAATTTTCAAGTCTCGTGACCAATTCATAAGTATCGAAGGGAACTTGAGAAATTTGCGTCAACTTGAAGTACTTCCGAGTCAATACTTGATTCGTTTTGCATAGACACCTTTTGTTTGACATCGTTCGAGCGTTTATTAACTCTGCATCTAGTCAAACAATTAAACATAACTTAAGCGGGAGTGCACGGAACGTATTTTGGTGACCAGTATATGTACTCTGCTTCTCTCCTTCGAACAAAAGATCCTCAAACTTTCCTATTTCAAATAGCAGGTTTCGTTATTCGTGTTCTATCGCCCAAAATGTAGAAAAATGCTTCAAATTGTCATAACAAATAAGCAGCATAGTCAATAAACATCTGCCAGGTCACAATTAAGAGAGTCGCGAGTTGTCATTCACAAACAAAATACGACGAAGATTACATTATGACATTAATCGCGCTTATAATAATCCGCGCACCATCAATGATTCCAGTAAGTTTCATGGGCCCTATTTTAAAGTGTTTTCTGCTTCTTCCGTAAGTCTATTTGTGATATACAGCACACTCGCTCTCATTCTATGACGCCCTTTCTAAGAAATTGTTCCGGTTTGTTGCGCACCATTTGCCTCCTCTCATGCGTTAAACGTCATCAATTCACCGCATTAATGAGGGGGTCTTTCCGCACAATAAGAAATCCCTCGACTGTGCGCGTACTAAGACCTAAATTCCACGCGGTCTACCACACAGTGTAAATCCCTGCTGTCCGCGAGTGTTTTGACGAAAAAAGCGACGATTTTCGAACAACAAGCAGTGTCAATCTGCACGTGCTGCACGGTTTCGACTTCACCTCGCTCTGTGATTGGCTACGGACCAGATGTCCCGCACAAAGGAGCACGAGAAAAGAAGTGTGTGGGAAGGTGCAAAATACATTTTTCCCACGGGTTTTAACGCCACGAGGCCACTCAATCCGTCAATATTTACCAAGTCATTCACCTTCTATTGTGTTTATGTCTCTTCCTTTACATACAGGCCAAAACGTAGGGCTTGACACGAAGATTAATCATGCTCTTGAAAAGTACTCCAATTCAGACTTAGCTGTTTCAACGTTTTTCGCGTCCATAAAAACAATTGGTGCCTACCTCGCAAAGTCGTCTCTAACCGAGTTTCCTTGAAATAAGGGAAACAAGATGAACAAAGGAAATTCCTTCTATTACATTGAGAATTTAAGCGACCTGTTCATACGGAAAATAACCATTCGATTGTCTGTTAACGTGAATAAAATCGGGCAAACTTCCAACTGCTGCCTAAAGCGTAAACAAAGTTCGCAGTTCTTTTCATAACTCCGCGCAATGAGGTTGTTTGTAAACTCCGACCGATTCATCCCTATCTTAAAAATAGTTCGTAACAATATACCACCTGTATGCCTTCTATCGCAATTCAAGGTTTATTATTATTTTTCCGTCCCAAAATAGTATTTTTTATCGTTGATTACATAGTGTATGTACTTAAATGATTTCCAGAAAAGAAGTTATAAAAATAATATACCGGATTACCGAAGCTTCTAGTCGGGCTAAAACAGTCACTCAACCATACCTAAAAACCCCTCACTTCAGAACTAAGAACTCAAATGTTTAAGGTGTGTCGATTCAACTGAGTGTGGCGAGTACATGGGGCATAAATGTTTTCAATATACAAAAAAAAAAAAATGTATTTACAGTTTGGTACGTTCTCCCTAATTACATCTTAAAAATATATTAAACTTTTCTATAGCTCTGTGTGTTTTGTTCCAACATGAAATTCAATTATTCGACTATAAATCAATTGCATTTTTTTCTTTTTTAAAGCAGTGACCACTTTTCGCCGTCCTTCGAGCGGACTGTCCTTCAAATACGCAGTGCATCTATGTACTGCAATCCTTCCCACGTTTAAAATTACAGTTACGGTCATACCATACGAAATATCATTCCTTGACGTATATCTTACAAAATCTGATGAACATTCAACCGACTGGACACAACCTCTTGCAATTTAAGAACTATAAAACTGTTCAATCTAGAAACCTTTTATCGTATGTTTAAGAAGCCTTGATTTTCGATTTGTTTACCTTCCGAGTTCGCCACCCAAAACACAATTGAGTGACTATAGAATAACTACAACGTTAACTGATTAATAAATAACTTGACACGATTCGTAACATTATGATGCATAACCTGAAACACCAGTTTTACCAAACTTACTTATTCATCGTTGCACAATATAAGTTCTCTTCAGGGGTGTGGCGTTGACAAAACTTATTTTAGTGTCAATGGCAGTATTCATTGTCAATCTAGTTCGATAAGAAGCCACGACTCACACAAGTATGCCAAAAAAAACCCAAAAAAAAAACAAAAACAAAACAAAAAACAAACAAAAAAAAAGATTCTCGCTCGAAAATTCCAAGCTTATTTTGGGTGAGTCGTGACAAATTGTGGTGGGGCGTCACGCACCGCTTCCCACGAAACCTTGCGTGACATTCCTTATAGAGCCAGACTGACTTGTGACTATTGGCAATTACACTGTCATTTTTTGTACAAATAAATAAATACGCTTAGCGATTAATAAACCAAGAATACAATAGAAAATAACTGAGCGTAGTATGTATTGTGACGACTCTCATGGCGATCTTAAAAAAACCCAATCATAACAAACACGAATAGTACAGAAATCAATTGATTAGCACGAGGACGATGATGACGATGATGAACAGTCTCCCGGCGAATCAGGTGAGGGGGTCGGGAAAGATGATAAATACTTTTGCGGCGACGAGTCGTAATTATTCATGAACCGCACTTGTGTATGTACAGGAGCCATTTCGTCGGCCGGAAAGACAAGCTGATGCGGCATATGTTGCAATTGTTGATGGCGCATCGAATAATCGTCATTTTGGTAGTCTTTCCTAAACGGCTGGCCGTTTCCTAATCCGCCAACGCCACCGACGTGAGAATACATGTTGGAGTTAGTGATGGCCTGAAATGCGGCCTGTTGAGAGATCGGTGGAGGCGCCTTCTGCGCCGAATGACAAGTTCTTCCGTTAAAGACTAAAGCTCGAGAGTCGGAAGGTTGCAGACCGACACAAGGTAAGTCCGGTGTGCTATGAACCGAGTAGAGTCTTTGACCCTCGAATGGCCTGACGGGCATGTACAGACAGTCTGATGTAGTGGGTACAGTGTGGTCCATAGCGGCCCCCTGCCCTAAAGAAGTGTTCATGGTAAACCCGCATATGGACATATCCGTAGGATCATCGAGAGCGCCAACTAAATCAAAATCAAGGTCAACCTCTTCCAACCCGGCTAGGTCATCGGGTGATAATATTTCTAGCGGTGAAGGTGGTTGTGCATCCAACGAATTTGGAGCTTGAAAAGGTGATAGCGTAGTTGAATCCGCAGGAGATATGCCGGGAGATATGCCGGGAGAAATGCTCCCTAACGGCGAGAGTACGTTCGAGATTGGCACACAATTTGGCGAAAACGCCTGCTGCTGTTGCTGTCCAGCAGTGCAGGACGTTACAACATGCCCGGACCCAGGAGATGAAAGCGTTGGGACGACACTCATTGACGAGTGCACTTCCTCGTCAGGCCGCGCCTTCTTGCGCTTCCTCTTTGCATTATTGTTATTATTATTTCCGGTTGCACTCGGCCTGGGTCTCGATCCAGGCGTTCTACTCCCTGTGGCCTTTGGACGCGCCGCGTGGAATTGTTGTACCATGGCTGCCGCGCTACCATTGGGAATTTCGACAGCTGGTGGCGATGTTGCCAGAGGAGATGCTATGCTAACCATGGGTGATTTTTGCCCCTCGGGGGGTGAAGTAGGGGCTGGAACTGCCTTTGGCGAGTTACAGCCAAGTGACCAATCCGTAAGCAATTCGACAATGTCGTGATGATGTCTTTGTTTAGCGATATCTTCAGGTGTCATGTCCATAGAATCGGCAACTTTCCTGTTGGCATAATTCACCAAGAGATGTCTCACGGTCTGTACGCTGCCTTCACGACAACCCAGGAACAACGGAGTTTGACCCTAGAAATGGATTAAAAAACGCTTTAACAGCAATCACCGTCACAAAAAAAAAATTATCAAAACAGAAAAAGGGTTATCTTTGACTAATGAATAAAGGGGTAAGTTTCTAAAGAAACTGTGGTGATGCGTCGGTGGGAGAGTATAGCAGGTAATTTAGTGTTAACAACTGGGTTGAAAACGTAAATTAGCCACCGTAAAGGGTAAAAAGGCTGACGTTTCGAGCGTTAGCCCTTCGTCAGAGCGATTGAATAGCTTTCCCTGCAAGCCACGATGGGCCAATGGTGAAAAACCCACAATACCTTGCGCATAGGATTTCAACAGCCACATAAAATGACCGCATGTATCGTCGACTTCAACGATCAATTTGCGTTGCAAATGTCCGGTGAATTTGACTAGATATGCAGTCAAATAAAGCTCCTCTGCTTCCTGCGAACCAAGCTCACATGAAAAATAGATGTGAATTAAACTAACCTTTTCGTCCTGGGCGTCTTTCTTGGCGCCATTTCTTAACAACTCTTTGGTGACATCCAGGCTGTTCACTGACGCAGCCCAATGCAAAGCCGTTTTTCCTATGAGAAACATTCAAGCTGTCAGAATTTGATACGAATGTTTAAATCTATCCTATTTCAGAAACGGAAAATGGGGGTGAGGAATTCACCTTGATTGTCAGCACTGTTAACCTTCACTCCGGCTTTGATGAGGTGCCGCACCAGGTCTGGAAGGTCGTGTCTTGCGGCAAGGATAAGCGGAGTGGTACCGTCGTCCATTCGGGCTTCGAGGTCTGTGGCACGATTCCTTAACAAGATCTGAATGCACGGAGAAATGAAGTCGGTCAGAGATATCAGAGAAAAAGAAAAAAATTTAATCAATTTGGAATAGGAAACATCGCGGGAATGCTAGATGATGATGATGAATGGAATTTTGTTGGATAACATTTGCTTTCCTAAATCAAGGTGAATACTAAGTGTTATTTACCTGGAAGACACCTTGTGCATCAGCTCCGATGGCCAAATGGAGGGGCGTGCGGTTGAGACGGTCACGTGCGTTCGCATCTGCTCCGTAGTCCAACAGACGTTTAGCCACATCCGCCCTTGAGTGCCGGGCAGCAAGATGAAGCGGCGTCTCTTCCAGGTCCGTCTTGGAAACATAGTTTGCCCCAAGGGACAGTAGATCCGACACCATGGCCCCTCCACTGTCATCACTGTCTTTGTCATCATCAAGGCTGCTGCCATCACCGTAAGTTCCACGGCAGGATGCCAAGTGAAGGGCTGTCATTCCACCTGGGCCTCTAGCATCCACGTCTACGCCCGGTACCCCTCTTTCGCCGCTTCCCTCCTGAGGAGGAGTCAAAGCCAACGCGCAGTTGCGCACAGTTACGTCCGCCGCTTGCTTATGAAGTGTGGTCCACTTTCGCGAGTCTTCACCGTTGTCCAGCTTAACGCGTTTAGATTCTCTGGGAGGAGTCAAGTCTGAACGGCTGCTCTCGCCGTCGGCGCATGCACCCTCTTCATCAATTTCTGACGAACTCTTGCTCATCGATCTTCCGTGAAAGGAAAACAGCAAAATCAAAATGAATTTCCACTTCATCATTTCCCCTAACAAGCTTTACTTTCTTGATCCTAGAGATCATCTTATGATCACCTAATATACTCACCTCATGGAGACTTCTTGCCCTACAGGATCACGTCTGGTAGACGGCTGGCGCCGGGACCGGTATATAGGAAAGCCCTCTGGTACCCATAGCTTGGCGTATACTTTCTTGCCACCCAACAACCCTCCCACAAGGAGCAGTGGGATAACTACACACAGAATGGCTATGTAAAGTGGTGACAGCTTAGTTCCAGAAACAGGCGGTGATGGAGTTGGAGAGGTGTCCTCCACTAAATAAAACACGAAAAAGAAACATTTAAAACAATGACACTGCGTCAGATAAACGCATGCAGTACGTAAGTGTAAACCGGTAAGTTTCCGTGAGTCGCCACGCAACATTCAAAGCGTGACGTATGAACCTTTAAGAGGCGCCATCAGATTACAATTATCTCTCGCTTTCTGTTTCGCTCAAAATGAGACGTCCTGTAAAACTTTTGGAACTACTACCACTAGGGAATCCTTGGCACATGTGGAACAGGCCCTTAGTATTAAACAAATCTTGACTCGATGACGGCTGATAACCCGAGACACTAATAAGATGGCAGAGCCCTCAAACAAACACTAATAACAACAACAAAAACAATAATAGTAGTAGTAAAAATGATAATAATAATAATAATAATAATAATAATATTGACGATAATGGTAATGATAACGATAATCATAATCATGATAACAATTATAACAAAAGAACACAAGAGTTCCAACCTTCCACTCTGTACACAGGATAGGGTAGATCCAGCTTATTAGACGACTTTAACGCACCAAGGTAGCGGGCCGCCTAAAATCGCATAAAACAGGACAAGGTTAGCACTGATAGGGAACCAAGAACAACTTTAGACAAAAAAAATAAAAGACTTACTTCGCTGGCTGTGGAGATACACGCTGGTCCTGAACAACCTCGTTGGTCAAGCTGTACGTGCACTTTCGTCCTTTAGAGACAAGAGAGAGAGGGAAGTCAGTGACGTCAACAGAATTCAAGGCGAGAAGAAGTCAGTTCAGTTGTATGGTAAAGAACTGGAGCATTGAACGGTTGAAATTTCGATCAAGAAAATATACAGCAATACTCCGGCCGTGGGGTAAGTCATGTAAAAAGATACTTACGGTAGCAGACACTGATTCTCTCTTGTAACGAGAACATCTGTCCACAGATGTCTACGTGTTTGTTCCACGGCACGCCAGATCGAAGCATTCAGAGTGAAAACGCCTCCTGCACGCAAGTATTTGCAATAAAAAAAAACCAATTAATATTTTACTTACCCTGTTCCGTCGGCCGCTCGAACAACACGCAGATGAACAACTTGGCGACGTTTACGCGTTTTAAGATCAAAGGAAAAGATCATTTCTTCGTTTCCTTGTCTCTTGATAAACGCGATGGTGTTCAAAACCGCAGAAAGTTCCCTCATAAATATTCTTGAGCCATTGCGGAAAACTTCTGGAGGCACCCTCAACACTAGTATAAGCGTCCCTTCGCCCTTTAAGAGAGAGAAAAGGTTTTTTTCAACAGATTTTTATAACTTCAATTCGTTTCACGAATAGGTAAACGTCAAAAGCCTACTTTTGACTGAAACTCGATATTATTCACGTGGAGAACCAAGGTACTAATTTTATCACAATAACGACTGTCTGATTATTCTGCAGAAACAGCTATTAGTGATTTCGCCCACCGGTTCCGGTTTTCCAGTCTCGCAGTCCAGGCCATCTTTCAAACAAGCTTCATTGTTGCACACCGTGTCACATATTGCATTCTCAAAGCGTGACTTGCAATAATCATCATTGCTGTAATGCAAACAAATACAAAATAGTACGTAAGGAAGTAAAAAATAAGTTTCTTTTGCAACGTGATCGTTTTATTTTTTTTTCTGACTCCTGAACTTAATTTAAGAATTAGCTATTTTGCATCAGTATATAACAATATTTCGTATATACCTGCATTCTTCCTTGGGTGCATTGCAGTCAAATCCATCAAAAAGGCATTCAGCTTTGTTGCAATACGTGTCGCATTTTCCATTTTGGAACACTTTGAAGCAAAATTCTCCACTTGCTGTATGTACAGAGCAATTCTTCCATGGTTGTATTCCAAGGGAACAAAGAGTCCCGTCCCAGTTGCAAGAGTGAGTGTTGCAACTTTCCTGAATTAAAACAAAAAGCGTAAGACATTACTACGAAGAATGGCTATACACGAAAAAGTTAAGAGCAAAAAAATTCAAACTTCTGCGATTTTGTTTTAAATCCATTTGATAAGCTTACGTTACAAGTCCCTCCTGGTACAAATGTTTTTTTACAATACGAATAGGGGCATTTCGCTTCTTCCTCGCAGTCGGTCCCGTTAAAGCCAACTGAATGGGAAAAAAAAAATAAATACAATTAAATCATGTCTGTTGAAGTGGACATTATGTCTCCGACGAGTGATCAAAACGCCAAATCTCTGTCAAGTAGATGAGAATCTAAAATGAAAACACACCAACTGAAGGATAATGTCTGGAGATATGAAGCAGGAAAGACAACAAAGGAAAAAATTTATTATCTTTTGTGAGTTAAAGAGTTAAACTAGCTTCTAAACTTGGCGAAGCTCTATGGAGCAATGAAACGTTTTCACCCCTCCACTCCTAAGATCTCATTAGTACATGTAATTCTCCTTACTATCTTCAATACAATTCTTATGATGTTGGGAGAAATTACTGTTGAATCAACAAAGAATCCCCAAATTGACAGTCCACTTAGTTCTCATTACTTGCCTGCTTGATATCACATTGACATTGAAAGGAGAAATTCTGTCTCAATCTCAATCATTCATTGGAGTTAAAGAGTTAAAAGTAGTTGCCATTTCATTAACCCTTTAACTCCCAGATCAAATTTGTCATTTTCCTTACTGTCAACCATACTATCCTTATGATGTTAGTTCAGAGAATTTAGTATTGGATCAACTAATTATCCCCAAATTGATATTTTTCTTTTTTCTCATCACTTATCTGGTTAAAATTGTATTGATATTGTAAGGAGAATTTCTGTCTTGGTCACTCGTGGGAGTTAAAGGGTTAAAACGAATCCAAGACGAATGTCTCATATCCTTCAGGTCAACACGCTTTTCTTTCCCCAACCCTCATATCCCCCTCCCTGCACCAATAATGCCTTAAAAATGTATTCCCTGAAATCACTTTTTACCTGGACACTTGCATCTGTAATGGCCCATCATATCTTCACATGTACCATTGTGCTTGCAGGGATTGCTTTGGCATTCATTAATCTCCTGCTCACAGTTTCTTCCAGTATACCCCACAGGGCACTTGCACTCATAGTTACCGAACAAATCCACACATGTTCCCCCATTCTGGCAAGGTGTGGAAAGACAGTCGTCCAGATTCCATTCACAGCTTTTTCCTTTTACCCCATCCACGCAAGCACATGAAAAACTACCATTTGTATGTGTCAAGCAGGTGCCGCTGTTCAAGCAAGGATCATCTGAACATGAGTAAACACGACGCTCACAGTTTAGCCCTGAATATCCCATCTGGCAGAGGCAGATATGTTTCCCAGCCCCATCCTTGCATTCAGCTCCATTTTGGCAGGGATATGACAAACATTCATTGATATCGATGTCACAGTTTTTCCCAAGAAATCCCATCTTGCACTTACAACTGTAATCATTATTAGGCAAAGAATAACACTTTTCAGTCCCAAGTGCAGAGCAAGGATTGGATGCACATTCATCGATGTCAACCTCACAACGCACTCCTGAATATCCTGCAGCACACTGGCAGGAAAAAGCCTTCAGGCCATCCACACAATGTCCTCCATTGAAACAGGCAGTACTAGATATCAAGCAATCATTAGGATTCTGTTCACACCTGTTGCCAACATATCCAACAGGACAAGAGCAGATAAAGCCATCTACAAGATCAATGCAAGTGCCACCATTGTCACATGGGTTTAAAGCACAATCATCAATATTTTCTTCACAGTCGTCACCAGCAAATCCTCTCGCACAACTGCAGGTATAGTTTGCTACACCATCGGAGCACTGAGCACCATTCTTACAAGGACCACTTGCACAATCATTGATGTTCAATTTGCAGTAGCTTCCCATAAAGCCAGGAGGACAAGAACAGGACTGCACATTCTGGTAATCATCAATGCAAGTACCACCATTCAAACACACAGTACTTCGATCTGTAAGTTTAGTCTTAGCATTGTTACAGGTTATGTTTTCCACATCACAAATTATACCTTTAAATCCTGTAAGACAATCACAATGAAAATCAAGAGCATTTGGGTCTTGTTTACATGTTCCACCATTTTTACATGGAGAGCTCTGACACCAATTTATCACACTTTCACAATTCCTTCCAGTGTAGCCTGGCTTGCAGTAGCAGCTGTAGGAGCCAATCTCATCAACACAGGTTGCACCATTTTGGCAGGGTTGTGAATTACATTCATCTATATGGTGCTCGCACCTCTGCCCAGAGAAACCAGGAGAACACGTACAGGAAAAATTATTTACTTTATCAAAACAAGTTGATCCATGGAAACAGGGACTGCAAAAAATAGATAGATAGAAATCAAAATGCAATAGCATACAGTTACCCATTTAACAGATGAGGTAGCCATTAAGTGACCTCTCCTTCAAACTCAAAGTAGAACCACTTACTTAGGTTGACAGTCGTCAATATTGGTTTCACATTTAGTGCCACTGTAGCCACTGTCACAGACACAAACATATTTGTTGAGACCATCCCTGCATTCACCATGATTGCAGGGGTTGGAAGCACATTCATTAATGTCAACCAGGCACAAATGTCCCTTAAAGCCAGGGGCACACTGACATGAGTAGCCATTCTGCTCAGAGAGGCATGTTGCACCATTTTGGCACTGATTTCCAAGACAGTTGTCAACTCTGGTTTCACAACTTCGACCTTAAAATTCCAAAAGTTTACAAAAAATTAATACAAAATCAACCACATTACGTCCAAGTTCATGTGCACCAGGATTCTCTGTATCACTGTAGAGAAGCACTTACCATATTGTTTACAAGTGAACTACAATAAGTAAAGGAAATCGTATGAACGCGAGTGCATTTCGTGATTTATGAGCACGAGTGATGTTTTGAAAGTTCTCAAAATTGCACGAGCCGTAGGCGAGTGCAATTTGAGAACTTTCAAAACATCACGAGTGACCATAAATCACGAAATGCACAAGCAGGTTCATACGATTTTTTATTTATTATATTCTCGACAAAATTACTCCATCGGTGTTTCCATGGCAACTTCTCCGTATTGCACTCTATAACCTCTATTGCACTCTATAACCTATTTATGCATTCATCATTGACCAATCAGAAACGCGATATTTTGTTGAGTATATAATAAGAGAATTTATTGCTGCATTAGGAGAGTTCTTCACCTGATTGGTTAATCAGTTCTTCTGTTAATTGTACTGGTATCATAAGAAGTTAATCTTAAACTGAGTTATTCCTTCAGGCTGCTTTGCATCGCCTTATGAATTAGTTATATCTTCCACTTTCACCATCAACATATTAATTCTCCACATTGTCAGCCATACACTTCTTGTGATCTTATCTCTCAGAATTTGGTGATTCTTATAGCAATAAAGTGTTATGGATATCTTTATTAGAGGTGCATACTTCCCACCACGTCTGGTTTACAATTTATTGATAATAAAAGGAAAACTTCATGGCTTGTCACTCCTGGGAGTCAAAGGGTCAAAGAATCTGTAACTGACTAATCTCATCTTATAATCTCTTTACTTAATACTATGATATCACAAATACAGGTTAGAGCTTAAAAATGAAGAGTTAAGAGACACTAAAAACAAATACAAACCAGTGAAGTCAGCTGGACACTGACAGTGATACTGGGCAACACCATCAGTACAAATGCCACCATTTTGACAAGGTTGTGAGCGACACTCGTCAGTGTTCATTTCACATTTTCCACCATAAAAACCAGGATGACAGGCACATTTGTAGCTATTGAGTTCATCAATGCATGTGCCACCATTGGCACAAGTCACTCCAATGCAATCATCAACATTGTGCTCACATCTTACACCTTTAAAACAGAATGCCATTGTTACCATCTAAAACTTGATGTGCAAAAACTCAGTTAAAAAGAATATAAACAGCACAATGTAATCACCATTAAGTTGGGATCTTGACCCTAAAATTCTTCCTTACTGTCTGCCATACAATTTTTATGATGTTAGTTTAAAGAATTTGGAATTGGATCAACCAATAATCCCCTAATTTATATTTTTCTTCATCCTCATCTTTTTTCTGCTTGATGTTGTACTGATATTGCAAGGAGAAATTCTCTCTTGGTCACTTATGAGAGTCAAAGGTGCAAATATTTGAAAACACAGAAGAAAATATTATTGTTATGCTGGCAAATAATCTGGAGGAAATTTTTCCCATCAATTTTAAGATGTGACTCCTCAGATGATGTACACTACTGAGATGTAGGAAAGAGTAAAATTTTTCTCAGGCCTCAACATATACAAGTGACAAACCATGCATCAACCATTCTCCTAGACTAAAGATTCAAAATACAACTACATGTACTTTAAAACTGCTTACCACTTGTGCCTTGTGGACAGGTGCAGCGGAAACCATTTTGCAAATCCGTGCAGCTTCCACCATTCATGCAAGGATTGCTAGCACATTCATCAACTTGGTTTTCACAATTATTTCCTGTATAACCAGGGGTGCACTGACAAGAGTAGCCATTCACTTCATCCACACATGTTCCATAATGTTTACAAGGTACTGAGACACAGTCATCAATGTCTTTATCACAGTTACCTCCTGTAAACCCACTAGCACATGTGCATGTATATGATCCAACACCATCAGTGCATGTGGCTCCATTTTTGCATGGATTAGGGTTTGCACAATCATCAATGTTTATCTCACAATTAGTGCCATTAAAGCCAATGGTGCATTTACAACTGTACTTGTTCAGTAAATCCGTGCACTGACCACCATTTTGACAAGGACTGCTGGCACATTCATTTATCGAAGTCTCACAATATTTGCCTGTCCATCCTGGTGTGCATGCACATACAAAAAAATTGGTGTAGTCTAAGCAATGAGCACCATTCTTGCATGGATTCGAAGCACACTCATCTATAGGTTTGTCACATCTTTCACCTAGAGGACAACAGAAGTGAAAAAATGGTTACTTCATGTAGCTTACAATCTTTCTTTAGATCTTATTAGACAGGATGTACCCTCTTAGACTTATTGCAAAGAAGACATTACAATTTCTGGTGTTGCACATTTAATTTACACATACTTGTCAGTCTTATGTCAGCACATTTCTTGTCAAGAAATGTGCTGACATAAGCCCTGTCACTTGTGTAATGCATTCTGTAAGTGGCCTTTAAAAAAGACTTCTTGACAATCAATTATCAAGTCATTATCAGAGTCCTACAATAAATTCTACTTAAGGACATTGACATGAAAATTAGCCTTTTAACTTAAGTCTTTTTGAAAACTTCTTTGCTACTATCTAGTTAATTCTGCGGACTGTACTATGATATTTACCTTTGTAACCAGCAACACAACTGCATTCAAATGATCCATTAGTGTTGACACATGTACCACCATGGTGACAAGGTGACACCAAATCCAAACTGCATTCATCAATGTCAATACTGCAATTCTTACCAGTCCACCCTCTCGGACAAATGCAACTATATGCTCCAAATGCATCAGTAAAGCAAGTGGCAGTTCCATAACAAGGTTTATGATAACATTGATCATCATGTTGGCACACAGGACCTAGTTGATATTAATTGGAGCACATGTGCAATAAGATAACCAGAAGAAGTTCAGGCTTAAGCAGGTACACGAAGAAAGCTCTCTTTTGAATCTAACACATTTCAACTCTCGAAATCTCCCTCATTATATCTCACTCAAACTTTCTTCAGTGCATGACATCCTTACCTTCATTTCCACTAGTAACCAAGCACTAATTATAGAGTAAAGAAATATCTAGACATACTTTAAGATATACAGACTTTATTTTTATTTTAGGGTCTGGTAAACTAGTCTTAAGTCTTACAAACTATTGCCAGAATCACAGACTCAATCAGTACCAACTCTACACTAAAACTATTTACTAACCCATTTTTCCAGGAGGACAGAGACAATCATATTTTCCAACTTTATCAATGCATGTGCCACCATTAAAACACAAGGGGGTATTACCAGAGGGCACACAGTCATCCTTGTTGATGGTGCATTCAGGTCCATCCCAACCAAATATACAACTACAAATGTAGCCACCAAAATTATTTGCGCAAGTTCCACCATTTTTGCATTTATTATTCACTTGGCATTCATCCACGTCCTTTTCACAATGGAGTCCAGAGAAATTAGAAGGACAACTGTTGATGAAGAATATATTTTGGTCAGTCATATTTATTGGACCTATCTTTAACGAGACACTCTTGTAACAAGAGAAAGCACCCCTGAGAGGAGGTTTCCCTCCCATGGAAAAGAGGTAACAGGTACTAAGGTCATGAGATCTTTTATTTTGATGGAACTGAGGAAACTTCACTGTATAAACATAAACCTTTAGGCTAATCACTAAACTGTGTGAAATATTTTCACTGTATATTCTTTAAATTAAGACAACAGCTACCTGAAATGTTCAATTCCTTTAAAAAAAAAATCAAGTTGAAGATACCAAATTCAAATGAAATAAATCCATCATGGTTGTAACTGGGTAAGGATAAATTGAAAATGGATATCCTTATGGTGATGAGGAAATTAGGCAAAAAGCTGCTTTAGAGATTATCTTACAGAAAAATGTCCTCTTCCAGGATAAACTATTCAGTTTCAATTCTTTTACACGTAAACCAACATGGCAAATCAGTTTCTCTCCTTTTTTTTTCAGTTCTTGAAAAAATTAGCAAGAAAAAATTGGGTTCATGGAAAACAACTTTTCATCAACTAGAGTTGGCAAAAGAATATGATAAATTAATGGCAATGAGATTTAAAACTATGGCCACCAAGAGTATCTAGCATCTAATGTTTCTTTCCAATATCACCCCTGAAACAAGCATAAAGGTCATGCAAAAAAAAGGAAATGGTCACTAATTAAAGCTGTTGATTGTGAAACAAATTCTCCTTGTCCGCAACTTGAGAAATGTGCAAAGTACAGTATAGAGAATATGCAAACCGGACCTTGGCCTCACCCATTGACAGACACACCATTTCTAAAGAAGGATGTCCATTATCATTCGGCCATATTGTGTTTTAATTTGATGCGGCCTGTTTCAATTATGTTTTAGTTTACTAAAAACAAAAACATATAAGGCTTCTTTAATATAAGAAAAAACCTGATGTTTTGGCCACAATGCTGCGTTTAAACTTTTCAGACCCCCTGGGATGTTTTCATTAATTGCTATAATGCACATTCCAGATTGGTTTTGTAATCCTGTACATGCATAAAAGGGTCAAACTCTTTCTTTCATACTACCGCAATCTCCTGTTGAGGCTTCACAAATTAATGAATAAAACATGCTCAATTTTCCATTCAAAAATTACTACCAAATTAACATATACCCATCCAAAAAGTCTGTCCACAAAATAGGGTACACAAGTAGCATTAAAGAGGCACATTCTTTTATAAACTTAATGGGCAAATAGCCCTAATCGTAACGCAGTACGTCTATTGAAATATTACCATTATTGGCAAAGAGGAAATGTTTCGAACATTCAGCTGTAATTTGTAATGCTGATAAAACAATTAACAATGAAAGCCAGATTCAAAACTCAGAGGAAACAATCCAGGTTCAGCCACACAGGCAAATATTCTTGATGACTGAACTTTATCGCATAACTTTTTGATGTTGTTAGCAACAAATATCGAGAATAGCTCTACTCTATAGTTCGCGATCTATCGTTCGCCTTTGAAAACGTCTCATTTGGTAAAAACCTTTGCGCTAACTCAATTACGTTTGATTTCTAAGGCCTAATCGAACGTTAAATCACTAATCTGAAGAAATTTCCAATCGTAATCAATTGTAATTAGTCACGATCAAGAAAATTTGATAAAATGTTGGCCAATAATATGTGCTTTGTCCATCTATTTCGGCTAAATTAAGGAACGGCGATGAAATGAAATTGAACATTTTCAGACATTTGCGCTCTATAAACTATCAGTAAAACTTGTCAAAATGTTGTTAAGTTGTCTTTTCTTGTTGAGTATGAGGTTATATTTGACAAACGCGACGAGGGGAAAAAATTCGGTTGACCTCCTTTATTCGCAAAACTATAGGCATGTTCTGGCCCGCTCTTACTGTGGAAGAAAACATTCATGAACCTCTTTAGGACTGTCGATTTTTACTTTAAAACTACATCATGCATTCCGGGGATGACAGAGGCTATGTAAATAAAGATTATTCAAAAACGCCAAGAAAAGTTAGGCAGTATGTCGTCTACCAAATACGAACTAATTACCAAGCGATACAAATAATAGAGTGACGAAAGACGGATGAAACTCTGTTAAAGGACGCGGGAAATATAGTTTCAAGTTTCCAGTATCCTTTTACAAGAAGTTTGCGCTTTGTTCTAAATTGATACGCGGGTCGGGGTCGTGTGTTCACTATCTACTCAGGCAGCCAAATAGCCAAAATCTTTTGAATAATTATCCGACTTCACTGCGTGCGCGCTTACAAGATTCGTGCAAAACAACTATTTTGAGCTCACTAATCTTTGGAGCCCTTTTACTCAAGACTTAATCCCTACGGAGACTATTTTATGCTCAAATTATAAATCTGGGTTAAAGGTAGAATTGGTTCATTTTACACAATAAAACCTTACTCAACACGCAAATACGCTGTCAACTTAAGCAGAACAACAAATCCCCTAGTAGCATTTGAAAAATCGGCTAGCGTGCGATCGCAATCGGTTTTTACTCTATGTTTTAACTAGCTTTTAGCAGATAAGCAGGAGTCTCGAGAGTTCATCAACATAAAAGCCCTACTAATTAGGTCAAGCTTTAGAAAACGTGTCGACGCTATGAAGTAAAAACATTTTAGTATTCGCACTTCGGCGCAAGTGAACAGACTGTCACATGTATCCGAATGAACTTTTCATCACCAATTTCATATACACTGACTCATTTATTACACTTAAAAAACCGTTTATTCAGGACAATTTTATGTTGAATAAAAACATCTGCTTAAGCTTTCTCAATAATTCATAGTGTTTGCTGCCAGTGACTGTTTAAGAATACCCACAAAACATGTGTCGCTACCGTTGCTAGCTCTCAGAATTATTGATTATGCCAAGGAAATTTATGATCAGCTAGCTTCGTGCCATACAAACTCCATTAAGTGTTTCTATTGATATGTCTAGCGGTTTTTCACAGAAGTAAAGTGAATTTCGTTCTGAAAGAAGAATAAGCCAATTAAGTCTGTGGCGCGGAGGCTTGTGGTTTATGTGCCATTATTTACCAATCTGAATGCCGTGCTGTTCTTTAGGTGTTGAACGCGCGAGGGATTCGTTTTGACTAGACACAAACTACGACGAAATTAAAAAACGGCTGTTGTGAAAAGTTGACTAAGCGTGCAATAAGCTTTCGGAGAGATTACGAGACATGAATTTATGTCTTACTAAACAAACATTACTCTGATAACTAGCGCGGAAACTACGCAGGCAAGAATTCACGTGCGGAACACAATAACGATTGAAAAACCGAACCGCCGTACTTTGACGCGACATGTTGAATGAGTGAAAAGAACATACCTGCAATTAGCTTTCCCATGTAAAACTGAACATGTTCCACCGTTCTTGCAATATCCGTCAGAACACGTGGAGGCTGCAAGAGACAAACAAAGACCGGAGTTGAGCAGAGAAAAGCCAGGTGGAACTTAGAACAATACGATTGAATGTTACAAGGTGAAACAAGGACAGCTGTTCCGCCGTGTAAACTCGCTCGTTATGCACATCCCTACTAGCAAACTGAACAGCTTTCATCAATCTCAGCCAGCACTTTATAGTCACACATTTACGAAACTTAATTCTGCGGACAAATTCCACAGGGGCCGTCATCCTCAATAAAAGATTAACCTAATTTTCATTGAGTGCCAAAACAGCGCTTGCCGGTGTTCTGTCAGACGAACTAGGCTCTCAAACTCTATCATTTTGCAAATTTCTAGTCAAGCTTTCAATCTATGGCAGCTTTCTATGTTTAGGGTTAAGATATGGTGAACGCAATTATCTAAGAGGGGTGTAAATATAGCTTGCAGTTTGGACATCTTAATGAAGTAAGCGCCCCACGAATATTGAAACCAACCGTCTCTTAAATCAGTTCTACTCGTTCGATTCCTTCCGTACACAGCACATAGGAAAGATTCTTCCCGAATCGAATGTGAGTTTCCCAAACCAATGTAGCGAAATCCGCCCAAGCGAACCACATTTCCAATGATAGATCTTAAACGCCATTTATCCAACAGTGGCATCCGACGGTTAATAATATGGCCCCAAAGCACGCACTTCGGGAAAATAACTTTTCAACTTACCCAACACTATCGGAATGAACAGGGCAGAGACAATCGCTATTACGTAGCCCTTCATTGCGAACTTGGCGTTCAATTACTGACAAATTTGATCAACTTTTGCGCTTCATCGGTAGACTCAAACATCAAACCGTGAAAAGCACAGTATTCTCCCACGAATCGATCGCAGTACTGACGATAGGGTTTCAGTACGTTCAACTCCCTAGTGGGCACCCACTGAGTAATTTGCATATTCAATGAGCCACTGATTTCCACTACAGTTGACAAGCGCGTCGCGCTCTTTCCTTTGTGGCGCAGCTGGCCAATCGTAGAGCGCCATCGCCGCTTGACCAATGACATGGCACTTCCTTTCATTTGCCTAGAGTAGTAGTGATTTCGGGTGTCGTCTCAGGGTCATCTAATTGATTTACTGCCCAATTATCACATCAGCTTGCGTTATCTGTGCAACGAACTGTACCTGCCCCTCCAGTCCCTTTTCACTTCAATAACGATTACTAAACGTGGGAAAGAAACCCGATTTGGAAGTGGAAGCGCAAATCACGTCTTATTCAAGTCTAACGATGTGTCGACTCAATAAATTTAACTGCATTTTCACTACCAGTTGGTTTAATTTGCATAAAAGCTAATAGTGAAGATTACATTTAGGGTAATAAACAAAATATTCTGATCGAGGCAATATCGTCAACACTTTAAGGGCCTTTGATGAAGAACGAACTAGACAATAATTCTCTATACTCTTCGAGTCCAAGAGAAGTCCATCATAACCCAGTGCTAAAAAAGAACCTATTTCAAATGCAAGTCCTTCTTCACTTTGTGATTGTTTTTGAATCTAAAAAAATAATTACGTTTTTGTTATCTCTCTTTGTTAAGTGTCTGTGACAGTGTTTCCATAGCAACTTATAATATATCCAAAGCGGAAATTTTCCCACGGCTTTCAGATAAGATGAAAAGTGGAAAGGAAAAGTTATCTTTCATCGTCGCCCCGGAAGGCCAAGAATGAAAAATCGAACTTTCGTTTCAAAGATAAACATTAAAAGTGCGAATATCTCTCAAGTTCAAAATAGTGCAGTTTCGAGTAAACTAAAAATTGTCGATTACAAACTATGCAAATGAAAGAAGGATTCAAGTTTTTCCTCTGGTTACTGGAATATTTCGTTCAATTTTGTTCGACAAAACCTCAGACCTGTCATTGTTAGCACAGTGCTCGCTGAGGTAGACGCAACAATGTCGCTAAATAAAAAACTAAAACATCCCCAAACAAATCTGGCGTAGCGGTGGATATGTCCTAAGCAGACATAGACCTTTTTTCCGGTTTATATTCCTTTGATTGATGAGTTGGTAGTGAAAAGTGAAATAAAAATGACAATGTACTCATATGATTACACTTTGGCACAAGTGATAAATGTCGGCTGACAGAAGCATTTTTCGCAGGATGCAGAACGCAGAAAAAAAGGAAGAAAACTAACTTAACCTCTGTGTCGCTGAGAGTAAAAACCGAATAAGGCAAACTAACATGACTCCAAAAGCAAACAAAGAGTCAAACGATATTCTAGTGTCCAAAACAATATTGACATTAAGATCTTGGCAAGTTTATAAAATTGAATGATGCTGCGATGTGGAACAATAAAGTTTAGATAAAACTGCGCTGGTTTGAAGTCTATTGTAGTAACACAATGTAAATACATGCTTGGGCTTGTTCAAAGCGAGATCTTAAATATAAATAGACAAAAAAATGAACAAATGTATTGCGATTGCACAAAATGTAACAAACAAGTGGAGTAGTCTTACAACCGCTCGAGGAAAAGTTTTTTATTATTTGCTTCAACGGAGACCACACCATATCCTATCTTTTAATATATCTCTGATATTTTTTCGATGAGAATCATCATAGAAATGAAATGATAAAATCGATTACACAATCCAATATTCCTGCAATATCACCCATAAAAAGAAACAAAAAACGTTTCACGTTGCAACGGTAACCGAAATTGACTCTTTTCTAATTTGTCATATTTGAGGTACGGCGTGACCGCGAATTTCATCTGCATGATTACTCAACTTTAAAATGCCAATTTTGCAGAATAAAAGGAGTCTCCTAAATATATTCATGTGACTTACGTCTTAAAGTAAGCTGACTTTAAGCCACGTGTGGTTTAACTGCCACATTATTACTGGTGACATGTTTGTCACGAACTACGTGTTTTGGATTCCGAACTCAAAAATAGAAAAAAAAAAAAAACGCATACACGTGCTTCGCTCTGTTAATCTTGATCCACCCGTAAAAACAACTGTGAAAGACACTTAAGTGATCGGCCGAACGTCTGCACCCTTAGAATGCAGAAATCACGTTAGAATGCTGCAAAACGATTGTACATGAAATAATAGCCGCAATCTATTCTCTGTGTGGCTAAAAAATTGAAATGGACTGTTATCAATTAACAAGATCAATAAACTTTTTGTTATACTTTGTTCTAGGAACTAATTTCCGCCGGTCTCAATTCATGTGTTCCCGGTTGTCTCAGGTATTGACGTAATGTGATTCTATTTCTACAGTGGAAACTAGGTGGTCTTTTCACCATCTCAAGGTATGACCTGTCTTATTATATTGTCATTCCCGATCATGCTCCTTTATTAAAAAAAATTTAGAGAGTTTAGCCCGGGGAACGGAAATGATTGAATTACATAGGTGAGGGGATGGTCATTTATTGAAATCTGTATTCTTCTTTAGATCGAGAGAATCTTTTTCGGTTGTTTCAAATAAAGAGAAAAGACTTAAAGTTGCTTTCTAGAGGCACAAAAGGTGTTTCGACAAACGACATCGTGCGTCAAACAAAGGAACACATGACCATTTGAAAGAATACTCGTTCTTGGCCAATAGGAGATCACAGAGTTCTTTCGATAAACAAAATTTCTCTATCTCCGGGGAGTACAAGTGTCCCTTTTTACTGGCTAATGAATCCGGGTGGAATTAACTTGACAATGCAGAATGATAAACACGTTGTATCCTTAGCCAGCTAAATGGCAAAAGCGTAAAAGTGTACAAATGGCCATCAGGTGAAAGGGAAGGTGAAACAATAAAACCTCATCGTACAGTACTCGTGCTTCTGAAAACTGACAAATCCGGTCCCGGTTCGATTGAAAAGCAGCTCAGTTCTCTTTTTCTTTTTCTGAGGAACTTGTTAGCCTTCAAGAAAGATGAAAACTCACAAATTGATTCTTTTTTACAACAAGGGACTTCCTCTGGCTTGAATAATCATAAAGAGGCCATTTCAATTCGCAAGGATGGCCTGGATGTCAGTCATTTAAAGCCATTCTTCTCGAATCCATCGAGAACTCGTTCATTTCGTGGAATCATGCTGAAGAAAGGTATGTTTTAAGTGTTGGGGAAAACTTTTCTCTTCATCCGAAATTCAGAGTAATGTTAAAAATCCCAAGGCTATTGCAGTGATAAGTTCTTTTGAGCTTAGCACAGGTGAGGCCAAACAAAGGCAAAACATCTCAGGTTTAATCGTTAACCAACAAGGCGATCACACGCTAAGTCGAAGAGTCTATGTGGCTTTTATTACCAGCTGGCGAGAAATTTCTCCAGCTACAGTGAATTTACAACGACTAAGTTTATTTTCTTAGCCGGTTAAATGATTGTAGTTTATATTTTTTCTTTAATCTTTTACCTAGGTGCCAAAAGGAAAACCATTTGTTAAATCGGATAGTCAACGCTTCATTAGTTCGAACTAAGTTTTTCAAAGAGATTTTTCCGCGTGCGGTATGTTGGCGTAGTCCGTTAAGCTTTTATATTTACCACCATGACTTGACTCAGTCGCTGCCGAGCGGCTGTTTTCCGTTGCAGACAATTAAAGTAAGGGCGTGATCAACTGTACTTGTTCTATATTCAAGTTATTCACCGATTCGTTTCCCTTCGATGACGGCAGGTGGCGAAACAAAACACAAAATACCTCAATTCTGGCAAACAATCGACTCGACAGCCCCTTTATTTAAAATGCGCTCAAGCGTCACGAGTGTTTCTGGTGCTTTTTTTCTGACTTTTTCCCTTCACATTTTTGATAGGTTTGCTGTTGTAGCCACGTTGCAATGGTTCTTGTTTGTTTAAGATTCGTTCATTATATAATTTCGACTACAGCGAAGATCGGCAACCTCTTTGATCTTAAATAAAAAGATTCTGTTTATATAGCCGCGGCGGGAAATTATCCCCGATCGCTTTCGTGCCGTCCTTTCGCATGCCTTTGTGGTGTTAATATTGTTTGTTTATGATTAATACCCAGAGGTCCAAAAGAGACCGTTT